ATCAAATCAAAAAAAAAAAATTTTTTTTTTTTGTTTGAACATTAACCTTAATTTAAGGTTGTTTATATTAATTAAAATCAAAAATAAATTTAATAACAATTTTGTGTGTTTGCAAATTATTTGTAACACAATGAATTTCAATAAAATTTTTATTTTTATTTGAAAATTAATTTTTAATTTTAACATTATTTTATTATTAATTGTTTTTATAAAAACGATTTGTACCTTGCATATTTATTATAACATATTTGTATATACATGTTTACGCATAATATAGAGAAGTTATGTATAATTTGATACACTTAGAAAGCAATAATAAGATATATCTTCAAAAACATATGGAGATTTCATAATTAATTAAAAAATTTATTTTACCCATTATTTGCCTTAATATTTAATTTATTGTAGTTTATTCAAATCTAAAAGGAATATTACATATTAAGTACTTGTACATATTTTGATTCTTTAAATTTCAAACATTTGCCGGATGATCATTAATTTGCGGGGAAAACGGCATACTGAAATCAAAAAATGGGATTCCTGAACTAATTATAATTATACTCGTATTATGCGCCATCTATTGAATGAGAAAATTTTAATTCATTTATAAAATTCTGTTTTTTACTCTGCAGAAATAGTGGAGTAAGAGACAATTGTGACGTTTTATTTTTGTTCTACATAAATATTACACTAATTTTTGGTTCTATGTATGTATAAGGAAAAGGTTTATAATTAAAGGTTTTATGTTTTCGTAAAATAATTTCATGATTTCCGTCAGTGTAATTTTATTTAATATACACGTTTTTGATTAATTTAGATAAATGTAACAATAGCTTAATTTTCTAGAATTTTTAAAATAAATTCATTTCAATATATAGTACCATATTCATAGATAAAACCCGTATACTATAAATTTAAAATTCAAAATTCCAATCATCACCAATACCTTGCCTTTATTGATGAAATAATGCTGTTCAACCATTGCCTTGAACCCTTGCCATGTAACGATTTTGAATATTTAGAAATTAAACTCTTTTAATTCTTAATACCCACTGATATACGATTTTTCAGGGTTATAGGTTTAAAATTAAGATTATAAAATTTTTGTATAATAAAAAATTGTATATTTTTTGATTTAAGAAATTAAGTTTCATATAATATGAAAATTTTTTATATAATATTCGCATTAAAAATCCAATTATAATTCAATTAAAAATTTGTTTAATTTGAAATTTTAATAGGTGAATCAAAAATAAACCTAAATTTTAATAAACAAAAATAATGCGAATAAAATATGCAAATATTTATGATGATTTTGTACCTTCATAATATTAATAGTTTAAAAACAAAAACAAAAAACACCCCTAGTCAAAATATTTACACTGGCTCTGGCATACACGTAAGCACGTAAATTACATACATATTTTGAGAAAGATACATATATAATTGAGAAACAAATGTACTATAAATATGTACCTTGTACTCAAGTGTATTAATTCTTTTACATGCATATTTTCAAATAATTTTTTTTTTATTTTTTCCTTTTTGCATTTTTGATAATGAACTTCGTCTCATTTCAATATTCTTGAGTTATAAAACATGGGAAAATATTCACACTTTAGTCGAATATTTACTTTTTTTTTCGTTTCCTAAACAAAACCTATACAAAAAATAAAATTGAACTCTCACAATTAAATTGAAAATTTGAAAAAGAAAAAAATGAGGAAAAACAAATTTAAAAACAGACAAGAAAAAAAAAATAAGAAAATTTCGAAATTTTCTTTTATTTATGTATATGTATGTAGATATGTGTGCATAATATGTAAATGTTGTACAATAATGTCATATGTACTGGGAATGTTGATAATGATGACAATGTAAATGATGATGATTATTATTTTGATGATGCTCTGAAAAAATGAAATGTCCTCTCTCCCTCTCTCTCTCTCTGACAAAAAATAACAAAAAAATATATGAACGAGGAAAATCTGACTTTTGTTTTGCATCATAATCAGGGTTGCCAAACCTGCTAAAACAAATTACTTAAAACTGGGGTAATTTTGATACTATCAAGTATAACCTCGGGTTATACTCGTTTTAAGCAATTTTTCGGTCAATTTATGATTTTATATGAATTTTCCTTCAAAAATTTTAAATTTTATAGTAATTAGATGAAAAATTTTTAACAATTTCATTTAAAAAAAAAAAAATATTTTTTGCAAATTTCCTAATATGTTATTTGAAAATATTTTTTTCATGTAAACGACTCGAACTTTTCACAACATAGAAAACTTATTTTAAACTTTGTTTATTATAAAAAAAAAATAAATAAAATTTTAATGTTAAACTGATGCTGTTCATCGACTATTCAACTTGGTCTTTCAAAACATTGAAAACATGGAAATGAACATATAGTGAATTACACTCTTAAAGTTCATTTAAACTTACATTTTATTCAAAGTTCAAACTTCAAATTGTTGGGCTACTATATAGCCCAATGAACAATTCAATGTTTTAAAAACTTTTGTTGAATAATGAATGAGCAGTATTTACATAAAAACAGTGTAACTAGCTATAGCTTTGTCATAAATTCCTTTCATAATCCCGAAAATGGGAAAATTACGAACATCATATTGTCAATTCCGAATGTCTAAAATTCGGCTCCGAAAATAAAAAAAATAATTACACGTAAAAAAAAACAATTTACAGAGAACGATCGTTTTAAATTTTATGTTTTGAATTTTTTCTCTGTTTTCTTGTTCCTATAACACAGCTGTCACGAAAGCAAATGAATTCATATTTGAAAAACAATTTGAAATAATTTTTTCAACTTTTAAAAACTTTCAAAAACTCTGCTTTAAAAAATTATCTTTTTGTATATCAATGTTGTTTACTCAAATAGCAACACAAAAATATTGAAATTAACATTTAACCGTTACTACAAATGATACTAATGAAATTCGAAGGATTCTACGAGTAGAATTCATGATCAATAGGACTGTTAGACCTTTTTTTGGATAATTTTAAATTTTCTAATTGGCAACCCTAATTATTGTTTTTCTCAAAATAACTTTTTTCATTTTTGTTTTATATATTTTTTTTGTTCATTTTTATTATTGTTTTTGCGAGTATATTGGCGTACATTGAATTTTTTCATTTTATCTTTTTTACTATAGGTTAAATTAATTTTGGTTTTTGTTTTTTTTTTTTAAGAAAAAAGTTCACGTAGCTCAGCTATTAAAGAAAAATCTTGCGATATCTCTAAAAAGACTTTACTTCTTCTTCTATAAATAAAAATGAAAGAAAGAAAAATAAATAATTTTTTTTTTCTTATACAGAAATTTTCAGTTTTTCAATTTTTTTCTCATCAGAAACTTTATGTAATCTTCGAAACAAAGTTTTAATAATTTATTTATTTATTTAAATTAAATTTTTTTTTGTTTTATTCTGATACTATTTTTCGGTTTTTTGGTCCGTCATCAACTAAGATAATTATTTATTTAAAATAAAAATTCAATAAATATTTACTAAATGTTTAAATTAAATGAAAATTATTTGTTAATAAAACAATTTTAATTTCAATATTATAAATAAAACAATAAGAAAGAAAAAAAAAAAAAAGGCAGACAGACAGAGAATAAAATATTTTTTTGAACATAATTAATTCTTCCTTTAATGATAATGAAGAATTTATCGAATAATTATACTTGCGATAATTTAGATTATATTTCATATTATTTAGTAATAATAAAAAATTATCATAATCATTATTTATATCATAATCAATATGATAATGAAAATAAATATAAAAATTTTTTAAAATTTTTTAATTTAACTCTTATACATAGTTTATTATGTGAAAAATTTGAAAATATTTCAACAATATATAGTGATTTTATTAATAATAATTTAATAATAAATTTATTATATTTTATTAATATTATATTTAAATGGTTAAATAGAATAAAAGATATTTTATTGGCTATATTATGTGAAAATAATGATATAAAAAAATGTATACAAACGTTTATTATAAATTATATTGATAGTATAATTTTTACGATATTATTTTTTTTAATTATAATAATTATTTATAAAACAAAATCAATTGTTAATAATAGTATATTAATATGTCAATATCAACAATCAAATATAAATAATAATATTAATAATAATAAAATTAATATTAATCAAAATGAAAATAATAATAATGAAAATTGTAGTACAATTATTACCTCAACAACAACAACAATAACATCACCATCATCTAATAATACAATATCATCAGTTATTACGGATAATGATATTATTGAAATTATACAAGATTATAATTATAGATCAGAAACTGATATTGCAAATTCTAATGCAATTAAAGAAATTATTGAAAAACAAGAAAATACAACGAAAAATTCATTAGAAAAAAAAAATATTAAAAAAATTAAACGAAAATATAAATCAGCTGGACCAATATTAATTTCAACAAAACATTTTACATTAAATAATCATTTTTTAAATGATGATTTCGATGACAATTTATTGTAAATATTGAAAATTGTGAAAATTTTTTCTTAAACCTTGATTATTTATAAATAGTAGTTTTGTGACGTCAAAATTGCAGTAATATTTATTATTTCTTAATTGTTTACTATAATACCGTATTACTGCAATTTTAATGTTAGAGATTTTAAACATAAACACAATATATCGCGATATATTATAATGAAAACTGCACTATATTAATGTTCATATAAACAAATGTTGCTAACCTATAATTTATTCATAAACATCGCTAAATTTATAAAATACAGAGAGTTCAACACACTTATTAAGCTATGTTTTTGCTAAGTATTACGTTTTGTAATTATTGTTTTGTAATATTGCGTTTAAGAAAATCTCTATTGTGTAAACTCTCTTTATATAGTATTACTCGTAAATAATATTTAACATCATATAATAAAATTTATAAAAAAAAAAAAATTCTTATATTTCTTATATTTTAGATCAGAACCACGTTCTATATTAAAAACAAAATTTTTAGATGACACATTCCCTAATCCGGATTCTGGGGAAAGTGGTTTATCTGATGAAGAACAAGAAGATCCAGCACAATATTGTAAAGGTGGTTATCATCCAATAACAATTGGTGATGTATTTGATGATAGATTTCGTGTTGTACGTAAACTCGGTTGGGGGCATTTTTCAACAGTTTGGTTATGTCGAGATACTTTGTAAGTATAAATATAAAAATTTAAATATATTTTATTGTACTTCTATGAAATAAAAGTGTATTAAATCAAAAAAATCGATTAAGTGATAGTGCCATATGACTGTACATGGAGAAATGATAAATTAAAATTAATTTTCATCGTAAAATGGTTGAATTTTAGGCTTACTTGAACATTTTTTATGCAACTGCAAAATAAATTTTTATAATTTCAAAACCTTTGAAATCTGGAAAATCTAATTTTTTTTGTGTTAACGCAGGTTTTGTCATAGCAGTGCGTTATGTACATATCTAACAATTGGTATGACAATCTGGCATTGCGACATGAAAATTGTACTTGTAGAAGATAGTGTGACGTATAGAAAACGTTAGGAATTAACATAAAGATTTAAATAATTTGTTTTTTGAAAAATTTTTAGTATTCTCTTTTAGTTAGAATTTTTAAAATCTGATTTTCTTTAATCATCTTAAACCACTCTTAGAAGTCCGAACTCCTTCGCGGATACAATTTTTTCGCACGAAATTCCAAGAAATGACGCATAGAGAATTTTAACAGCACTGCTATACTACACGGAATAATTATTAATTGCTTTAACATATTTAGTGCCAACAGACCCTGAAATTTTATTTAAAGAATTTGTGATGTGTAAACGCATATAAATTTTGGGAACCCAAAAATTCTGAAACACTTAAAATTATCAAAGGTTTTAATAATTAGTACAAACGCTACATAAATATTTTTAAATACATTATAGATTTTATTATGAAACAGCGGATTTTTTTCAATTTAAAGAAAAACAAGTTTTTTTTTTATAATTATAAATTGTTAATTAAAAACCTTTATTAAAATGAAATATTAAAATTTGCATTTCAAGTCTTTAAAAATATTTGCTCTTTTTAACAATTTTTCTATATAACAATTTCCTAATAAATTAGGTACATACCTTAACTAACTTCTTATTTCTCTAGTTTAATACCTTGATAACAATAATATTGCACTAAATCACTTGTTTTCATTGCCTGTTTTAAGTTTCTCTTAGGTTCAAAATACTTAGAAAGAATTTTTATAGGTTTATATAAATATAGAAAGAATAAAAATAACTAAGCTCGATAATTTCTTTCATAATGTGTTGATCTGGTCTCCTTATAATATTCAATTCTTTGAGGCCTTAATCTATGTAACATCTCCTAAAATAAAAAAATAAAAATAGAATATTATAAAATTATATTTTTTATTGTTTTTTGTTAACATTCACTTAAGTAAATATTTACAAGTGTTAAAGAGAATACTATATGTGTAATATAAAACATATAAGATGTAGATTTTCGTAAGACATCGATTATGAATTACGATCATGCAGAAAAAAATTTTAATCTAGATAAGTTACATACAGAATATGTTATATAGGTTAAACGAAAAAGAATATTCCGACAGCAAAATTTTTTATAAAATCATTTTAATTTGAGCAAATTAAAATTTCCAAAGTTATTTTGATTCATATACAAAAATATATCTTGACTATTGCATACTTTGCGGACGAAAACAATAATTTGCAGAAGATAATTGATTCATTAGGTCGAACAATAAGATTAATTATGTTAGTTAAGATAAATTAAGATTGGAAAAAAAATTGGCTTCGGCAAAATTAACCATTTTATAGTTATTATAAACTATTAAAATCTCAAATTTCTACAGTGTAAGCCTCAGAAAAAACGATGTCACATATATTTGAAAATAGAAAAAACCTCGTTTAAGATAACGGTTAATTTCGAATCTTATTTTGTCATGGTAATGTTTTACTATGATATTTCGTGATATAGAAGAAAAAAGTCACTATTTTTTGCAAAAATCTATTTGTTTGTAATGGCAATTTGTGCTTTCTATCTTAAATGGTTTAGAAATTTCGTGAACGATGGACGGACGGATAGATGGGCGAATTTGCAAATTTGCTCTTAACTTTGAAACTCATTGAGGTACACTAACCAAATTTTAAAAAGAATATAAAGATTAAATTGGGAAAATTCGAATTTCGTAACAAAATGCAAATTTGACTTACGCGTAATTATAATTAACGTACGCAATATTGTATGTTAAGTAAAAGTAAATATTAGAGTTGAAAGTACAATGAATGCTAAATTATGAAGTACTTTTCGAATATACAAATAGTAACTTTTTATTGTAAATCACATATACATAATGCCTAACCGATTTTTTGTTTTATTACAGAGATGAAAAATATGTTGCACTTAAAGTTGTTAAAAGTGCACCACACTATAGTGAAACTGCCGCTGATGAAATAAGGTAAAATTTTAATTAGAAAAAAAAAATAATGCATAATTTAAAATTTTATTTTTCATATATATAGACTCCTTAAAGCTATTAGAGATGCTGATCCAAATGATCCAAAACGTGAACGAATAATACGTTTATTTACACATTTTACTGTTAGAGGTGTTAATGGATATCATCATTGTCTTGTATTTGAAGCTCTTGGTTGTAGTTTATATAAGCTAATTGTAAAAAATAATTATCAAGGACTTGCATTACATCAAGTTAGAGTTATTATTAAACAAGTTTTAGAGGGTTTAGATTATTTACATACAAAATGTAGTATAATTCATACAGGTTCGAATTCTTTTCTAATTACAAATTATATATATAAAAATTATAATAAAATCTAATATACTTATTTATTTTATATATTTTATATAGATATTAAGCCAGAAAATATACTCCTAGTTATGGATAATGCTGCTGATATGAATCGAAGAATCGATGATGAAATGAATACATTACGACTTCAAGGAATTGATTATCCGGATTCATATAGTAAGTATTTTAAAGAATATTATGTTGTATATTTGGTTGAAAATGAAATCACAAATAATAAAAGTGTATTAATAAGATTTTAAAACCTAAAATCCTACAATAATTTATAATAAAAATTAATATTTTATATGTACTATTTTGTAAATAAAATTGTATCACTTACAATCACCTATAATATTATCTAAAATCTATAAAAATACACGCTCATATATAGATTTCAAATAAATTCTTGTAACTAAAATACAATCAGAAATTATATTATTTTATTTTCAAACCAAATTTTAACCCTTTACTTTATAATAATTTCTAATTGGTTCAATTCCCTATTAACTATACATCATTCCTATATAATACCTATAATATAGTCAGTTCTATTGAAAAACAAACAAAAGGGAGTCAAAGTTTATTTTCAAGATCACCATCATCAGCTAATGCCTATTCATCAGTTAGTAGAGCTGAAATATTAGATGAAAGTACTGATCAAAATGGTTTTATGGCATCCGCTGCCAATGCATTATACAACGATCTTATTAATGATGATCAAATAACAGGTTCCTTAGATGAAGATATATCTATTAATCGATATCGTACTGAAAGAAAAAACACTGGCAAGGTATAAATATAAAAATATTTTCTTCTTAATCTTTTATATAATATGTAAATATATATATAACACTAATATAGGTAAATGGAAATCGTGAACCACAAGCAAATTATATACCACAAACACAAGCTTATATTAATGCTATACAAACATTAATTAAAAGTAGAAATATTAAAGTGAAAATTGCTGATTTAGGAAATGCCTGTTACGACGTAAGTTTCTTATAAATTAAAATATTTATTATAATTAATTTTTTTTTTTTGAAATTATCAGTTTCATCATTTTACTGAAGACATTCAAACAAGACAATACAGGTCAATTGAAGTCATTTTAGGTAAATCAAAAAAAAAAAAAATTCAATAATTTAAATATTTACAACTTAAAAAATTGCATACTTTCAGGTGCACAATACTATTGCAGTGCTGATATATGGAGCACTGCATGTTTAGCCTTTGAAATTGCAACAGGTGATTATTTGTTTGATCCTCATGCTGGTGAAACATATTCAAGAGATGAAGATCATTTAGCACATATGATAGAATTACTAGGTTCAATACCAGTTTCATTAATTTTGAAAGGGAAACATGGTCTAAAATATTTTACTAGTTGTGGTATATATAAAAATATAATTTAATTTAAAATGGGTATTTTGGAAAATTCTACAGTCTAAAAATGCTAAAAAATTTCGAATCTACAGTCTAAAAATGTTTGATAATTCAAGATTCAAATATTAATTTTGGATCTGTAATTTCTTTAGAACTGCATTGCAATGATGTGCTACGAACCACTACATATGTGTGTAGATGATATAATAAGGCATATATACGTTCTAATATAGAAATTAAAGCACCAACTGAATTTTCGAAAATACTCAACTTTTATTACAAATAAAAGAAAAATTTAAAAATTATTTGATTTTTTAACATTTAAGGTAAACTACGAAATATAACTAAACTTAAGCCGTGGAATTTACTTAATGTTTTAACAGGTAAATATTATTCACAGAAGATTCATACAAGAAGAAGTAATATGGCCCCATTTTGTACTTCACTTTGCCAATCAACTTTTTTGGTCAATTTAATGGAATTCCAAATTTTCTTGATTAGGTTTATATTTTTTTTCAAAAAAATCTAACTGATTCAATTAGATTTTCTCATTTTATCATAATAATATCAAAATTCTGATTTTACTTTAAAAAACTTGAAAATACCAAACAAATGAGACTCCATTGAGATACAGACTCACTTTTCTTTCGTATTGTAAGTTGTGATTGAAAAGGTGAAATACTTAATGAGGCCTATAACTTATAAATCAGTAAAAAAATTATTTCAAGCTTAAGAAAATATTAAAATTTAGATTGTTAGTTAAAGAAGTATAACTTTGATAACTGAATTATTGAATTATTAAATAATATTTATATAATTTTTATAAATTATACCTACTTATAAACAAACACTAATGTTTTTATAATTTTAAATGTGTTTTTCTTTTTTTTATAGAAAAATATGACTGGGATAAAGATGAAGCTAAAAAAATTACTGATTTTTTATTGCCAATGTTAAATTTTAATCCACTAATAAGATCTTCAGCTGATGAATGCTTACGACATCAATGGCTACAAGATTTATAAAGTTACATATATATAAAAATATTATATAACCCTAGGATAAATATTAAATATTAATAATAATATGAATTTGCATTAATTTTTACGAAAATGAAAAAAAAAAGAAACAAAAAAAAAACTTATATAAAAAAAAAACAAGTATTCAATACATCTTATTAAGAATTATTTAATAAAAATAAATTAAAATAAAATATACTTAGACACATTTCTACATTCAAAAAAAAAGGACTCTGAAAAGTAGTTTGTTGTTTTCTTTTTTTAAAATCTTACAATTTCAGGTGCGTTTTTTTAGTAACACAACCAGTTTGTATTAAAAACTTACAGTAAACAAATGGGAAACCATTAACTGAATGAAAAATTTAAAACTAAAGGCAAAAACTCACGATATACCAGCATGATCGCAGACATCCTTGGATACTTTCAAAAGTATAGTTCTTCTTCTACAAAACTTAATTAACACTTAATTTAATAAGTGCGTTTAGAACTCAATTTGCCATATAGATAATTCAACACAAAATATGTACAATTTTTTACGGCAGGCACTTTAGAATTAAAATTTACTACTTAAAATTATTACTAAATTTACTGTATTTCGAAAGTAATAATGTATAACTATAAAAATTTAAGAAACCCTTCATGATTAACGTAGATGAAGAAAATTTAAAAAAATTTATAATTGTTCATGATGATCCCCATAAATCTTGCCCCTGTTATTTTACTATTATTAAATTAAAATTTCAGACATTGAAAATCAAAATCCTAATTTGCCTAAATCTAAAATACATTATCAAATTATAAAAGATATAATAGATTAAAATCTTATATATATAATAGATACAATATTATAACAGATTAAAATCTTTTTGTTAATTTTATCTTAAAACACATTTGTTACCTTATTCAGCCAAAATTAGCAAATTTTCCATCTATTGCTCTCAAAAGGAAGTCACTTAATATTGAATTACAAATAGCATAATCAATAATTTTAAATCCATACTTCCGAATTTCAATTCTTAAAGTTAGAACTGTGAAGCTTTAAAAACTTAATGTAAGTATAAATTAAATATAGATAAAATTTTTAAATTACTTTAGAACTTTAACCATGCTACGAATTTCGAAAGTGATTTTTTTACAGTATAAATTTATCGAACATGCTTTAACATCTAACATAAGTAGAACTAAATTTTTGAATATTCCCAAGATTTGTAATTCTTATGAATTGTATTTATGATAAACCTCATTTTTAATAGCTCACTTTGGAATATTATGCTTTTCGTAAATATGTGCATACGCTGTTTAGATAAATATTATATAAAGATAATTTTCATTTCTATCTATTTTTATTTAATCTATTTTTCACTACTACAATAGTCGTGATAAGGGTATGTGAAAAGTATTATTCCAGTTCCTTTCGAAATAATTTAAAACAAAAATATTTGAATTTTACTTAATAAAAAAACAGGTCTGTTAATATAGCTACTGTTCTACATTTGCTTCATTAAAATAATAAAAACCATTGTCTTTCAAATTGTGTAGTTTAAAATTGGTTTAATTCTTGATAAAAATTTTGAAAATGAAACTATAAGCCTTCAAATCTTTTCACTTCTTCTTACTTCTTAAAAAACTATTATAAATATGATTACAAAAAACTCGCTTTCGCACGAGTACAACAATCTACGTGTATTCAAATAAATTGTTGTATGTTTTACATACTTTGTCCGACAAACAGTATCAGAAATCAATATTGAATTCATTGTATTATATTTTCTTTATTAAATAAATTTAGCATAATTTTTATTTTATGCTACCAAAACCAATGTTACATTATAATAATCAAATTAAAAAAATTTCTAATATAAATTTTTAAGATTGTCTCGATGTAAAATAATGCAAATAAGACCCTATAAAAACGACAATATCAAATAAACTGGTATTTAAAATCACTCTTTCAAAAAAAAAAAATTAACTATTTTAAATTTAAAAATATGAAAATTTCAATATTCCTAGAATTGATGAAGTATGAATTAAATATTTCTAATTTTATATTATCATGAAACTCAAATTTGGTATACTTAATTTCTCCCTTTTTGCGGCATCAAAACGGTTTTATATTTAAGTTTTCTACGGAAAAAAAGCGCATACATAAAACAGGACGCATTTATTATTTACCATTACAATGATCCCATTTCTAAATTTAATTACGAATTTTTTGCTGTAAACTCAAAACTTTCTCCCAACAAATTTTGTATTTAACTACAAGAAATCTAAAAAATTATTACAAAAATTAAGAAAAAATAAATAAATTGAAATGACAACATAAAAATGGTGAGTGTTATATAAAAAAAAAATTGCTTGTTTTTTAGCATTCGACAAAAATTTAAAAATAAATTTAGATGTATTTCGAAAATTCAGTACTTAGCTAACAGTAAGAAAAAACAAAAAATTTCTTAATTTAGAGGAAATAAACAGCACAAATTGTACTTCTTACTCTTCTTACCGTACTGTATTACCAGTACTGAGAGAGTCATTCTTTTTTTTTTTAATTATACTTAGTTAGTTAAAAAAATGAGGCAGCAAAGAAAATACAATTGCCAAGAAAATTATTGACAGTATTGATTTTCAAAATTACTGCTAAATCAGCACATAATTTTTAAAAATACTTTCTTGACATTTTTTATTAAACTAATACACTGCATGTAAGTACTTACTAGATGCTACAAAAAAAAAAGTTAGAACTGAATTTTCAAAAACACGGTTTGCTGTTATATATGTATGCAAATTTTTTAATTGCTTCTTTCTATTTTTTAGCATTATTATTAGCTTTGTTAATAAAAATTAGTATTTTAGCTTAAAAGGAAAATTAATTTTCTTTTAAAAAACAATAACAATGTGTTATTAAAAGTTAGTAATCTAGAAAATAGCTCACCATTACAAGTATAATAAAAAAGAAAAATTTTTAAAAATATTATTAAATATTTAAAGCAGAAATTAAGTGATACAAACCATAAACGTGACATTTTGTTAAAAATTTTTTGTAAGTGAGAGGACGAACAAAATAAAAAAAAAAATAAACAAACACAATTTAATTTATATTTTTTTTTTGTTTTATGTTATTTTTAATTTTTAAGCTAAAGAATAATTTTTTTTTTTTAATGAAAACAAAACATTTTACGCCTTTTATTATATATATATATATATATAATTATACATAATATATATATATATATATGTATATATAATTTTGAGTAATTTTTTTTATGTACAATCAAAGTAATAACAACAAAGTGTTTAAGAAGATTTAACACGCAAAAAAATTATTATTGTTATATTATATAATATATTTATAATTTTACATATTTATTTATATATCAATTGGATTTTTTTTTTATATAATTTCGTATTTTAGTATTTTCATTGAAAATTATTATATAATTAAATGTTATTTATTTGTCATTAAAATTTTATTCTTTTTTTTTTGAAATTTTTAAAATCAAATGTGTAAAATATTTTTTAAGCATTGGTATGCACTAAATTTTATATTATATTAAATAATAATATTATAAATTTGCATTTTATATTAATTTCCTTTTCATTATTAGGATTTATAGTATGTATTAATCGAGATCAAAGATATAAATGGACAAATATTGAAAAAAAAAATATCATAAAAAAATATCAACCGTTTGTTTTGTAAAAAAAAAAAACTAATTAAGAAAAAATTTGATTAAAATTAATAATAAATGATTATATATATGTATTTATAAAAAAATTGTAAAACAAAAAAAAAATTCATATAATTTTAATAAGATTTTCCAGAGATTATTCAAATATAATAAAAAATAAGATGTAATCAATAATATAAAATGCACGTCAAATCCTTTTGCATCTTAATCTTTTTTGAAGTTATCAAAAACAATTTTAACTTTTTTAACTACGAGTATATGCTGTTAACAACTGATCTCTAATACATTAGTAGTGTGACTAATAATGTCAATTGCCTGTCCCATTATTAAAACTTTTCACATTTCCTTTTTTGTGCAAAATGGAAAATTTGGAAGAGCATAAATAAATTTTATTTAATGAAATTTGGATCTAGAAATATTATCAAAATAATTTGTTAAAATTATTAACAAATAATATAAATCAAAAATAATTTAATACTAAAGCAGTATTGTTGATCGGTTGCATGCAAAAAAATTGAATATGAAAACTGGTGACCGACTAGTTCAGATGAAATTGATGTTGTCGACTGACATTTAAATATTATTGATTACACCTACATTTTTAAAAATATAAATACGTCTTGTAATTTTATTCTATACGCGGCGCTAAAAACTAATAAAATATAAAACAAAAATTTATGCATATATTAAGAATATTTAGTGTACACCAAGCTAAAAAATAAAATTACTATAATTAATAAATAAAGAACACATTTTATAAGTTCTTGTTAATTAATTATTATCATCAAACTATAATTATGTATTTTTTTTTTTCTTTTCATTTATTTTATAATTATTTATAAAGAGGCTACATTATATTAGCAAATGTTTTAATTATTTTAAAAAATAATTTATAGAAATGACTAAATGGACAATTTTTATTTTATTTAATAAAAATCTTACTTAATTTTTTAGTTTTTTATTTTTGTTTTTTTTTTTTAATTATAAATTAAATTAATAGGTTATCATAACTCATTTTTTTTTTTGTGGATCCTTTTTTTTTGTTTTTTTTTTTTATTTATAATGTATAATTATATTAAATATTTTAATTGATTACACTTTTCGTTTACACAGTTTATTAAAATTTTCTATATAAGTTATACTTAATTATTAATTTATTATTGTTGTTTTATTTTTACAATTTTATTTTTTAATTAATTTTTTTCATATTTTTTTTTTTATTTTTTTTTTTCATAAAAGTCAAAAGTTTGTAGTAGTAAAGAAGAAGTGTGTAAAAGTAAAAGTGTAATTTTAAATAAAAAAAACAAATAAAGATATTTTATATATTATATTTTATATGAATGTTATAAGCTCATTATTATTATACATCAGATATTCATGACAATAATAATTATAAAATAATAATAATAATAATAATAATAATTACAATAATAATAAACATAATATAAAAAGTATGCAAAAACATAAGAATATGTAAAAAGTATTAGAGATATTCATTAAAGCAATAATACAAAAATGTATACTGATGATGAATATGCATTATATTTTTGAATATTCAATAAAAGTAAAATAGGTTCATATAATTTAACTGTGCTAATTATAAAAAATTATAGCATAATTGGTATAAAATAATATGTATATTATATAGTAATAATAATAATAATAATAATATTGATAATAAATAAAAAGAATACCTATATTAATTTAACAAAATGCCTTCAATTTAAATTTAATATTATAAAGAATTTTTTAAACAACTTGTTTTGTTTGTTATTTATTTGCAAGAAAATTTCAATGTTTATGATAAAATATTAGTCTTGGAAACTATTAATACAAAAAAAAATAAGAAAAAAATATTAATTTTATAATATGTATATGGACAAACGCAATTCCTTAAAATTTTTTTAAAGGAACACAAAATTAAATTAATTCCGTATTAGTTTCTAAATAAACTTATTAAACAGTTTAGTATACAACATTCTTTTTAAAAATTTAAAAAATTGATATGAAAGAATAGAAAAAAAAATTGTTTATTTAATTATTGACTACTACACCTGATGTATAACAGGTACTTTATATAGAATTTGAAAGTAATGTACTTAAATTACAAAATTGATGTTTTTCCATTTCAATCTTTATTAACTTTTCATTTTCTAGAGTTTAATCTTAAAAAAAAAAAAGAAAAGAAACGCATTATTTCTTTTATATTTGTTTTTTCTTTTTTAAAGACAAAATACAATCAATCACCAACACTTTTATATTAAATGTAATATTGTAACATATATATGGATATTTTTTTATTTATAATTAATTTTTTTTTTTATAATTTAATTTTTTTATAATAAAACTTGAATACATTTACTATTGTATGTATCGTACTTACATAATGAAATTAATTAACAAAACTATAAATTTTAATTTCGTCTTAAAAATTAAACTATACATTTTTTAATATATTATATATTTTAATTGAATTTTATTATTAAATTCTATATTAAATTATTATAATATATTTCTTGAATCCGTTTTTTTTTTTTTGTGAACTGTGAAGAAATGATGTAGTGGGTTGAATTCATATGTAAACGGCCTTTTAATTATAGTTTTATTTTATTATATATGTATATATAGAATTTTTTATACATTTTGAATTCATTTTTTTTTTGAATTTCTCAATAAATTTAGGAATTAAATGTTGTTTTATAATATATTTTATGTATGTATATATAGTTGTTTTTTTTTTCTGTTATCTTCTTGATTTATCAAGTAATTTGCATGTAAACTTTTAAAGATTTTCAATAATTTTTTTATTTGTTCAATATTTTTTTTTTTCATTTTTAACAAGTTTTCCATCATTATTTTTATAGTCTTGCATTTTTTTTTACCAATGACTTTTCTATTTCTCAATATTTTTGGTACATATCTTAAAATATGTGAAAAAAAATAGAGTTTTGTTAATGGAAATAAAAAAAAACAAAAAAAAAAATTTCAAATTAGTTTTAAAAACCTGGTGTATAAGTTGTTTGTTCCGTTGTATTTAATGAAGTTGCCTCGGTGGCTCCAGTAAACGGATTAGTTGGATTTGCTGATGGTGGTGGCATTGCAAAAGCTGCACCACTTTGATTTGTTTGTGATGTTAATCCATCTCCACCTCCACCACGAAAATCATCATCACCGAATTCCTCCTAAAAAATAATAAATTGGAATTTTTTGGAAAATTTTTTTTTTGTTTTTTTTTTTCTAAGCTTTTGCTTTATTACGTTTTTTTTTTCGTTTGTTTTTTCACTCACATTTAAGAAAAAAAAAATCGAAATACAATATGTTTAAAATACAAGAATATAGAAAATACATAAAATATACATGAAAAATTTATTTTAATATTTTCTAACTTTAAACATGTATCACTGTAAGGCTAAATATTAACCTCAGATAAAATATATTAAACAAGAAGAAAAAAATAAAAGTCACATCTAAACTATATAAATGAAATTAAATTAATTTAAACAGCCATATTTTGTCAATAATTTATTATTTTTTTTATATTAATATCGTACTACACGAAATTAATTCCTATTACCGTACAAATATTTTTGAGGATGATTTTATTTAACTACTATATAGGTCCAGCAATTAACTAAAAAAAAAACCATTGTTAAAAATATTTGTACACTCAAAAAATTGAACACCTCACATCGCAGAATCTTAAAGGAGATTTAGAAGAGTTGTTTATATTCCTTAAAGGTATATTAAAAAATATTATTCGATTCCAATTAATTAAGCTATGCTAAATGCATCAAATATATATATAATAAAATAATTGCTATATTATCTTTTGATAAAATTTAGAAAGAAACAAAATTTTCTTTAGAAAAAAACTAAAGAAAAATTAATTATTAAAAAAAAAAAGAAAATTACAATTCGAACTGCATATTTTGTTAGTATGTTATTTTCAAGATAAATTATGTTTAAAACAAAAATTTAAAAATTAATTTTAAAAATGCATTTATAAACGCCTCTATAGATTCCAAAATAGAAAAAAAAATTAGTTTGTTTTTGTTTAAGAGCCAAAAGAATTGAAGTAAATACAGTATACCTGGTACATGAAATTACCATTATTTTAAAATATCAATCAAAATTATAGTACAATATCAGCTACATAAACATAATCAACTATATACTCATAAGGTTAGATTTATTTCTGGTTAAAACTATTACTTTACTCACGAGACTATAAATAGAACAGTAACAACATCAAAAATCAAACAGTGACAAATCAAAATCACACTCTTTTATCACACATATTATATTGCATTGTACAAGCTTAAACAGAAATACATATTTTAAGTTAAAGCATAGAGAGTTTTAGCTGATTTTTAACAAATAAATGAAATCATGAAATTCAAAAATATTAATAATAATATTTTATATTTTATAAATTTAGACAAAAATTGCTATAAGTACATATATAGAAAAATAAAGTAAATAGGAAATCAACCGGTATTTAATCAATAAAGAGAAGCCTATAAAATACCCTATTTATATGATAAATAGAGTATAGTTGACAAAAAATAACAAAAAATTTTGGACTATAAAATATTTAATAACAAAGTGATTTAATAACATCCTCTCTAATATAAAATATTTACCAAAGCACGCATACAACAAACTCGAAGAATATCTTTACCAATTAAAATTATTTACTCATAATTAAACTGTTAAATTTTAGTCTTTATTCATTCAATTCTTCTTAAGAACTGACTACATATTATTCAAGTTTAAGTTAAGGTTTTTAATCAGAAAAAAATATTATAGGCATAATTATTAATATACCTGCATAAAACAATATGTTAAAGTGAAACCAATAACAATATCAAATAATGTATTAATACAATTAAAAGTAATGTTAATTTAATCATACGATAAAGTGCTTTGATACCCAAGTAGCAAATTAAGGAATTAATTTTTAACACTCCTCCTATCAACGCACTTTACAAATTCATCATTTTAACACAATTTTCATGTTTAAGTCTGTTCAGTCCTTTTGTTAAAACATCTGCAATCATCTCATGAGTTGGTACGTATTTGATTTCGATAAGTTTCTCATCTTGCATTTGTTTACAATAATGGTATTTTATATCAATGTGTTTCGATCTGTTATGATGAGTTGGATTTTTCGAGAGACTTATTGCGCTTTGGTTGTCACAGAATATAATTGTTTTATCTTTACAAAACGGAAGTTTTAAATCGCTAAATAATTTTCTTTGATACATAACTTCTTTAGCAGCTTCGGATAAACCTACATATTCAGCTTCCATTGTCGACAGTGCCACACACTGTTGCTTTCTCGATTTCCAGCAAATTGGAGCGCCACCAAATATGACAACATACCCATAACATGATTTTCGTTCACAAACGTCGCCTGCCCAATCTGAGTCTACATAACATTTCAGATCTTCTCCGGTTTTACTATATTTTATTGAATAATCAGGAGTACCTTTAAGATAGCGCAAAACACGTTTGGCAGCATTCCAATGAATTAATGACGGATTACTTGTAAATCGACTGAGCAAATTAACTGCATAAGCTATATCTGGTCGTACTGTATTTGATAGATACGATAATGCCCCAATTAATTCACGATAGGGCTTTTCAATCAATTCCTTGTTTGTAGATTTTGATTGCAATACGTGATTTAAGCTTGTATCTAGCGGTGTTGTTACAGAATTTGCATCTTGCATACCGAATTTTTCCAGAATTTTCTCTATGTATGACTTTTGATGAATTATAATATTTCCTGTTTCATTTTTACGCTCAACTGTAATACCAAGAATATTATTTGTTTCTCCCATATCTTTCATTTCGAATTTTAATGATAAAAGTTTTTTCATCTCATTTACTTTTTCTAAACTGTTTGATGCTACTAACAAATCATCTACATAAATCAAAATAAGAATAATAGAATTACCATCGTATTTTATAAACAAGCATTGATCAGCACTTGTTTGTAACATATTTAACGAAAGTAAATAGGTACTTAATTTCTTGTGCCATAGTCTTGCGGCTTGCTTTAGTCCATATAGTGGTTTTTGTAGTCTACACACTTTTGAAATATCTCGCTGAATATTTGGTATCTGTGGTAACTCCATATAAATTTCATCATCAAGATCACCTTGAACATAAGCGGTAACCACATCCATCTGATGCAAATAAAGTTCCAGCTCAGCACACAATGCAAATACGGTCCGAATTGTTTCATATCTTGCAACGGGTGAGTATACCTCGTTATAATCAATTCCCATTATTTGCTCACAACCTCTGACAACTAGACGCGCTTTATATTTCGGCGAGCCATCTGCATTCTTTTTCACACAATAAACCCATCGATTACCAAGTATTTTTCTATTTTTAGGACGTTCAACTATACGCCAAGTTTTATTTTTCTGTAGTGAATTGAGTTCAGAATCCATAGCTTCAATCCATAAATCTTTATCGTCAGATTTCATTACACTATCGAAGGATGTAATATTTAAAGGATCTGCTAATGCATAGTTTACTTCTTCATAAAGTTTCCGGGGCCTGCCCCTTTGGCCCGTTCTTATTATTTTCGGTCTGCCACATTTTCTTCTATTTTCAACAGAATTCAACTTTTTTATACTTTTCGGTGATTCAAATTTTTCGAATACTTCAATATCTGGTTCAGAATTCGGGGATAAAAATTCCTCATCTATATTTTCATCTATTTCGTGTTCATCATCAGTATTAACATTGTTTTGCTTGTCACAAGTTCCTTTTTGAAGAATTTCACTTTTGTCATTACCAACATCCAGAGGGTCTATCAGGTTTTTTTTTATTTCAGAAATATTTTTTAATTTAAAATCTACTTCACATATGTAATTATTTGGATTAAATATTTCAAAAAAATCGTAAATCGCGCCTTTTAATAATAGACCTGCAACCATCCCACAGACGATAACCTTTTGTTTCAGGGCAGTAACCAACAAATGTGTAAATTTGACCTTTCGCATTTAATTTTGACTTATTCGGACCTTTTTCCAGTGCAACCACCCTACAACCAAAAGATCTTAAAAAATTAATATCAGGTACCTTACCAAATAATATTTCAGTTGGAGTTTTTCCAGGTAAAGCACTACAAGGGCTGCGATTTCGAATAAAAGCTGCTGTATTTATAGCTTCCGCCCATAGACTTTTTGGTAAATTTGACTGCAACAACATACATCTTGACATATCTAATAAAGTCCGATTTGCACGTTCAGCAATGCCATTCTGTTGTGGTGTATATTCTACTGATAACTGTCTTGAAATTCCTTGGCTGCTTAAATAATTGTTAAAATTCTTTGATAGGTATTCTCGAGCATTGTCTGTGCGAAGAATTTTAATTTTCTTGCCAGTTTTTCGTTCTACCCATTTTTGAAACTTTTTAAATGCTTCGAAAATATCACTTCGATTCTTCAAGAAAGCCACATCAACATAACGTGATTTTTCATCGATAAAAGTTGCAAAGTAACGTGCTCCGCCTAATGATCGTACGCTAAAGGGACCACATATGTCGGAATGTATGATTCCCAATAATTCACTTTCACATTTGCTTGAATTTTTAAATGGTAATTGGGAAATTTTCGCCTTTTCGCATATTACACATCTCAGTTTATTTAATTTCAAATTTTCATCGATACCTTTTACCATATTTTTAACTTTAATTACGTCTTTAAAATTTAAATGACCCATTCTTTGATGCCACTTAACCAAATCATCATTTAAGGATTCATGTGCAAACATTGAACTTATTTTTTCTGCTTCTACAACGTATAAATTATTAATTTTATTTGCAACTAGTACAGAAGTATTATATTTATTTTTAAATGTAGCATATGTATCTTGAAAAATAATTTTTATACCATAACTGACAGCCTTGGAAACAGATATAAGATTATGACGTAATTTTGGTGAATAAATTACATTATGTAAAATAATTTTGTCAGCATTTCCCATTACCTTAAATTCAACTGTACCTGTCCCATAAGCTTCCATTGTATTGTTATCGGCAATATGTATGAAACGACGTTCATATGAAGTCCAACTTACAAATAAAATTTTTGTTGTTGCACATGTGTGCACTCGCTCCGCTATCTACATACCAATCGTTTGTATTAGTAACGCTCGTATTATCATGTATAACTGCACTCATTGCTATTCCTTTTGAATGATTTCTATTTTTCTTCTTTTTACATTCACTACTCTTATGGCCATGCTTTTTACAGTAAAAACAGTTACCATTAAATTTGATTTTATCAGAATTATTTTGGCCTTCATTATTTTTGCTAAACACATTTTTGTTACCTGAAATTTTGTTTCTATGCACATTTGAATAAAATGCATTTTGATTACTTTCATATTTTTCACCAGCACAGTCCTCCCTTCTATTTTCTTCGTCAATTAATTTAATTTTCAGCACGTCTAATTTCGGTAGCACGTCTCGACTTTCAATCGCAATACAAAAATTTTCATATTCTTCTGGTAAGGTATTTAATATCATAATAGTAATTAATTCAGAAGGAAGCTCCACACCAACCTCCTCCATTTGATCCACGCTACTTTGAAAATCCCTTAAAAGCTCTGTCATTGTTTGATCTGATTTCTTTTTCATTTGAAACAGCTTTTTGTATAACATGATTTTTCGTGATGGCCCTTTTGAACGATGAACCTGCTCTAACATAACCCAAGCTTCGTTCGAAGTTTTTGCCTTTTTCACATACTGCAATTGATTTTCTTTTAATGCCAATACAATTAAAGCCAATGCCTTTTCATCATATTTATCCCACGTTTGAATGTCATGAAAATTGCTTCCAGATGAACTTTCACCTTTTTCTAGAACAGGACGTATTTCACTTCCACTCACATAACTCCATAAATCATTATATATTAATACGCTGCGCATTTGCAATGCCCACGATTCATAGTTATGGTCATCTAACTTTTCTATATTCGCACTGGAGTTCATTTTATTATATATATATTCAAATCCGCTTTATTAAACAAATACCCGATAGTATATATATTTCTATTACAATAAAAAAGAACAATTATTTCGAGTACCACGCGGTGGCCTTATCTGGGCCCATAACCTGTTAAATTTTAGTCTTTATTCATTCAATTCTTCTTAAGAACTGACTACATATTATTCAAGTTTAAGTTAAGGTTTTTAATCAGAAAAAAATATTATAGGCATAATTATTAATATACCTGCATAAAACAATATGTTAAAGTGAAACCAATAACAATACCAAATAATGTATTAATACAATTAAAAGTAATGTTAATTTAATCATACGATAAAGTGCTTTGATACCCAAGTAGCAAATTAAGGAATTAATTTTTAACAAAACATTTAAACACAAAAAAAATAAAACAAAATAAATTGTTTTATTTGTAATTTCTTAAATTACGACCAACCTACCTGAATCAAAGATTTTTAGTTAATGAAAAATAATTCAACTCAGAAAATTTATAGAAAAAAAATAATTTTATATTTGATTTATTAGGTTAAAATTTACTATTTTATTGAAAAACAAAAGAATTTCAAGAAAATTGCTCTAATTTTTATGTTTAAACTAGTATATGTTAATTGTATATAAAAAAAAAAAACAATTTTTTAAGTACATACATACATATATGTATATAACAGTGTACAAATAACAATGTGTTAAGGTTTTTTTTGAATATCATGTAAAAATAAAAATCAATCATATTGGCCCCTTTACACTTTTTTTCAAATTTTTTTCGGAAAAGTGCTGAAAATGGAATTTTTTTAATATAGCAGTTTAGCGTAGCTTAAAAATCAAAATGTTTATAATTAATTCAATAATATCATTAAAAAAAATTAAGTATAATAATATTAGTTAGTTTTTATGAAAAAACAAACGAATATTTCTCATATTGTATTTCCGAAAATTAAAATTGGAAAAAAAACAGATTATTTTTTTTATTATTTTTTACTATTTTTAATTTTTTTTTAATTAAACTATAGTTGCTTATTAGTTATTTTTCCATTAAATTTTTATATTTTTAATAATTAATTCATCTACTAGAAATTTTTAAAATTTTAAAAATTTTATAGATTTTCTTGCATATAACATAAAAAATTTTGTATGTGTTTAAAAGTGTTATTTATTACAATTAAATTTTTTTCAAATCATTTTATAGAATTATAGAATATAGATTGTTATAAATGATATTAATAATGGTTTCAGTATATAAACAAAAATTGTAATTTTTCACAAAAAAAAAGCAATATACATAGTAAGTAGAAAAAGAAAACATGAAAGGTACAAAGTAAAGTACAAAGAAATTCTAACATTTAAAAGTATTAAACCGTTTACCTCAAAACCAATCAACAAACATTAAATAATAATGTATATATATACATGTATATATTACCAAATTTAAATAATGACTTGACTTTTTTTATTTAGTTTATAAAATTAAATTAAATTTAAAAAAAAAATATATAGAAAGAATTAGTAGTTATTCTGAAATATAATCTCTCTACCATTGGTCAAAATATTTCTAAATTTCAAAAAGAAAAACACTTATATAATATTAGTTGTTATTATTTACTTTAAAAAAAATATACACCAATATTCTGTCACTCGCATCACTTAATGTGACAAGTTGTTTTTCAAAAGTGTTGTAATTTCCAGAATAAAATCAATTACAAAATTTAAAATTTTGTACTGTACGATAAAATACTTTTCAATAACATCCCATTACATCAAGTGATGCGACTGACAGAATGTATAGGTGATAATTTTAAAATATGTACATATTTTAAAAATTTTTATATAAAAATTCATGTAACTAACATTTAAATTTTTTCCCTTCTGCTTTCTCTTTTTATAGATATAAAAAAAAATATATTTCATTATATTGTTTGTTTCGTCCTTACTAATTGTTAATCATAAATCAGTCTAAATTTCCAAGTATAGGAAAAAAAAATGAAATGTAAAACTATCCCTGTGCCAAAATTTCTCAAGGTTAAATTTTTATTAAAACATTACATTACATATTTTGGAATCGTTGGCACAAAGATAATTTAATATAGATTTTCTTTCATTGATGAACGAACGAAGGAAATTTCCGATGTAAAATTGTAAAAAAATTGACAAAATTTTTTTTAAAATGTCATTTTTAAAAATTTGCTCGAGGAATGAATATTAAACACCACGCTTTGGTGAAGCGCATATTACGCTCTAGTGAAATTTTTTTTACGTTTAAATTGTTATTGCAGCAATGCAAAGCTATGCTTCGATACGGTAATACATTAATACACAACCTTTTGCACTAATCAGTCAAGACCCATTATGTTTTATTTTTCTCATGTATAGAGAAATATAGAATGACTTTTAGTATTGTATCATATTTTCCCAATGTATGTACATACATACTACATATGTACATATGTATATACATACGAATCGATTTCACAGAATTGAATTACATTTTTGCTTACTTAAGATTTCTCGTGAAATTATGATTCTATTAATGTGAATTGAAAGATTAATATCGTCAATTTATTTAAGATTTATGCTGAATTTTCTTTTTTAAATTATTTTTTTAATAAGAAATTAATTTTTTTTTAAACATATGTACATACATACATACATTGTCAAGCAAACGTTTTCAATTTTGTAAATTCCCTTATATTTTTATCGTACTTTTTTTCAAATACATTTATGTATTAGAAATATATAGTACGTAGCATCTAAGTATGCTTTAACACAAAAAAAAAAATTCAATTTTGAAAGATGTATTTAGAAAAAGAAATGTGTATGTATATATGTATGCTTGTATGTATAAAAACATTTTAATTAAAATAAAAACAAAAACATGTATGTCAAATTTGAATTTGTTTTCAAAATTCGATTTTTGTTTAAACATTTTAAATACGAAACAAATAAGAAAAATAAACGTTTAAAAGTAAAAAAATAGTATTTATAAACTAAAATTAAAATGAATTTGAAATATATGAGTGCATTTTTAATGAAGAAATACTCGAAAGCAAAAAATCAAAATAAAAAACAAAAATACTTAAATCAATTCTATACTTACTTTTCTGAGTGGATCACCACTGACTACATTGTCACATCTGTTACCACCGTCAGCCTAGTTTTTTTTTTGTTTTTTAATGACATCAAAGGAACAACGAATAATATATGAGAACATTTATGAGATGATTAATTAATAAAAAAAATACACAAAAAATTTAAACCAATATCAAACTTAAAAAAATGTAGTAATTACTATTTAAATAAAAACATAAAATAATAAAAAAATAAAAATTTGGATTCAATCAAATCAAAAAGCTCTTACATTTGAAATTTTTTCACCAAGTTCTAACTAAAAATTTGTCATATAATTTTTTTTTTATTTTCAAATAATCTCCAATCATTAGTACAAAAAAAAATAAATAGCAAAAATTTAATATTAATATTCCAATTTGTTTAATAAAAGAAGAGTAGTATAATTTTTTAGCTCAATTCACATAATATTTTTGACCTAGTAGGCTATAAAACGTTTTAGTATGTTATGCTTAAATGCATTTCTTTAAATTTTTAAAAAATAAATAAAAACTTGATTTTAAAAAGCGTGACGTTGTTGTTAAATATTTTATAATTTCCGAAAATGTAAAAAGAAAATCAATAAATTGAATAAAATATATTGCAGCAACAAATGAAAGATTAACCTTGAATAAAAAATATTCTTTTTACTTATATACGTTAAAACGATTCATCCTAAAGTCATAATACGCAAAATATATATATTTATTATAAAATATTATATGTATATATATTAAAAAAAAAATCTGTGCAAAAACTTAATTAATTTCTAATTGAAACCGTATAATAAAAAAAAATTCAGAAACATGATTTAGTATTTGAATTAAATGTAATAAAGAAAAATGATTTAGCAAAAATGTGTAATGATTTCAATAAATTTTGCCGGTATTGATTTACAAATGAATTAAATTCTTTTTTTTTTTTTTATTGAAAAATATTTATGCACAACTTATCAAATGTAATTATATCTATCAAATATAAATAATCTTTTCTACTTAATGCATATTGGATTACGTTTTTTTTTATGTTCGGCAAGAAAAGTCAAGTCATAATTTATAATTTTCTGTTTGACTATTCGATATGACCAGAATTAAGGGGATCTCTATAATACAATACGAACTCAAATAAAAATTAAATTTTGTTTTAAATATTTATTTTTTGTTTCATTAATAAATTATAAAAATAATACTCAATTTTTATAATTCACAGATTTAAAAACTTTTATTTAATTAAGGTTTCCTATAAGTAAATTTGGGGAATTACCAAATTTATTTTAATGAAAAATTTAAAACATTTTCTAATATTGTCGTTTTTATAGTTGCATTAATTTTATAATCGATTAGCTTATTCATGATTTGTCGTTTTTCAGTCTATTTTTAATCAACTTTGATTTTAAAAGATTTTAAGTTAATCATAATCAAAAATAACTAAACAAGTTATCTTTGCTATTATCCGAAAGATAAGTGAATTTCATATATGTATACTTAAAAGTCGTATAAAATTAAATTTCTTTTATCAAAATTATTAATTACTTTATGTGAAAGATAAGACAAAAAAAAAAGAATTAACAAAATGAAAGGAAAATATTAAAAACTTACATTTAATGTTTGATAATCACGGGTACTTTCCATGTTGGGCGATGGTTTATATTTTCCACAACAGAAATTGCAACAGCAACAGCAGCAACAGCAGCAGCAGCATCCAGTTATGACAGCGCAACATAGGAACAAAGCCTATGTTCAAAAATTACACAGAAATGTTTTTCATTAATAATATAACAATTAATATAAATTTCAGAATAAAATTTCATTAAGTATTATTTTAAAGATGATTGATACACAGTCGTTTTAAATTTAAAAAATTTAAGATTTATACTAATGTACCTACACATCTACTTGAAAAACATGCATTTATTTGTAAATTTATAAAGCAGAATATTTTTATTTTTTTCTTTACCTTAACTGCGGGAGATGTCACAACGAAATATGCATTTACATTTTCTTCACCAAACTGCTCTGCTATGTATAGACCCAATGATCCATAGTTATCATAAATATTTCTTTTTGTTAAATCGCTAAGAATTGAATGTGCTCTATTAACTTCCTTAAACTGTAAATTACATATACATACATTAGTAGGTTCAAATATATGTATGCCATAATCTTAAAAATATTTTAATCGATAATATGATATACATAAATGTACGTATGCACATAATTATATAAAAATGTTTAGTTAATATCCACATTTTCTTTTTTCTTTGCATTGAAAATGACAATGAAACTTTTATTATATACACTTATTACAATGTTTAAAGTAACTAATTAAACTAAACCGTGCACTATAATAGTAAATTTATATGTTATACCTTTTCAGCAGCTTCCACATTATCAGGGTTTTTGTCAGGGTGATATTTAAGTGCTAATTTTCTATAAGTTTTTTTTATTTCATCTTGAGTAGCAGTTTTCGGAAGGCCTAATATTTGATACAATGAATCACCAGAAGTCCTAAAAAAATTTTCAATATTCAAATAAAATCAAAAACAGAAAAAATTTTCAAACTTACGATAATTTTCTTTTATCCATTACTTAAATATTGATTTTTAAAATTGTCAAATTTACTAAAAACAAACGTACGAGCCAATAATTTATTAAAAGAAATCGTATTTTTCCCAAAAATTCTTAATATTATTTACTGTAGAGAAAACAGTATCAAATAATTTCTAAACAATTGTTAATATTAAAAATATTCAATTTTATTTTTCTTTTCCTAATTGAATGTTCTGTCAACAAAATGAAGAAATTTTAAACGCAGGTGTGACAAATTTCTATAATTTCGCGCCGGCGTAAAACTATATTTAAAATGGCACTTCATTGTCTTCAATAAGTCATAAGATTGTCAAAATCAAAAAATTTGTAGAAAATTAATGGGGGTTTTCACACACGTTATTAAGTAGGAAGTTGAAGATATCTTCAAACTTTCAAATTATGCCAAACATGTTTTTGCTTACACATTTTTTAAATAAATACATCATTTTATAGCTTTTACTTATCTAGACAACTCTATGTACATACGTTATATATACTTTTTACTCTTTTATAATATATTCTTTATTATCCATCAAACAACTAGCAGGGACATTAAAAAAAAATTCTTTTAACCAGACCCTTTAGAAATAATATACCACAGCATCGGTGTAACACTGTCTTCAAAAAAAAAAATAAAAAAAAAAAAAAAAATACCAATCACTGACTGTTATTTCCACTCTTCTTTTAAACCTTGAATAGAAACAAAAAGGAGACATTGTGTAAAAACCTCTATTTTATTGGTAATTAATAGTGATATAACCTTCATGAAGGGTTGTACATAAAAATCATTACAACCCTAAAAATTTGATGGGAATATTTTATATTATAATATATGTAATATATAGAAATTACAAATACATAAAATATTTTGTGAAATTTATTCATAGCCGAAAAGTTAAATACTATTCAAATCCAAAAAATAATAGTGTAAACTTTAGATTGTACTCTAGACAACATGCTTCTATAATCGATCATGTATAATAGATATGTCATCAAACAAAGTTTCATATCAAACAGTTCTTGTATACAACAGTTTAATTGCACTCAGAAAAAATTTTAGATTTTGCCGAATATATAAGAAGCACCTTACTTTATTCTCATTAAATTTACTGTTAGATTTTTTCAAAGCAAAATACACAGCGATTTTTATTTTTGTTGAAATTTTGATAATTAATTACCGCTGGTAATCTAGCAAATTGTTGAGTTTTGACGTAATGTCTGAGCTGCCTTCCGCCAGACAATTTTTTTGATTAATTTGTGATAAATTTTTCAATATGTTACCTATAAAATTAAACCATTCTTTGTATCTTGATTTTGAATATATTACATATTTAATTAAACGATTACCTTAAGATTCACCTTAAGATACAAGTATACTTTTATTTTTTACTCTTATTTATATTTATCTCGCTGGCATATATTTGCTGTGCAGTGCAGAAAACTTAAGAATGCTACAGTATATAAAAAAAATTGTAAAAGGCCAAATAATTTATTTATTACAGCAATTGAAAGAACCCAAGCCAATGTATATTGTACTTGTCAAAAATTCATATAATAATTTTTGATTAAAATAAAAAACAATTTCGCAAGGCAAAGCTTATTATTTTATATTTTATGATATTTTTGAGTTAAATTCTAACTTTAATTCTATCTCGTGATGTCATATCGTTACGAGCGTCAGAAGAATATGCAAATTATACCTTTATACAATTCACATTTCTCAAATCTCAACTGATATATATTTCACAAAAATACTCATCCCTGTATTAACGATTTCACAAAATCGGAAAACTATAAGAATTCGATTATTACTTTCTCCATTATTGTAAAGAAATTTATATTTCATACACGGTTGCAAATTTTATGTAAAAAAATTTATATTTTTGTCAAAATTAAAACAAGCAAAACATTGGCATTTAATACTAATATTAGTTAGTGATTTTCAAAACACATGGAAATTATTTACATTTATAAAGTGGCGCCTCAAAATAAGAATCCAAAATAAAAAAAACATTCATATTTGGAAAAATTTAAAGGTTTGTTTTAAACAAACAAACTACTATTAATTAAAAATAAGTAATGAAAGATAGTGTTGTAAAATCATTAGTATTGCATTTTTATTATTTTGAAATGAAACTAAAAGAAATTGTTGTTTGATTACTTCCAAAATTTTAATTTAGATTTTGCATAATAGCCATCTTGAATTCTAAAATTAAACTTATAAATGGTAAAAATTCTTGATAAAAAATTTGTATTCTTGTAATCATTGTTAACCATACTTAATATTTCTAAGCGCTACAGTGTTACTAAATTAACTTTAAAAAAATGGGAGTTAATATATTTGTTGTTTTATCTGTTCTTTTTTAGTTTTGTGTATACATACTTACATACATACGTAGTTAAGATTAGTAATTCTTTTTTAAATTATAGAATGTCCGAATCTGGGGATTATGACAATATTGCGAGTGATGATGATTTGAAGCCAGATTTAATCGTAAGAGAAATTGATTTTGCTGAAGAGTACACTCCTGAAGATGACAAAGAACATAGAATTGCGCCAAATCAAAAGCACCCACACAGTAAATGGCATGATGAGATTAATAAAAAATTAAGGCTGCTAATAAAATCTGAAATTACACAAGATAATTTCAAGTTTCACTATGGTTCATATTTGACGTAAACCAACAAAACTTTTAATTTTGTATAAAATTTAATTGACACTGATTTCAGATCGCTAAAGGAACACTTACCGTTTCTATTAAGAAATCCTAAACATTGTAGGCAGGTAGCAAAAAAAATGAGTAGAACGCTACTTCTGTTCAGAAGTCTATATAGTAACACGACAGAGGTAACCATATATAACATAATTTGTTTAATAAATTTTAAAAAATTTACTATTTAGATTGATCTTTATCATACAAAAATGTGCGAACTATTATCAATTTTAACTACATTGGAACTAACATATGCTTCTAACTTCGATGAATTAAAAATTGAAATTGTTAAAAGGTTATGCACGAACTACGACATTCATCTAAGGGTAATATTGTTTAAAACAAAAAATTTTTAAACATTCAATAATATATGTTTTTTATTTAAAAGAACTTGGATGCAACTCATATATTAACTGTGTTTTTGTATTTATATTCGTATTACATTTCTAATATGAAACAAAAGAAAGGTTGGACTATATTTGATCAAACAGAAATTTTAACAAAAATATTCGAGTAAAAACAATTTTTTTAAATTATATATTTAAATCAAAAACTGATAACGTTTCTTTTAGAAAATATCTGAAGAAATTTCCAAATATAAAACAGACAAAGTTAAATGATAAGTTGTATTGTATGTATATAGCAGCATATAGCTTTTGGATTAATATAGAAAATGATGTATATGAAAAAAACAACATAATAAGATACGCAAATCAAGTCATAGCTCCCAAGCCATCTTTAAGGTTAAATAAAACATATTTTCAGTATTTAGCTAAATATCCGCCCGATGAGCAAAATGTTACTAAATTCATTTTTGATAGAGGGATTAATCGAGCTGGATTAGTAAAGGTATATATCTGTATATATCTACAATTTTTAAAGATTTAATAAAAAAATTGAAAACTCTTGTACGATTTTAGATTTTAATTGAAGAAGACAATTGTAAGGATATCATTATTGTAAGTATAACTCTAATTAAAACAAATAAAAGTAGCATATGATTAATTAGTAAAAGGTCTGATTTCTATATTGAGTTCTGAAAATTTTCAGTAATTTGCAATTTTCATTATTCTATTTAAATATGATTTCACATTAAAATGATGCTGCACATGAAATTTCGTTGTTATTTCTGGTTTTTCTAACATGTTACAATAAAATAAAATACATTTTAGAACGTCGAATGGGGGGAGACTCAACATCCCGTAATTGATTTAGATGAAGATTTAGCAGGAAAAAGTTTTGAAAATTTGACTTTAACTGAAGAAGTAAAATTCAAACCAGTTGGGCAGCCATCAGTAGTAGCTACGATAGATCTTACTGATGATAAAATGGACGAAGATGATGCTCGCAACTGTCCATGGTTAGATAAGCTAATAAAATTGACTCGTCAAGCTAGAAAATCACGTCGTTGTCAAAATAAGAACTCATCCAATATTGAAATAATAAATCTTGACAGTGATAATGATTACGAAGAATACGAGGAAAACGAGGAAGACAAAGAAAATGAAGAAAGCAAACAACATACAGAATCGGAAAAAGAAAACGAAAATCATTATGACAAACAAAGTAGGACAGATGAGCTCATTACGGAGCCAAACAAACAAGCAGAAATCTACACAGCGCAAAATACTGAAGGCAATGCTGATGAAAGAGTAAATAATAAAACCGTTGTGCAAAAAGACTGTGTTACATCTGAAGAAAATGAACATAAAAAGGAAAAGAAAAACAGTAATGATAATTATTTAGACGGAAAAATTAGTAAAACTAATACAATTAACCAAGAAACTGAAACAATTGCAAAAATAGTAGAAGAGGAAAGGGGTCAATCAATAAACAGTTGTGATGAAAATAAAAAAGAGCAAAATAAATCAAATAAGACGCCAGCTAGAGAAAATGAAAGTCAAATCTGTTCTGTAGAAGTTTTTCAAAAAGATACAATAACACAGACAACAGAGGAAGGTGTTCAAAGCAGCAGCGTTGAAGAGGGCAAAGAAAAGACGAGCGAAGACAAAGGAGAAGCAGTTTTAACACATGCAGATTTGGATAAATCAATTTCATCTTCATCTAATCAAGCAACTGAAGATGAAATTTTAGCCGGATTTGTTCCAATTTTTGATGAAAATTTAACTTTTGTTACGAATTATGTAACAAAGACTTATTCTAATAAGCAAACTGTTAAAAATTTACAAAATGATTCGAATAATATTGAAGACAGTGAAACACATTCTGAAATAAATGATAAAGAAGGAAATAGTAAACAAAATAAAGAAATTTCAAATGAATGTAATTATGAAATAACTTCTTCAACCCTGCTGAATGACGATTACGAAAGTGAAAACAATAATTTGAAGTCAGCTTGTTCGAATAAGCAACGAAAAGTTAACCCGGAGGTAAGATGTCTTATTTATAGTATATTTTATTTATTTTAATTTATAATTTTAGAAAATAGTGCATCGGTTTATTGCAACAAAGAAAGTAAATTTTGCACCTTTGCCTGAGAAGCACATACCAAAAAAACCTGTCAAATATTCTTCTATAAATCAAATGCGCAGAAATAGCATAAGTATAGATAAAATACAAAATTCGTTTATTCCCCCACCTGGCACAGAGGCTTTTAAGTTATACGAAACACAAAAGGATTCCTCATTGGTAAAAGACTCCTCAAATAATTTGCAAACCCAAAATAATACGCAAAACTCAAACGATTTGTCTCATGTCGCTGGTTCGATTGAAAAGTCTATACAAACTTCAAACGTCAACAATTTTGGTGTGTCTTCTCCAACTAAGACAAATATAACTTCAGAATCCAGACCAACAGCTGAAGCAATATTAGCAGCAACAATACATAAAACATCAGGACATGGGGATATTTCAGGTATGAAAAAAGATAAAAATATTATAGATTCCGGGTTAAAAACTTTGGAAACTAAAAATTTACTTAACGATGTTGTATCAGTTAGTTTGTCAAAAAATGTAACTGATACTTCTATCGAAACAAATAGTTTAAATTTGTACCCTGACTCCACGGTCGGGGACGATAGTAGTGTATTGGGTTGTGAAAGTGATAACAACTTAAGTTCAAATAATGCTAATTTTAATAGTACCATTAACAATAACAAGAAATGTGATAATTCTGTTCGAAATGAAAAAGAAGACGATTTCGATAATGATATCAATCAAAAACTAAGTGGTTCAATAGGAATTTTTTCTCAGAATTTCCTTAATGAGAAAGATGTCAATTTTGAAGAATTTAGCGAAGAAGATGATGAAACAAACTTGTCGAACGTTGACGATGTGGACAAAAGTTTACTGCCTATCATTCAAGAAGCTGATTATCCTGATGTCATGCATGAATTGGCAGAATTATTGATAAACAGCACCTATGATGATTCCTATAAAGATCTAGCAGACAACTTAAATCCTTTATATTATAATAAAAAAGTTGAAGGGCAAACATCTCTGCCATTGAAAAAGCGTCGCAAATTGTCAACGTTTAGTGATAATTTGTCCTTAAAAGATGAAGATCTAACATTTTTGGACTTTCAGCGAATAAGATCACTAGAAGAAGAACAAGATGAAGCATCTATGCAGAAACTTATACAAAAAAGACAACAACAAATGCAACAAGAATCTGAACATTTACTGCAATCTCAACAACAACAACATCCGCAACCTCAACACTCATCACAATTGAAGCTTCAACCTCAACACTCAAAAGTTCCTTCACAGCAAACCTTCTTCTATCAACAGCAATGTTTGCAAACACAACAAGGGAAACAACCACAACAACAACAAGAGGGCTTACACCGGCATCAAAAACAAAACCAGACAGAACAGCAGCAACTACAAGCTGGAATAAGTTCGTTTTTGGATGGTATTTCTTATCCTTCCACTCCCATGTTAAGTATCGCAAACTTCGAAAATATGATAAATCGTGCAAGATATGCTAACCGGCAATCGCAACAACATCAGCGATTGATAAATAGTCCTCTTAAACAGACACGACAAACAAACCTTTCTGATTTTTCTCAAAACAAATTTAATAATGTTAATCAAAAGAAAGACTTAAACAATTCTTTAAATTTACAAAACCAGGATGCTACGCATATTAAAAACAATTATATTATTTTAGATAGAAACGTAAAAGCAATATCGCAGCAAAATCGCGGAGTAATAACGGAAAAGATTCAACCAAATCTCCAATCATTTAATGCTGTTGAAACAGTTTCAGAAAATAAAACAATAAATTTTCCTCATATAATTTCGTCAGAGACTATATCGAACAATAATTCGTTAACACACCAATCAAATAATTCAGCCAATGTATCTAATATTGATTCAAATATATACAAAGAGTCTTTACCTTCCATTCAAACATTAAATGCTCTGACAAATACATTTCAATATATGCGTGCATTACAAAACCATCCTATATCAAACCTCACTAACAATAATTTACAACAATGGCAAGACCAATTACAACTTCAATCTTTCACTTCGAAAAGACAACTCCCATTGACAAAAACTACTTTTTCAAATAATATTCAAATGAATAATGAAAATAAACATTATAAAAAAGATTTATCATTCAAACAAAATATCGAAAGGCAAGATATTTGTACTAATAATGAAATATCCTTAGATGTTGATATGAACAACTACAATTTAAACCATCAACATTTGAATAACTATCTTTATAATAGCCAACATAATTGGATTGCCAAACAAAATATTTTAAGACATATTCGCAGCAATTCCTACAAACAATCTCAACAAAACGAAAAATTTCAAAATGATGTCGAATACTTACAAAATCGTTCATTTCTAATGCAACATGCTCCTCAAACACAAATTTCTGTACATGATACTTATCAACATCCTAATAGTTCATTTGCTGAGGTGATTACCTCACCAACAGTAACAAGCCCCCAACCAAAATCAAAAATTAAACCATCTGGCAAACCACAAGCTTTTCGTGAATTCATGACATCAAAAGTAACAAATTCTGAAACAATTACAAATCAGACTTTTTGCGAATGTAATCAAATTAACGATACGCATTTTTATCAAGGAAACTATACCTGCAATGAAAATTCACAAAAACAAATTTCTTCTAACGAAAAAGAAGAAAAGCAGGCTCTTAGTCAAAGTAGTATCACTCGGGGACAAAAAAGAAAGAGTAAAATATGTGCTGAAGAACGTATTACTCGTGCATCAAACAGAAATAAAGCTCATGACGCTCAAAAAAAATCTGAAATAAATAGTAATCGTAAAAAAAAATAAGTTAATGTTGTGTATATGTATGTATGTAATATAATTAAATAAAAACGGAAAATAGCTATGTATGCAAACTATGAAATAAAATTAATTTTTTTCGTGGAACTAAGCAACATATTCAACAAAGCTCATTCTTAATTTATTTGTTGTAATTGCTTTTTAAAAAATAAACATCGACTTCCTGAGAAATTATTTATACTACATACATATTCATGCAAACTTACTTATTCATAGAATTTCCTTTTAAATAACATTGATTTTAGAACTAAATTTTAAAAATTTGTAAAAAAGAAAACAAAATAATGTGTCGTATTATATAACACGAGTTACATACACAACACAAATTCGTTTTTAATATTTATATAAGAAAACTAAAAATGTTTCAGTAAATTGTTACTTTAAAAATTCTGTTAGTTACAATATAAATCAATTAAGTTCAGATATAAAATAACTATTATAATATATTTTATTGAAAAAAATCTTTCCATCAATCAACATTTTCATCAATCAACTATCTTCAATCAACAAGTCAAATTTTTATTCACCAATCAAGAATCAGTTGGCTACAATCAACACAAACAAAAGGATTTGTTTTTTATTTCAAAATAAATATAGTATTTTATCTGAAAAATTTGATAAAATAAAGAAAAAAGTTTGATAAATTCAAAAAAAAAAAAAGAAAGTAACATAAGTTGTTGTCCTTTCACATGAATTTTAAACATTTTTGAAAAAATTTAAAAAAGACTGAACGGAAAACTACAAAAAAAGCATTCTATTACAAAATTTGTAGACATTTTTTTTGAGTGTTTTGGGTTTTGTTTTAATTTAAAAAAAATTGAAAATTAAAAATTCGGATGCGCGCTAAAAATTTCGGTAATTCTTTTTTGTTGGTACACTATATCTAGATATAATATTTTGTAGAAAAAGAATATAAATACTTAAAAATAATAATTGATAGTGGAATTTAAGAAAAAAATTAATTTAATTAATTTTAAATACAATCCAGCGAAGTTTATTTATTATTTTTCTTTTTGAATGAACAAAATTTCGTACAAAATATTTTCTTTTAGATAAACATGTGAAAACTTTATTTAAAAATATACATTATCTATCAAATTTCATTTTTTGCTTTCCTCATCTTGTTACAAAATATGCAAACCTTTTTATAAAAATTTATTGTTTATTTTACTTATTTATTGATTTATTTATTTACTTTGATTTTTTATTTACTCTTCAAGCTAGTACCAAAGTTCTTTCTATTGTAAAAGACTTAATGTTTTACTGTTGAATAAAAGAAACAATGAATAAATTGTAGATTGTAGAATTCGTCAAAATAATATATGTTTTTCTTTATATACATATATTATTCAATTCCACTAAAAATTTGATATTGAAAACAATTTAATAAAAATTTATATTTGATGTTTTTATTTTCTGTAAATGAAGGCATAATCAATTTTTGATTAACGCAAAAGTAGAAAAGTAAATAGTTAAAACAAACTGTTTACAACTGCTAGGTCTTTGAAATTATATCATGTACATTATATTATTTTTTTATATAGGATTAATTTTGATTTTAATAAAAATCAAAAATTTTATTACGTATATTTTTGTATTGATTATAGAATATTAAGATAATAAAGATCTTTTGCCAAATTTTTTAGATGGTCAATTTCATTTCAATCAGTGTAAAAGATTGGTTGAGAAAACCGGAAACCCGAGTCAATGTTTAAATACATCCAATATAGTGATAAATGACAGTGATAAAAATTATGATGAAGGCAAAGAAAACGAAGAAAGTGGACAGTTTATAGAATCGGAAAAACAAAACGAAAATGATTGTGATAAACAAAATAAAATTGATGCACTCGTACCAGAACAAAGAAAAAACAGTAAAATTGACACAGAGCAAAATTTTATTTTTCGTGAGATGACTATTAATAAACAGGTAATGGACAAAAATTTTACGCAAGAAGAATTTTTTACATCAAAAGAAAATGAACAAGAAGCTCAAACAAACAAATCTAATAATAATTATCCAGAAGTCCAATTTAATGAACCTAATATAATACATCAAGAAACTGAAGATTTTGAAGAAATAGTTGGAAAAGACAAAAATCCATTAAAAGGCAACATTAATGAAAATTGTACAGAGCAAAATAAAATTAATAAGACTTTAAATGTAGAATATCAAAATCAATATTCTTCTATAGATGCTTTTCAAAATGACATAATTTCAGAGGCGATTCATAAAGAAAAGAATAAAGAAAAACTCGTTTTAGCACATGGACATTTGGAAGAGCTACTTATATCTAGTCAGCACATTGATGTAGAAGAAGCAGAATATGTTCCAATTTTTGATGAAAATTTGAGTTTTGTTACAAATTATGTAACGAAAACTTATTCTAAAAAGCAAATTGTTAAAAACAATAATAATAATTTAAATAATATTGAAGAAAATAGAACGCATGCCGAAAGAAATTATGAAGAAGCAAACAATGAACAATATACAGGAATTTCAAATGAATGCAATTATGAAATAACTTCTTCAACAATACTGAATGACGAATACGAGACTGAAAAGAATAATAGGAAATCTGCATGTTCGTATAAAGAAAGAGAAGTAAACAAAGAGGTAAACGTGTTTTATTAAAAAACGAATTTATCAAATTGTCTTAAACATTTTATAAATTTTAGAAACTCTTGCACTCGTCTTCTGTACCAAAGAAAGTTAATTTTGCTCCATTACCTGAGAAGCATGTATCGAAAAACCCTGTCAAATATACTTCCATGAAGCGAATGCGAAGAAATAGCGTTTGTATAGATAAAGTACAAAATTTTTTAATTCCACCAACGAACACAGAAGCTTTTGAATTGTATGAATCACGGAATTCGATAGCAAAAAATGTATCGAATAATTTACCATCCTTAAATAATTCTCAACAACTAAGAAATTTACACGTCGCTGGCTCGATTGAAAAGTCCATGCAAATCCCTGACAAAAGGTCAACTTCACCCTTTGTTACTTTTAACGCGGCTTCTCCAACCAAGGCAAATATAAATGTAGAATCTAGACCGACGGCAGAAGCAATGTTAGCAGCAACCATTCATAAAACACCAGGAAACGCTAATATTTCAGGTATGACCAAGAATATAAATATTTTAGAATCCGAGTTAAATACTCGCGAAACTAAGAGCTTACTTAACGTTGTTGTATCAGTAGCTTCAGCAAAAAATGCCACTGATGCTTCTGTCAAGGCTTATAATTTAAATTTGTGCTCTGACCCAACAGTCAAAGGCAAATGTACTGTTTTAGGTTGTGAAAGTGACAACAACTTAAGTTCAAAAAACGCTAATTTTAATAATACAATAAAAAGCAACAACAAATTAGATATTAATGTCCATAGTGAAAAAGAAAATGATTCAAATAATTGTAGCAATAGAAATTTAAGCGGTTCGATAGGAATTTTTTCAAATGGCTTTTCTACTGCTGAATTTAACAAAGAAGACGATGATACAAACTTGTCTAATGTTGATGATGTGGACAAAAGTTTATTGCCTATAATTCAAGAAGACGATTACCCCGTTGTCATGCATGAAGTAGCGGAATTATTGATGAACAGCACATATGACGATTCTTATAGAGATCTTACAGACAATTTAAATTCTTCATATTGTAACAAAAAAGTTGAAGGCCAGACATCTTTGCCATTGAAAAAACGTCGTAAATTATCAACGTTTAATAGTAATTTGCTCGTAAGAGATGACAATTTTTTGGATTTTCAGCGAATAGAAGAAGAGAACGATGAAAAATCTTTACAAAAACTGCAAGGACAAATAAAACACAAACCTGAACATCACCAAAAATCGAAAACGGAGCAGGCAAATTTTCTACAAGATCAACAATTACCCCAATTAAAGTTGCCATCTCAATATTCTGGATTCTCATTTCAACAACAATTTCAGCAATATTTGCTCGACAAAAACAAGCAGCAACTACAGCAAGAACATTTACATCGAAAACAAGAACAAGAAAAGATAGAACAAGAACAACTGCAATCTACAATGACTTATTTTTTAGATGATACGTCCTATCCTTCCACTCCCATGCTTAGTATAGCAAACTTTGAAAATATTAATGACCGTCCTAGATATGAAAATCGGCAATCACAAAAGCATCACCAATTAATAGACAGTTCTCTGGTACAGTTTCAACAATTAAATAACATGAATAATGTTATTAACAAGGAAGAGTTCAATAAACCATTAAATTTGCACACACAGAATACTGCACAAATAAGAGACAATAGTAATGGTGTTTTAAAAAGAACTAGGAGTACACCATATCAAAATCACAGAGTAGTGAGCGAAAAAATTCAATTAAATCTGCAATCATCTAATACAGTCAAAACACTTTCAGAAAACGACGCTTTAAATTTTCCCACGACAATTTTCTCTGAAATATCAACGAATAATAATTTGTTAACTTCAAAAATAGTTGAATCGAATAATTTATTAAATGCAGCTAATTCTTCGCCATCAGTTCAAGCTGTAAATGCTCTATCAAATAGATTTCAACATATGCGTGCATTGCAAAACTATCCAACATCACAACTTTCTCTTAATAATTTACAACAATGGCAAGAACCCTTACAACTTCAATGTTTCCCTTATAAAAAGGTACCCCCATTGGTAAATAATAATTCCTCAAATATCATTCAAATGAACAATGGAAATAAACAATATACTAGAGATTGGACATTCCAGCAAAATATAGAAAACCAAAATATTTGTATTAATACGCATTTAAATAATGAAATATCATTAGATGTTGATATGAACAATTATAATTTAAACCAAGAACATTTGAATAACTATCTTTATAACAGCCAACATAATTGGACTGCCAAACAAAATATTTTAAGACATATTCGCAGCAATTCCTACAAACAATCTCACCACAACTTAATATACCAAAGTAATATCGATAATTTCAAAAATCATTCAATTCTAATGCAACATGCTCCTCAAACACAAAATCCAATACATAATATTTGTCAGCATCAAAATACTTCATTTGCAGAATGGGCACAACAATCTAATGAAAAAGCTAGATCATCACAACATTTTCATGAGTTCATGACATCAAAAGTGACAAATTCTGAAACAATTACAAATCAGGCTTTATGCGAATGCAATCAAAATAACAATACAGATTTTTGTCAAGAAAATTATATATTAAAAGAACTTTTACAAAAACAAATAGTTCCAGGTAATAATGCGGGAATAAAGACTCTTAATCACAATATTACTGAAGATCCACCAAAAGAGAGTAAATTAGGAACTAAAACACGCATTACACGTGCATCAAACAAGAAGAATAATAATCAAAAAAAAAAATAAATTTTTATATTGCATGTCACATAATTAAAAGAAAAATAGGAAATATTTAAATTTCAAATATCTAAAACATAAATTCAAAGGAACCAAACAACATTCAAACATACGGAATTCTTAACGTACTTCTTGTAATTGTTTTTCTTTTAAAAATTAGCAAAAAACAAAGCAGATAGATATGTTTATATATCGCGTACATAATGCGAGTTACATAAATAGTACAAATTTGTTTGTATAAGAAAGTAACTTTAATATTTCTATAAGTTACCAAAAAAATCAGTCAAGTTTGGATATCAAATAGCTATTATAAGATATTTTCTTGAATATAATCAATCAACATTTTCATCAAGCAACTATCTTTAATCAACGTGTTATTTTTATTCATCAATTAAGCGGCTTTTTTTGAAATAATAAACAACCAAAACGTTTCGTTTTTATTTCAAAATAAATATTAGACTTATATTTTGAGATGAATTCAAAGAAAGAAAGTAACATAAGTTGTAGTCCTTTCACATAAATCTAAAAAATTTTGAAAAAATAAAAAAAAAAGACTGAACATTCAAAAAGAAATATTTAAACATTCAAAAATTTTGTTACAAATTTTATAGAAATTTTTTAATGGTTTTGGGTTTTACAAAATCAAAAAAAAAATGGAATGCGTGCTAGAAATTTTAGCACTTTTTTTATATATATTACTTTAAGATCTAATCTCATTTTGAAATGAAAGAAAAAAAATATTTAATGATTAATTATTGACGGTGCTCTATATTTACATGCATAATAAAAAAATGTGATAAAATTAATTTTTGAAAAAAATCTCCAGGCGAAGTTTATTTTTCAAAAAACTCTTTTTTTATATTTTTCAAAACATTGATAAAATATATTTTTTAATTTTTCTTTAACATGAATATTCAACGAACTTTTTCAAATTTAGAAAAAAAGTTTTTTTGTTTTGCTTGTAATTTTAATAATTTTGAGCACAATTTAATTCATATCATACAACATGTATATGTATTAAATTTCATAAAGGTCTTATATGCATAAACATTTTTCATATCAGAATTAAACATTATGCCTCTTATGCCAAGAGTTCATTTCAAAGTTTCTAATGAGCTATTTACGGCATGACATTAAATATATCTAGAGTCCCACAACACAGTAATATTAGTTTTAAACTCAATTCAGAATTTATATTCAAAATTAGATATATGTAATCGAATTTGAACTCGTATTACTATGTGGAACTAAAGGTATTATATATTTTTAAAGAATGTATATAAAATAAAAATAGATGCACTTACGTGTAAAACATTTTCCTTTTTTTTATTTACAAGAACAAATTTTATTTATTCATTTACAATTTTCTTTCAAAATCATCTTTCATCAAATGTTGTAAAATATTATAGGGATTTTCTGTTATTAAAAAACAATGTTTTAAATATATTTTATACTTTTACTCAAATTTAAAATAAGAAATTCAGTATTAAAGTAATACAAATATGAAACTTATCAAACTAAGATAATATACATATATATTTTTTGAAAAGTATTTTGAAACTTTGTAAAATATCAAATATTTTTGTATGTGAAATTTTAAACGGTTTTACTCAGTTTTTATAAAAAGCTGATGTTAAAACGCTGTTTTGATAAAATAAAAGTAGTTTTAATGTTTTTATTTCATTTAATAAGGGATACAGTTTAATTTTTTGTTTGTAGAAAAGTTCGAAAAAATTAGCTATAATTAAAAGAAATTGATCATTTATAATTTCTTTAATTTTTATGAATATAAAGAAAGTACATATTTTCAAAACGAGATTTTTTATGTGATAAATTAAAATTAATTGTATTTCTCTTACAGTTTACATTATACAGTTTACATCTCTTACAGTGATAAAAATTTTTTGTTCAAATTTTTTAGATGATCAATTTCGTTTCAGTAGGAATACGCATGTTTTTAAATAAATTTTTTTACTTTTTTGAATTTAACATAATATTTAAGAATGTATTATTAATTTGGAAGAATTTTAGTTTTGCATGTTATTTTTAAGTGGTGTGAATAAAAATTTTGTTTTGACAAATTTAACGTTCTATATAAATAAATACAAGTAAATGCAAAGGTTCATCCCTTGAAGCGTTAAGTAGCGCAAATTAGTATTTTTACAAAGGTCGCAGATACGTATTACATTAAATTTATGATTTTGAAAAAAAAATGTTTATTAACTAGTAAATAATAAAGTAATTGTTGTTTATTAATTTTTTATTGTATATAAATGGTTTATATACAATATTTATATACAATATTGTATATTTATCGTTTTCCCCATTAACTATGAAGTTATCCGTGAAAATATTTTTTTTTTATTTTACTAAATTTATTGATTTTTCCTACCGGCTGAATATAAACTTATCTTCTAGTATTTTAAAAAATAGATGATTTATGCCCTCAAATTATTTCGAATATTTTGAATACGTACTTGTTTAAATTTTATACACACCACACTTTATGTGTTATTTATATAATATTAGAATTTAAGGACTCAAAAACATAAGTTCCCTGAATAGAAATTTAAATTGTCCGCACATACAACATTTTCCGTACATAATATACATAAAATATTCGTTTTACTTATATATTATAACAACATTTAATATAAATATGAAACCTACATAAGTTGAAGAACTGTCTAACCTTTAACTTGTTGGTCCACTTTTTAAAATTATGTCTTTATAAAAAATCATTAAACTAAACCAAAACATATAAATAACAAAAAAAAAAACATAATTTTTAAGGACATTTCTTATGTCCAATTTAACTAAGTTTTATTTTTTACATCGGTGAACAGAAATCAACTTCCAAGTCCAGAAGGTCGATCTCTTATTAAGGAGCTTTTGTTATGTAATTTTTTTTTTTAATTTTCGAACGTAAAATTTTTTTACGAACTTAGACTAAATTAAAAAACCTTTAGTACGTAAAGAATTTGTTTTAAATTTTTAAACTTTTGGTTTATTTTTAAGGTTTAATTAAAAAATAATTGACAGTTTCCAAAAATTTCCGGCCTAATATTTTTTTTTAGTGAATTCAGTTTTAAAAGAAGTAAAATAATATGTATCTATCACAAATCTGATATACAGAACAATATTTTTCATGCAAATTGTAAACCTCACAAAGTTATGTTTTAGGCCGAAAAATTAATTTACAATATTTTCGAATTTAATGAAATAAAATTTTTAACGTCCTCTTTGAATATCAAAGTACAATTTCTACAATGAAAACCTGAATACTTTTAAATAATATCAGCGAGGGTATACATACTATGTATATTTTATGAAGTGCTATAAATTTAATTACGATTTAACTATTTTTTTTATTTTTTACCTTTTTCAAAGTATTTTACAATTAATAAAACAATAATCCATAAGGATTAGATATCAAAATGCAAAGTAATCTATACTCAATATATATTAATTATGTATTAAATAAAATAGATTTATATTAAATTTTCGCAGAGCGTATTAGCAAAACTGCATGAGTAAATTAATAAGGAAATATTCGGAACATTTTTTTCTACCATTTTTCGAATAAAATATGAAATAGAACTTATAAGGAAATTGGTGATAGAACATGAAAACATAAATACAAAGAAGTGTAAAATTGAAAATTGTAACAAATTGAAATTGGAGAATCTATATATGAACATTTACATGATGCAACTACATATATACTATTATAAAACTGCTTGATTTATACCCGTAATTGGAAAATCTGCATAAAAAAAAAAGTTTTGTAATCAAATTTTCGTTCTATTGGAAACTTTTTATTTTTTAATATTTTTCGCGGTTCGTAACCATATTTATTATAGTATTTGTAAGCAGAAAAGTATTAAAAACCAATATAACAGTGATTTAAAATAAAAAATGCCAAAATGTTTTTGAATAACAATTACAATTAGATGCTAATTCAATTTTTTACGCAGCATTATTATGAATTTCCGACAAGATAATAATTTAACTTAGTAATAACAATTCCGTAAATAATATTAAGGGTGTAAGGTGTGAATAAATAACTAAATTCCAGAATGAAGTATACAGAAATTGTGCCAAAAATTTTATTATAGTAATATATCCAAAAAATTAAAAAAAAAAAAACTCAAACTTACATTACATAATAATCACAAATTTTTCTAAGCTAAAATTTATAAATACCTGTAAATTTAATAGAAATATCGAATATATTCATAAGTAGTGGTTTAGAATTTTGTAAAAGAATTTTTGTAAATTACTTAAAAGCTCGAAATATTCAAAAAAGAAATAGATTGTCATCAAAAATCTATAAAAAGAAAAAATAGGTTCTAGAAAAAACATTTTTTTTTTATTTTTTTTTTTAATTTAATAAACATTTTTGGTTCATAATGCTAAATGTCTCCTTTTGTACGTCCTCCTTGTTTTATTCCTGCTACGGCGGATTGTATTTTTAAAACCCGTCGCGATATGTATTTTTGTTTTATCCTATCAGTAAAGAAAAAATTTCTTCTCTTCGCCTCTTCTGTTTTTGTTCTTTTCAATTGTATTCCATTTTAAAATAAGAACAAATATTTAAATTCTAAATCGTTATAATTTTTGATTATTCATATATTACAAATTTGATGCTTCAATCTTAATATGTTTACTTCAATCTTAACTTAATATCTAGAAGAATTTGAAACCGAAGTCATTACTTATGAATATTCGTCCACAAAAAACACCATGTTACCTATTAATAATAAAAAAAAAGATAAATTTACAAAATTTGCAAAAGTAAATTCTAAATACTAATTTCATTTTATGCCTACAGTTTACAATTGTTACCTAATTTTATGTTATAAGTTCGTTGAATAGTAAATTTTTTTCTTTTTTTTTTTTTATAACTAAACAAAAACCGTTTTTTATGATAGAAATTTGTATTTCAATCATTGTATCTGTAAGAGCTCTGTAAAACTTATTTCATCTAAGCCAAAGTAGAGCCATTTAATTTTAGCGTAAATATTATTAATTTTTCATTTCAAATCAGCCAAAATAACTTAATCTATTTTAGTATTGTTATTTTTTTAATAAAAAATGGATTTTAATTCTTTATCTATTTTTAAAATAAAAAATTATAAATTAAGCTTTTTAGAATACTAAACATAAAAGTTCAAAGTTATTCTCATAAATTAATATAATTTTGAAAGGAATATACGCGCATTTCGGAAAAAAAAGAAATTGTTTTAAGACAAGGTATTTATAAATTTAATTTCTTACTCTTTTAGGTACACCATACATCATTAATCAGCACTCACCTAATAATTTTCTAGAAATTGATCGTTTTACGCAGCAACCGCGCTATCAATCTAAACCAAATTTCTACGATTATTCTTTAACAAAAAAACCAAATAACCCGATGAATTTAAAACATGGATATCATAGTGAAAATTCAAAACCAATGAGTGATTTTGATTTGTATTTATTAAAACTTAGAGAAAGTAAAAAAGAAGCAAATAAACAATTGAAAAAAGAACGAAGAATGATGAAAAGGGAAAAGCGTATAGAAAAAATGCAAAAAGAATTGAAAAAATCTTTTCAAAAGTCAAAAGCCAAAAGAAAAAAACTTAATATTATAAACGATATTTTGACCTCACCAAAACAACTTCAAGTTCTCATAAAAAGAGTTGATACCCCATTAACAAAGAAAGTGAACGTTATTTCTGAAAATGAATCATTAGAAAACACGTCAAGGAGAAGCTTATATGATGATTTCACGCAGAAGGAGTCTGTCGAAAACAATTTACCCAACGAGGCTATTGCTTTTAACCAAAATACTGAAACAAATATTAATACAGATAGTGCAATAAATAATAAAAATGAAAATTCGGAATTTGAAGTAAATAAATCACATCCACCTGTTACGGAAGAGAACTATGAATTAAAAGAAAAAGTGATGCAAATTAAAAATACTTTCCAAAATAACGGTAGTTTGTCAAAACAAAAAATTACAGATTCGGTTAAAAGTAAAATTAAGAAAAGAGGACGAAAAAGGATTCAAAATGAAAAAGTGAATCCAGAAGAAATTTCAAAAATTAATAATATTAACAAAATGTCTTTAGGAAATGAAAATAACTGTAATAATTTCAATATTTCATTTGAAACCTTGCAAGATATAGTAGAAAAAATAACAAATCCAAGTGAAAATAATGAACTCAACAAACATGAAGAAAATAAAAACTTATCTCATCATAAAAGAAAATTTGTGTCTCGGCAGTTTGTGATCAAAGTAAAAAGATTAACTTTTTCTAAACAGAACAGTGATATAGTCGCAAATAACAGTGAGGAAGTGATAACAGTTCATTGTACAAGTGAAAATACAAATTTAAGTAATTTGAAACCTAATGATTCTCAGGAAATTAATATTCAAAAAGAACCAGAAATGGTCCTTTCTGAAAATGAAAACTCTAGCCAACTAAATCATCAAGAAACTAATGGTATAATTGATTCTAATAATGAGAATGTAACAGTCAATACCAATAACGACGATATTGTTTTGAATTCGGGCCCAAGGACGACTGACACACCATATGAAATTCATGTAATGAATAATATAACTAATAATAATGATACATCTAATTTAATTGAACACAATGTAAACGATTCAAATCTTGTTTTAAACGATAATAACAGCAAAGAGAATGACACTTTAGGTAAAAATAAAGACTCCACCTCACAAGCAGCGTTTAAATCATCTCCAAAAAGTGATTCATATTTAGTACGAAAATGTTATGATAATGAACTTGAATCAATATTTAAAATAAAAGAAAATGAAGTTACATCAACTCAAGAGTCAGAAGTTTCTAGCTCGTTAGACTTACAAAGTCCAATAACAAAACGAAGAAAAAGTCGTAAGTCTTCACTTCAAGATAATGAAATTCCATATAGCAAAGATTTTGCTTTAGATTGCGATGATACAGCTTCCAATGCCCCTACAACAACCACAATAATTGATTTCGTTATAGCAAATAAAAAAAAGCGAACGAAACAAAAAAAATTTGATACAACTATTCCAAATGATTCAATCGTCGACACAATAGATCAAATAAAATTAACAACAAACAAAAACATTATGGGTGTAACCAAAAATCTTCAATCTAAAAATGTTAAGAATCATATTAGAAAATTAAATAAAACTAATGTGAAAGGGGCTAGGAGGACGTATTCAAAAAATAATATAGTTAGCACTGTTTTTGTTCCACCAGACATTGAAGAAATGATTCACAAAGATGTTGAAATACAAGAAATACCTAAGTTACGACTTAAAAAGTATAGAAATAAACAACTATAACATAAAAAATGAGAATGTAGACTTTGCTATTTTAAAGAAAATTAATAGATAAAAATGCTATTTTAAAAAAAAATTATACATAAAATATTTCGTGCCAGTAAAATAAAATTAGTTACGTACAATACCATTAAATTTTATTATTATTATTACATGCAAGAACACATAATATGTATGTGCATAGTAGATATTGCAAAATAATTCTAATACTAAATAAATAATTTTGTTTTTTTTTTTTTTAATACCAGTAAATGCAGTTTACTTACTGAAAATTTCATAGGATCATAAATTCAATTTTATTTTTTTTTTATATCAATGTTAAATTTTTCATGTATTTCAAAATGTAAATAAAATATCAGTAATATTAAATGGAATTTTATGAAATAATCAAATGTATTTTTGCGAAAGAAAAAAAATTTATGTTGTAGGTTTCTACAAAAACGAAATTACTCTTATTGTGTATTAAGTATGTATTTATTTTATATTTTTTTGTTAGTTTTGAAAATGGATTTCCATATAAATATAAATATATATATATATATATATATATATATAAATGTTAAATTGTTCTTTCCTTTTCATTTTTAAATTAAATATTAATTATATTATTATATATGTATACTTTTTATTTTCATTACTACTGGGAAAAAATAAAAAATTGTTGATTTTTTTTTTATTTATCAAATATGCTTTAATATTTATTGTCTACTAAAAACTCTCAACTAAGATCTATAAAATGTAATTGTGAATCTACTTATTATTTTTAACTACTGCAATTTCCGGGTCGTAATCTTTTATATAATAATTTAATATCTTGCATTCTATATTTAAAAAATCTAGTCAACACAATTAAAATAAAATATATATTAAAAGGCTTTCTATCAATTTCTTTTTTTTTAAATAATTTCTATTTCTTAATTAAAAATTTAAAGTTTTTTTAAAAACTCTTGTTCACTATATAACATGTACATCAAAGATAAATGCTAATTGCTTTAACTAATATTAATTAATATATCTTTTCAATAATATTTTATTTTTGATTGGCTTTTCTGTTTAGAAAACACAATAAATTTTTCTCATAAAAACTAACAAATTTGAAATAAATAAATTTATTTTAGTTTCTATTTTTATGAATTGAGAAAATATAAATTATGTTATTTTTTGTATATTGTAAGACCGATATACCAACATAAATATTTAAATAGATTGCTTTAAATATATGTTCAATTTATTTAAACGGAATTTATGATTATAAATTTAAATTCAATTTTTCAATATTAAATTGGGTAATACAAAAAAAATTCAAATCGACAATATATTTGTTATATGTATCATTTCAACTTTGTTTTTTTGTTTATATTTTATGCTTAAATAGTAAAGTCAGAAATTTAGATATTATTGTAAAAAATATCTTTTCATAAAAACATAATGCATATAGCCATTTTTATTATTTTCTATATGTGCTTACCTATTTAAATATAATATACAAAATTCATCCAATTGATTTAATTTAAAAACAATTTTTTTTCTTAACATGACAAGATTTGACTATATTTAAATAAATTTTTAAAATTATTGTATATTAATGCTAATAAATGCTCAATATGTAAAATGTATTGAATTTCACATAATTTTTTAGCATCGTAGTCTTTAAGTTCTACCAGAAAAATAAATGAACAATAAAAATTATTTCATTCTGGTTTTATAATACATACATAAATATATTCTTTATTTAAAAAAAAAGAAATTAAATAAAGCGTGTTATAATGTAATAATATATGGTGGGGCTAAAAATGAGCTCATATATCAGGAAATTTGTATTTACTATTTACTGCTTTATCGTATATAAATAAAATTATTTTTCATTGAAATTTAGGTTTTCCAATTATAAATAAGAGTTAATTGAAAACTTATAAGTGAAAATTAATAAAACAACTAAGATACGAAAAACACAACCAATTAACTCAAAGGCTTGAATGATAAAAAAAATTAATTGCAAGCTATTAATATCTATTTACACTATTTTTATTAAAAATGTAAATATAAATAAGTTTAAATATTAGTTAAAATCATGAAGTTGCCATAGTATTGATTTGTAGGAGTGCAATTTACTTAATAAATATAATTATGTAGTTTAAAATATATTATAAAAAAGTTTAATAAATCAATTCAAAATCTAAAAATTTTAAATTTACTTGATACAAAAAAATAAACTTTTTAATTTCTAATAAAGTAAAAAGCAGAGTACTTTAAAGAAAGGAAATAGAGTTTAAGGCAACATTATTATTTGCGGGTAATTCACTCAAAAAATTTTCTTTTGTTGAAAAATTTAACTATTATGATTGGAAAAAAGAGCATTAAATTCATTTAATATAAACCTTCTTGAAAATCTTACTATTGCTTAACAAAATGTAAAATTAGAATTTTTGTAAATAAACTTACATTTGCTTTTCACATTATCAATACAATAAATCTTAGTAAAATATTTAAAACAAAGCTTTAATTTAAATATAAAAATTTTTCTCTCGATTAATGTACCTTTTTATTAAATTTATAAAAATTTTATTGTTAGCACAACTAAAATTTAATTATGGTCTCGAAATGTTTTATTTACTTATTTGAATATACATAATTATAGTTTAAAAGAATATATAAAATATTATAATAATTATTTCTAATATTAATAAAAAAACTAAAATATTAAATTTTAAGAATTTACAATTGTTCTTTATTAATTTTATGGGATAAGTTTTTAAGAATGTTTTGCTAATAATGCAAAAATATTAATTAAGTATGATAAATAAAAAAAACACATAATAATATGTGTTGTATATAAAAATATTTATTAACTTTTAAATTCATATATGTAAAAGTAAATGTTAAATAGTATAAGAAAAAATAAAACTTTAAAAAATTTACGTGGCTTTTTTTTTTCATTTTTGTTGCTAGATTGATTTGCAGCCATTACAGGAGCTTAGAATTATTGTTTGTCAATAAGCTTGTTTAATATCAATCAGCTGGTGTTTATCATCGCAGCCTCTTCGTTTCATTCGGGCTAGTTTTCTTTAGGAATAATATGACGAGTCTTAGGTCAGTTGAGTTGTTTAACGTTTATTATCATACTGATTATGGAAGGAATGAGTGTTAATTCTAATTCTTTGGTAATTGATTCTATAAGAGTTCTCTTTTATCTGAACTTTTTAGTAATTTAAATTTGTTATAATATTGCTTTTCTCTCGTTCATTTTTATTTATTTATTTATTCACAGAATTCTTTTTACATTTCCAATGTCTGGTGGTCATTTCCAGGGTCTGGTTAGTTTTTTTTAGTTTCAGTGTTAATCATTTTTTTTTATGTTCGTGGTTTTATTTTAATTGCACTACTAATTCTCCGCCTATTTAACGTTCCCATTCCCTTTCCCGTAAAATATGACGCTTGTTGATCGCTAAACTGATAGTTACATATTTGCGACTAGTATATTGTTTATTGTGCCTTTTGGTGATACGCTTAATCCTTGATCTAAGCATCAGTGTTGTATGGTATATATATAGTTGTATATTTTTCAAATACAAATTTTTGTAGCTGAACAATTTTTATATTTTAAAATGCTTTTTTTTAACACTTTGATATATTTTAGATAACTCGTTTGTTTATAAATAAAACTCTAATTGGAACTCAAAGTTTCTATTGCAATATTCTAATAAATTTAAATATTACTACAGATTTAATATTTGATTATAAAAGGATTTATTAAATTATTAAAATTTCTAATATTTTCAAAAATTTTAAGATTTTACAAAATGTATTAACGAGACTAAAAATATACATTTATTTCATAATTTATCATAACATCATATGGATTTAAAAAAATGACGACTTTGTATTTAATTGAAATTTATTCTTACTGCTCAAATCCACGGACATTTAAATTTTAAGAATATAATAAATGGACCTTATAAACGAAGCAATTAAAATTTTTAAAATAAAACTACATTTATTTAAGGTATATAGTTATGTATAATTATTTTTGATTATTTTAATAAATTTTTCATATTCTTAATTCAGTCGCATAAGTACAAAAGTAGATTTTATTGTAAACTATAAAAATATTATTGTCTTATTGTAATGGATTGACAATTTTTCCGGCAAACAAAATCTTCTTTTCTTTGATATCTTGAATAAAAAATAAAAATGGCCGATTTGCGTTAAAATCTTCTATGCCGCCTCCAAATTTATTCTCAATAGCAGCCACTATAAATAAAACATAAATTCGAATAAATAAATTATTATTAAAAATTATCATTAATTTTAGATCTCCAACAAATTTTTTTTCTACGATTTAATATCGAATATTAAAACTGATATAAAATTCAATTTCATTTGAAATATTTGAAGCATATTTAAAAAATTTTCATTTAAAAATTACCTGTTTCAGCATAAGCTATTGTACCAGTTTCATCGAGTTGTAAACCAGATTTTTGGTATATGTCACTGACCTATTATATTTCAATAAAAATGAATTTTTTGTAATTAGTTTTAGTTATATTAGTTCTCTCAATTAAATAAATCGATTTTAAATTAAAATGACCGAACATCAAAATAATCACAAATAACCGAATTGTGAAGAAAAGTAAGTGCTAAGGTAAGTTACATACCTTGTGATAAACATTATATGTATTTATGTACATACTTCAAAAGATTGAATAACAATTTCAATTAAAAATAACGTAACACACTGGTTAAAAGTAGCGTTTTTAACAATTATTCTTCTTGATTCAGCTAAATTATTTGGAAGCTATTCTATTGCACAATAATAATGAAAAAACAACTGGCTGTTTATAACATCAGTATTTATGGAAACTTTCGATATAAATTTTTTTATCTTTTTTATATACGAGTAAAGGAAATTCATTTTACATACGTGCATAAATTTGAAATTAAATGCATTTTATTATACCTTTAATACACCTTTAACACGTTCTCCTCTATCAATTAAAGCCAGAGATGCTTGATCACTAAATATTTCTTGAACCCCCATCTAAAAAAATATAAAATATTTTATTATGTATATTTTCGAATCAATTTATTCTAATATATTCTTTTCCAGTGTACCAATATTGTATCATAAAAATCATAATTTTGCAACACTGACACAATAGAAAATTATTAGTTGTTAGTTTTACATTCTTACCGACATTAGAATATCCTTTAATGATGTTTCATATGCAAAATTTAATTTCGGTATTGTTAATTTAACTTCTGTCTCATCATCGGCACTCCATTCTAAATTTTTATAAATTGTTGGGTTTATGTTATGTATAAGCTCATTTATTCCATCTTTAGATCTTGGTAATAGTATTGTTAATTGAAATCTATCACCCTTTAATATAAAAAAAAAACATATAATATTTATTATTAATATAAAACAAATTCAAATAATTTTACACCTCATATGGTATTTGAATAATTTTTGCATCCAAATTACTTGAATCCATAAAATTATAATAATCACGTTTTGTAATATATTCAACGTTATTTGATTTTGTAGCCTCATAATAAAATTTATCTACAAATGATTCGTCTTTATCAAAACTATATTTCCATTTTCCTTTAAAATAAATTGCATTTAATATTAACATAACAGCACTTTTCAATTGTTCCTCTGTTACAATTTTTTTAATATGTCCATTTGTAGCATTAGCACTAAAAAAAAAATTGATTTTTTTTTTTATTATTTAATTATAATTTTATGAAAAATTACTTGAAATAATTACCTCCAAAGATTAATAGTGTCAGCACTAGCAGAAGAATTTTTAAATGGTAATATTTCTATACCGGTATGGTAAAAACGTTCAAGTATCGACCTATATTTATATGTTGGATCAACAACATTGTCAGCAAATATTTGTGAGCCAAATAACAAATCATAACTGGCATCTTTTTTCTGGGAGTGAATAAAATTTATTGTTTTAGTCAGAAATTTGCAATTAATATTTTACTACGACTAATGAATTCAAGTATAATAATTATTTATTTATTTTATAACTTTTTTTCTTTTGTTTATGTGTAATATACGAGTATATGTCATTATTAGCTTTTTGAGTATAATGCTTACAAAAAATTTTTTTGTAATCATTAATTAAGTTTTAAATTTAATATTAATTTAAATTAAAAACTCTGTCAGTTAAAGCACTTTCAAAGCGAACGTTTAAATTAAGGCCTCAATAAAGTTTTTATTCTGTATACTATATTCGCTATATTTATAAGTATACTATATTCGCTACATTTCGTTAATTTAACGATGTTTATGAATAAGCTAGATTTGGAACATTTGTTTTTTGAAAACAAATATAGCGTAATTTTCGCTATATGTATATAGCGATATACAGGGTTCGTGAGAAAGGGTTTATGTTCTTAAACATACATTAAATGAATTAAATTTATACAGTTGAGATTATTACATTTTTTCTTTGAAAACACCTATTCTGCACTGCAATTTCTCAAGTACAGTACAACTTAGGAACGTACAGTAAATTAGGAAAACTAAATATGAAATACATAATATGAAACTTACCAATAATGCTTCAATAGTCCGATTCCAATATTTGGATAAATTTTGATTTTTAATAACATCATCAATATATTTGTCATTTAATCCCAAAACATTTAAAAGTTCCTTTTGTGTATCTGTATTGTTACCAGCAGCTTCTAATAATAAACTTAACACTAACTTAATAGAAAATGGTGATATAATTATATTTTTTGATGAATCCTTTGCTAAAATACGCTAAAAATAAAAACGTAAAATTTTTCTTTTTAAATATTCTCTTTTGATTTATATTTACATACATTTAAAAAATAACATAATTTTAATTATCATTGTATTAGGTATCGATATTTAATGTCAATTTTTTTTAATATTAAAGGAGTGATCGTGTATCTCACTATTTTACTCGCCAAGTGAGAAGAATGTGAATAACTATCATTAAATTTGTATAAAGAAATTTTCGAATTAGAAGAATTTTTCCTTATTTCGTATCTGGTTTTTTCTGAACTTTATATAAAATATAAATGAAATACAACTGAAGGTAATAGATTCATTGGTCGTTAATTTAAGAAAAAAAAAATCCAATTGGAAAAATGAATAATCTTATTGTAAAAAGGACGCATCCATTAGAAAATATGAAAATTCTAATATAAAAAAATGAACAAAAAATGAAATGGAAAAGAGAGATAAATCAAAAGACTTAAGATAGGAACTTTAAATACATTTTTATATCAAAATTCTTTAAGGGCTTTCTTATCTTAAGTCTTTTGATGTTGTTAATATATATTATATAATCGATATTATATCGAAGTAGTTGCAAGTAATTTACTTATTTTTGAAAATGTAGGTTATTTTGGTTTTCTAATTTAGAATTTAAGTCCATAATTTAAATCAATAATTTACCAATAGAAAAAAAATGACTACAAAAATTTTAATGTTACTATACTTGTGTTTTTGAGAGATTTTGCAGCTACTAAAGTACTGGCGCAGTCATATATGTTTTTAATACATAACTTACTCTAATAGATTTCGTTTATCTTCCGAAATTTTTAAATCTGCCAGTTTTGAATTACAGTAATAAAATAAAAACTGTGAATTTGTGCTGAATTTGTTAAAATGTCTGTTTAGCAGACTCGAGTACATTTGATGAATTTGTTAAAATGTCTGTTCGAGTACATTTGATAAATAGTTATCAAATTCATTCGTTAAATCATGCTAGAATAGAACTCAATTATTAAAAATATCGTAATTAATTTAAAAATTAATTATTTTCAAAAATTTAATAACGTTATTCTGACAAAATTCATCTTCACTTTTTACTTGTAATGGAAAAGAAAATAATAAATATTTCAGGTTTTCTTTTTATAAGAAATTAATTGTAATATTAAATGAAGCACGTGTATCATTCAATGACACATTAATTTTTTTTGGTTTTTTTTTTATAGATATTAAATTTGTATGCGATTAGCATATTTACTCACAAACAAAAAAAAAGAATTTAATTTAAAATATTTGTGAAGAAATTGAATGTTACTATAAATAAATACTATAAATATTTTTATTTAATATTTCATATTATTGCCTATATATATTCAAAATTTATTTTTGTAAGTAATGTGGTGTTAATTATCATCTTGTATAACTTAAAAACTCCTATTTTAACAAAAAAATAACTTTTTTTTTTATACATAAAATTGTTGATCTCAAATTTCGTGATATTATTTTGTTGATATTTCGTGATAGATTCCATTCAATTTTGAGCCGAGTATATTCATTCGAATATAATATACAAAATTAAGTAATTTAAAAGAGTTATAAATTTTAATTTGAATTCTTATTTTTGGATTAAGTCTACCGTTTCATAAATTTTATTATGTTATGAGTACAACAGTAAGAATAACAAATGCTGAACGTTACTCTTAAAAATTTTAGTATATAGAATTTACTACTGAAATTAAACAATAACTAGTATGAGAGGAAAGATATTATTTTTAAAACTACAATATGCATTTAGGTATATAAGGCGATTTCTTACATATGAATTCAGGCGATTTAATGAATAACATCCTATTTTTTTTTCAATTATTACATTAGATCTATTATAAAATTATGAAAATATGTCAAAAAAAATGTTATCGACAACCCATAGTTAGCTTATTAAGCTAGAGATCTAAAAGCTCAATTAATTTTTAAAACAAAAACTTAACCACAAAAAAAAAATCTATAAATACCAACTTTCTAAGAACATTTGCTTATAAACCATCGAAAATAATCATTTCTTATAATCTAATAATTTAAAAACCAAGAATTGAATATTTTTTTTTTTGTTAATTTAATATTTCGGCAATTTACAAGAAATTCCTTTATTTATTCAAAATAAAATTAATAATAAAAAAAATAAGTCATTCAGAGAAATGGAATTTCCATAAAATTATTTGTGTCAAAGTACATTTTAAGATGTAAATAATTATAAATGACACTATATGTACATATGTATGTATATACAGATGAAAGCTAATCATATTAACTTTTATACTTAAAAAAAAAAATTATGTATTTAAGCAATACTAATGTGTGATTTGTAAGCGTATATCTGTTAAAGAAAGTTTTGTTCCTTAACACAAAACAAACGAAAAATAGTAGATTGTTCAAAAGATAAAAGAATAATTTTATGATGAAGTGAAAGCTTAGTAATTTTTTTTCGGATCTTCCAAATTATTAGTTTTTTATTTTTATTTTTTTTTATTTTTAATATTTGTATATATAGAAAATTTCTAATATATAGGTATCTTTAAAACTTATAAGAATAAAGATTAAATTATCTGTATACATATACATATATTTAAAAATGGAAGGTTATTATCGTTTACGTTATAGTTTTACACACTATATACATACATACATGTAAATTAATATGCAAATCAATTTTTTCTTTGACTTTCTATAGGTTATCTTATAATAATAAGGTTCATTATTATACATATACGTTTATGAATGCACGTATATAGAATTTTTGGTAAATATAAATAAAAATGAATCATTAATCACAAATATACGTAAAACAAAATTCAATTATATAATATGAATAAAATATCGGGTTTTTTTTTTATATACACAATAATGTATCATAGATACATAATATAATTATATATACATAATATGTAAATTAGGATATTGAATTTCAAAGTGAACTTGTAGCCAAAAATTAAAGAGCATTTGTAAAGAAAAACATAACCTTAAATTTGTTAATATTCTAAGAAGCTCATACGAAAATTGGATTTTTATACTAATAATTGCTTTTAAAGTTTTTGTCTACACCGTTAGAACCAATTAATAAAATTAGTTCTAATACGTTTTGACTGCTTTAATTATAATATTGATTCTTGTCAAATATATATTACATATACACTTACACTTACATACACATATATAAAAATATCTTATAAAAAATTTGAAGCAAAGAGAAAAAATGTAAAAAGTACTAAATTTTGATTTATTTGATATTTGACCAAAATATACAGAAACAATACATATCAAATGATAATTGAACGTAATTCAAAGCTAAATTAAGAGACACATTTTATTTCAGTAAAATTAGGTCTTCAAAAAATAAATAGTAAAAGTAAAATATAAACAAGTATATTACAAAGATTGTAAATATTAAATTATTTGAAATATTAAGAAAATTATTAAGAAAATAAAAGAAGTATTTTTTTTCCCAAAAATTCTAATATAGAAATTTGGAAGGCCAAGGTCTTATTTAATTATATCATCACTCATTATTATTATTATTATTATTATTATTATTATTATTATTATTATTATTATTATTATTATTATTATTATTATTATTATTATTATTATTATTATTGTATGTACACATGTATGGTCATGTGCACATTTATCGATAATATAACAATTACACTGATCCTAACACTGAAATAAAAAACCTGTTTACACTTTGGGAAAAACAAATATTGTATTGAATATTAAAAGAAATAAATAAAAAAAAACAAACTGGCTAGATATAAAGTTAATTTTTTTATAAATTAAAGTTGGAATTTCCAATATTATGACGTTAGTTTAAAAATAATGTAGAAGCTTTTGTTAATTTCATTAATTTTAACCAATTTTTTTTTCTCTTTTTGTATAATAATTTTATTTCATTCTAATTCAATACGAATCAACTCATATCATAACAATATTTTGTATAGGGTTTATAAATACATATATGTATGTATGTATAATTTGTAAGAATGTACATTGATGCCAACTAAATTAAAAAGAAAAAAAGAAGTGCAATCTGAAATTTTTTTCATTCAATTTACAACTGGTTGGGTTTGGCAATCTTTTTGATAATTTTATAAAATTTATAATATCGCGTTGAATATTATTTTAAAAAAGCAGTTATGCTATTGTCCAATTTAATATGTTAAAAATTTATATTGATAAATCTATATGTAAATATAAAAATTATTTCTCACAGACTCGTTTCACAAAGGGTTCTTGTTTTGACACCTTTTTGCAAAAATTTGTACATTTTAAGCCCTTGAGCACATTTTTTTTTTAATTATGCACATTTTGTTTCAATTTTAAAAAAATTTTACGGTATTAGATTTACCTAATAAATATTAAAAAATTGATTTTTGCAATATTTACAAATAAGTTTTTAGAATTTAGGCATTTCGTAGAAAACACACGAGACGCCTGCTTTGATTATGATTTATAATTATAAAATAACGCGTTAATTAAAAATTATTATTTTATTAATAAGACTGCAATCACTTTTTGAAAATAATTTTTTTTTTTGAAAATTGTTGAATTTCTGTTTTCTTTTTTTCACAAACAATGTACATTTTATAAAAAAAAATATTAATCTTCTAATTAGATTTAAAATTGCAGATGGACTTAGGTCACTTTCCAAATAAATCATTCATAAAATATGAGTACATAATGTACAAATGGATATATACATATAATTTTTTTTGAAGCCGATTACGACGACCTATAGCGCAGAAAATTTTATTAATTTAGTTCTTTTCTAGTTAAAAGTAAGAAGTCACTCAAACTCTAGAATTCTAAAAAATAATACAACTTTATTACTAAATATAAAATTACGATTAGTACAATACTTTATCAAAAAAAACATTTATTTAACATTTATTAAAAAAAAATACTTAAAAATGGCTATAATGAATTTCATAAGATTTTTAAATATTATAAAACTAATAAATTTTAATTTTACTTTACAAATGTAGAGAACTTCTTTAATAAATAAATAAATTGATTTGGTAACTCTACAAAAATTTAATCTGTTGAAAAGAAATCTGTAAAAAATTAAGATTTAATTTTTTTTCAAGCGAATGCCAATGACTTGTAAAACTTGCAATCATCTTTTTTTTTTGTTATTTACACAAACTGTGGAAAATACATTTGTTTAAAATCTAGAGTAAAAATTTCAAAGTGATAAGACAGGCACACAAATATGCGTAAAATAAGCCGTATGCCATTTAAACGTTATATTAAAAAAAAAATCACGAGTATAATGCTTGTCATAAGTTATAACAAAAATATTGTATTTGTTAGAAAATCTATTCATTTTTATGAAAGCTACAATTTATTTATACATATGTGTACTTATAACATTCAAACAAATATACAATATGTAATACGGTAGTGGCGCTCAGAAACCACTATAAATCATAATTCAATACATACAGTATGACGTTATACAAAGATAGCTTTTTGTTCTATAATATCATTGAATTTTTATATTTATTATTTAAAATACTAATAAATATTCATATGAAAATAAAAAAAATAACAACTAAATTTTAAAATTTTCGCATATAATAAAATTAGCAACATATTTTAAAATTATTATTTTTTATTTTTAATTAGTAAAGCTTTCAATATTTATTTTTTATTTTACACAAATTTCTAGTTTCTACGAGTATATATTTATTTTTTTTCTCTTTACTTTTTTCAAATTAAAACGATATGTATTTGAATTAATAAGAATTCACTTCTAATATGGTATTATATTTTTAAATATAAAATTATGATTTTTTAATAAATAATTATATTTTTGACATACCTTTAAAAGTGCCCAATCAAAACTATCTCCTATATATTCTGAATTGGTAACAAAATCTGGAATGAATTCTGGAATTATTGGTTTTTGATATGAATTTAAAATATCTGAAAAATCATCTTGTATTATTGGTTTTTGTAAATCCGGTTTATTATTATTAGAAAACGGTTTTTGTTGTTCTTGTTGTTGTTGTACTGATTCTGGAGAACGATCATTCACTGGTATATTCTGTTGGGTACCTAAAGAATCTGCAAAAACAGGAGATCCTTGTGGTATTGAAGTTGTAAATGAATTTTTATCAATTGGTTCATTAAATTGTTTTTCTGGTATTCTTTGACGTATTTTTTCTTGAGTTTGAATTAATAAACCATCATTTCTATCATTATTATTGAAATTTCTATCATTGTTATTACTATAAAGTTTATCATTTAATTCATTATTATTGTTATTATTATTTGTTCGATTTATATAATTATTATAATTAATATTGCTTTGTAAATCATTTTGTACAGCTAAATATTGTTGTTGTTGTTGACTAATTATATTATTATTTGCAACAACATAGTGTAGAGTTTGTGCATTGGAATAAAATATAATGGCAAAGCATAGTCCTATAAAAAAATTATAAATTAATAATATAATATATCAATACATACATATTATATGTATATAGATCGTAATTATTACATACATACGTATTTTTATTTAATAAAATTAATTAAGCAAATTTACACTTTAATATTTAATTTACACATATAGTTATTCATAATATTCTTTTCAAATTTACCTAATGAAATAAACATTATAAATATTTGAAATTATTAGGTTTCCTTATTAAAACAAATAATTTAATTGATTTGATTATGTTTCGTTTAAAATATATTTTAACGTTATATTTATAATAAAAAAAAGAAAAAAATATATTTTAAAAAATAGTATTGCCGTATTTTATGACCTAAAGACCTCTCAGAACTAACTTCTAGCACGACTGATGTGAAACATTGAACATAAAAATCTGATTACTGATAAATTATACACTAACATATTTACAGTTGTATGCGTTTATCTGTAAAAAATATAATGTACAGTTTTATTTTTTATTTATTTTATAATATAAATGTTTGTATTATGTGTATACATTATCATACTATAAATCTCTAAAAAACAACCAATCGATGATCATTTTTGTTTTTGTATTGTTATATACAAATGTGCGCAACAATCCAGCTTTTATTCTTAAAATTAAAACTGAATCACTTCAAGCATTTTATAACTTGTAAGATATGGTAAATAACAGTCAAGTTTAATTCATAACGCAATACATTTGCATAAATAATATTAACGCGTTTTTACACACTAACACATTGAAAAAAAATTTACTCATCATCAGTCAAAAGGTCTAGTTCTAGTATAATTGTAAGAAAAAACAAAAACAAAAATTTTATTAAAAATAAAAAACAAATAAAAAAAGTTTACTACAATACAAGCTCTAAGGCAACATATACAGAAACAAATGGAATAACCGGTTACGAGTACGAGTGTAAACTTATTAAAAAATGAGAGAAGAATAAACATAAAAAAGTGTGTAACAAATGACTGCTCAGTAGTCAGTAGACAATACATTAATACCTCGCTTTGCGACGATTCACTTTGCGACATTTCATATTGCTTTGAAAAAAAATTTTGCATAATTTCATTTTGCGACGTTAAAAACTTCAGTTTGCGCCAAAATAAAAAAAAATTTTTGGCGTATGTATTGTATACAGAAAATGACCCCGACGAAAAAAAGGAGTTCAAAAGTTGTACAATCCTTAACTGATAGCGTAAGTTGCTACAAAGAGATTTACTTGTAGCAAACAGAAAATAATTTTTTCGTTTAAATTCGAAAAAGTTGGACTGAATTATATTAAATTTTTATTTTAATTTTTTGTATTAAAAAATAAATTTATAAAAAACTTAAAAATGTTTTAAGTGCTGAAAAATATCTTTAATATTTCAGAGCAAGTCTATACAAAAAGTTTTTTCGAATTGGGACGAATATCGTCTTAAACAGAGGTATTGTAAATAACTTCTTCAACAACTTTTATTTGAGCGAAAATGATGTTGCTTACTTTTTTGAGTTATCCTTCTTTTGAGCCCTGCACTTCTTCAAATTCTGCTGTATATAAACTTAGTGTACACAAAACATGATTAAAATGAAAAAAGTTCAGGAAAAACTGAAGTTGCTACCATCTTAAAAATTTCCCTAAGTTTTTCCAGTTTAATTAATTCTTCGCATACCATAACATTTTTCCTTTTAATTCAATCAAGCAATCTTATTCTTAAGGTCTTCTCGCAACATTTCCATTAAATCTAATGTTGCTAAAAATACTGCTTCTGAATGAAAGAATGTTTAAAAAATTAGAAATTAACTTTGCGTTACACCATTCGATACTTTTATTTCACATGGAAATCCATTTCCAATGAACACAAAATTTTCTTATTCAAGCAATATTTTTTTTATGCAAACATAGCTTGAGAAATACATACATCTAAAAATAAAAGGAATGAATCACATTAATAACGTAAATGAAACAATCTTCTTGCTATAGTTATGTATATAAGATTTATTTAAAACAATTTATGGACTTAACAAACGAAATTTTAATTTACATTATTCGATAAAACTGTAATAAACGTACATAAGATATGTATTTATGTACGCTCTATTTGACTTTACATTTGAAAAACTTTATTCTAAATATTTTTCCTAAAAAATGAATTTTTTCTTAAAAAAATAAATAACAAACTCAGTTCTTGTATTTGAAACTTAATTATTTGTGTTACGTTTTATTAAAATATGACTGATATAACATGCCAATCGAAGAAGTTGCGAAGAGCGTGAAGTAACTCCACCATGTTGCAAAACCAAGAAAACCTCTCCAGACTGTAGTAGAAAATACCTTAACAAAAATCAGACAATTTACTTTAATTTAGGGAAGAAAACAAACTAATATAAATTTACTCTTTTTAAACTATGCCAAGATTCTTGTAAGTAATGTGCAGGTTCTATAATATTCAATTCATTATAGTTATTGTCCAAGATGCTTTCTTCTATAACCGAGTTAATGGATTCACCAGTTCCAGCTGCATCACACATTCCTTCAGCTACATCATAAGTATTTATAGTAACATTTTTGCTAAGAAATCCAGTCCAACTTAATCCGCCTAAATTTTTATACATGAAAGTGAGGTACAAGCAGAAAATCAACGGTGCTGCAAATTGTAACGTCACAACGCAGAGATAGAAAAATATTGAGGAGACCGTTCTTTGTAAATTTACATTTGTTATTCGACCAGCTTCTTTTTTTAAATCTTCTACACGGTCTTGTGCTAAATTTAAATACGCTTGGAGATATACTGGCATTAAAGACATCCTCAAAATTACCATTAAAATAACAATAAAGATTCTCATCGTTTCAAAGCTTTCCGATGTCATTCTAGCCAAAATTTTTCATAGGAAATACGGACATAATAACATTAAAATTAAAGAAAAAAAATAATTTAAAAAAATTATAAAAACTTACAATGGCTTATCCATTCCAGAAAATATTCTCACCGTTAAGTAGTCTCGACTAATTGGTCGTATCCATAATATCACCATAACAAGAGGTAAAATTAAACTTATATTCAAAAGTAGTTGAAGCATTTTATTATCTGCACAGTACCTACAAGAATAAAATATAATTTTAATTCGACAAAAGTAAACTTTTGATTTGAAAAATTATAATTTTAACTTTGATTCCCTAAATTAATGAACACTTAAGTTTTGTAACCGCTTTTTTTTAAATAAGACTGAGTAAGTACCTCTTTTAACATGTGCCCACTTGCAAACACCATTGTTTAAAACTCCAAAAAAAAAAAACACACTTTCCTTCACTAAAATTAAGTGTATTATACGAAGGTTTATAATTTTTTGAAGTTATTTTTATTTTAAAAAATGCAAACTTTTATATTCTGTAATACAGACTTTTGTATTCTGTAATACAGAATACAAAAGCTTTTAAAAGTAAATTATAATATTCATTGGAAATTTCAATTTCATTTCAAGTGAAGTAATGCGATCCCATAGTTTATTATACGCTACTCAAAAGGTTAAAGTATTCTTTTCAAGTGTTCTAACACATACAATATACTAATAATTCATTACATTATGCAATACGATAACCAACTTTCCAAAACTAAAAAGGTATAGCATAGACAGCCTGGTAAACCCTAAGTAACTGTCATTATTCAAACAATACTTTAAAACAATACATACAGGCACTAATAAAAAAGGGTTTCAAAAACCATGTAAGTAGTTCAATTACATAATACATGATAACATAAATAAATATTAATTTCGTTAACTGTTCCTTGTACAAAAAGTAAATTACCTTAAGGAGTCCCAATGCATTCTTGCCATACGAAGGCCGGGAAAAGTGAAAAATGAACCTAATAAACCACAACCAAATGCTATAAAAAATTTTAGAACCAATGCCGAAGCTGGACCTCTAAAAAAGAAATAATTAATATTTCAATATAATTTTCTTGGTTATGCTTTACGTGGATGAAAGTCCTTGTTGTATTAAAAACTCAGAAGCGCTTTCGTTAAAACTTCTATATGCCGTTTCCAAACCAGTTTCTAAAACGTTTTCGTCTATTATTAATACGATCATTGCTACTAACATGTAAAAGAAACATGCTACAATGCACATAGATCTTTCACCCATTGATTCATCATTTTGAAAATACAACACAGTTAAGCTTCCTAAAAGTTTTCTGGAAATATAAGATTTTAGTATTAATTTTAATTACAAAAAAGAGGGACCTACAGAGAAAAAAATATTACAAGAAGGCACCATACCATGCTCAAATTTGTTTCATTATGTAAAGGAAAGTTAAATTGGTAAACTTCTGATATTATGTAAACTATTCCCGCATATATGCTGAAATCTATTAAAGGAAATAAGTAACCGTTGTTATAAAAGTCCTCACAATAATTATATAAGGACCCAATAGAACAACAATATTAAATTACCTATTAGCCATTGATATTCTGTAAAATATCTTAAATGAACCACATCTAATGGTGTAATTTTAGAACTTTCTAAGCATATATCTAGATTTCTAGGAACATGAAAGCTTTTATTTTGCTTATCCCTGGTAAATTTACCTTTCTCTTTTGGTACATTAGCAAGACTCTTTAACTGATCGTCCGTAGGATGTAAATATCTCCTTTAAACACAACAAAAAATATTTTATTATATTTATTTAATATATACATAAGATTAAATACCTTAGACCAGTTGAACATAATATCCACTTAGCGAATGAAAAATGTGAATGTAACTTCTGTATAATACTAGCAACTATTAAGGTAATAACCAACTGTGCTCCAAATATTGCCTTAAATTTAATAGGTTTGATTAATATAGACTATTCAAGTTGCTTCTATTAATAGAGCAAGCCATATTAAAAGATATAAAACTGAGGAAAAATTACTTACCATTATTGCTTTTAAATATAAAATATAAATTTGAAAATTTAGATTAGTTTTATTTAATATTTTTCTCTTTTGTGTCTAAAATTTATTGTTTCAATAAAGTTTTTAATTTAATCATAATATTCATAAGAAGTTCTTGTCAACATGAAAGCATTTATATCCCAATTCCCAGTCCAACTGATACACCTGCTTCATATTTTGCAATATTTTTGGCATTCGTAGTATGACAGACTTTTAATAAGTTGATGTTAAATTATCAGAGACTGTCAACATTTTTTAAAGTTATTTAATTGGTATACTTACTTTAAAATATTTAATTTATTGTAATCTATCGAAAAATTCAATTTTTAAATCAAACTGATGGCATCGGGCAATTTTTGTTTTTTAAATGAATAAAATTTACAGATATACTAAACTAAAAAAAACAAACTGATATAATAGGTCTGTCTGTTGTAAGAAAAATTTTAAAAACTTTATAAAGATTTTGCATGCAAAGTCTCTGGGAAAATTCTTTTTGAACAAAAATGAGGGAAAATGATTACATTCTCATATTTCCAGTTGTTAAAAGTCTTTCAGTCTGTGCTCATACGTTCTTCTCTCTGAGTGAATATCTTTTCTGTATTCCCTATCTTTCCAACGATATCGCACATAAATAATACATAAAAATATATTGAAATAATACATAAAAAAACATCATGTGTCTTTTATTTTGAAATATTTTTAAATACTGTCAATAAAAAGTTTTAGGTTATGGCTGTAGGATAATGTAAAAACAAACCTTATGTGCTGGTAAGTGTCTGATTCACTCATACTAGCATAAATATAAATTGTAATTGAATCTAAAAAGTTTTTTAAAATACGCAAAATTTACGATGGAATCTGAATTCCTCAGAAACCTGATATAACTCAGTTTAATATCAAATTAATTTGACGAAAAATACTTAAAACTTAATGAGTAAATTGTCCGGAATTGATTTTTTTTTAATATTTAACGAGTTGTTAAATAGATAAATTTCATTGTATATAAAATTAAATTATAAATTATTTGTATGTTTAAGAAATAAAATAATAAATAAATGTAAAAATAATGTGCAGTACATTCTAAAAAAGTCAATTTTATAAATTTATTATAATTTTTTAAATTTATTAATTTACTACTACTTTTGAAACGTTAACAAGTGAAAGTTGGAAATGTAAGTAAATAACAAAACAATAACAATTACACAATTGCTATTTGTTTCAGCAATAATCCATTGTTCCACACTTACCTACAAAATTTCAGCATTTAAATTAATTTTACTTCACTTTTTTTTGGAAAACAATTTATTTAGAAATTTACTAGAAGTAAAGTAAAAAGAAATTATTTTACTTCTTAAACTTCATATACTGAAAAGTAAAGTGAATTGCATTCCTTCAAAATCAAGTTTATCGAAATATTGTGATGACACTACCCAAATAAACAAAAGCAATGTTGTGGAAAAAGGTGCAATTTGATATTAGTCAAGCATTTGCATAAATTCATTTTCAATTAATTTTCAAATTCATTTTGGAGAGAAAATATGTGCATTGTGTACTTTTTCATTTCTGACAATTTGATCATACTCTGACATTTCAATCATATGCCAATACGAAAATCTCTCCACACATCATCAATTTTTTCATATTTTTTTTATAGTTAAGTTATTTTCATATAATTGTAAAAAACATTAAAATAAGTGCACAAAATTTAGCCGAAAAGTATTAAATATGGATATTTTGGATATTGATGAAATCGAAGACGATTTTGGGTAATAAATTATAATTATTTTTGAATATATTTTTGTGTATTTTACTCTTAATATTACCTTTGTGCTACATAAATAAATGATTCTTTTGACATAATAAAATTTTCATTTTTGTGACTAAGTTTCTATGAAAATTATAAAACTATTTTTTTTTTTTGCATAAATCTACAAAAATAAAATTGATATTGTCTCTCATAACTTTCTATTTCTTATAACTTTCTGCACTCTTTAATTTTTAAAGTAACTTATTATTCATAATTTTTCTGAACTTCTTTTATGCATTCAATAATGTAGAATATTTGAAGAAAAAATACAAGATGATGTTACAAATATATTGAGACAATGGAAAATAGGCAGTAATAAAAAAGGTTTGCAAAACATCAATACTTTCATGTTCATGTCCAAAAAAAATGTCATTTTAAGACTTAATTTTATGTTTTTTATTTTTAGATGCCTTTGATAGTAGAACATTTACACGACCCAAGGGATCTGTAATACGAAATTCCATTGATGGATCACAAATAAAGGTAGTTTTACAATTTATAAAGAAAATATCCATGCAACTTTGTAAATATTATTGTTAATTTTAGAGTCCTCACATTCAAGAAAATCAAAGTGGGATGTGTATGAAAATTGGTGGTCTGGTATCAAACATTCAAAAAAGTTTTTTAAATGATGTATCTCCGCCTAATTCAATATGTTCTTCCATGAATTTAGAAAGTGAAACTATGGCAAACAGTTTAATAACAAGTGCTGATTTTTCTAACATAAGTTTTTTTAAAACATCTCTTATCGATTCAAATATAGATTTTGCTTTTAAAAATAACTTAAAACAATACAATAATATTGAAAATGAGTGTAGATTTAAGCTCGAAAAAAATATTCCAAACGATTTTTATAATGATACAACAATGAAATCGTCTGTTTCAAAAGATAATCAAAAAAATTATAAAAGCGAAAAAACTGACATAGAGGAAAATATTAATTTATTAACTGACAGCACAAAAGAAAACTCACCTAATTGTCCTGAGATAGACAATAGTGGGAGCAGTTTTCAAAATAATACTCAAATAATGTCAAATACATTCAAAAAACGAAATTCTACTATTTATGATAACTCTGTAAATATTTTAAAAGAAAGCGAACCAGATGAAAGATCTGCAGATATAAATAAGACATTTTTAAGAAAATCAAAAGCTGAACTTCAATTTAACTCAACTTTTGAAGTTGATATAAATATCCCAGTAAAAAATACTTCAACTCCACAAAAAGCGATCGTAAATGAAATAGATAATAATGTCGATTTCTCTCCTATAACACCTTTTATTAAAAATGAAAAGTTAAAAAAAGAAATAAATGAAGAAGAATTATCGCCAAATGAAAACATATTTGATATTCCTTTGGAAATTCAAAAAGAAATCGAACAGTCGCCGCGAAATAATAGCAATCAAAGACCTGTAGAGAATAGTTTTGAAAATGATAACCTAGATATTGATGAATTCACAGATTTGTCTGATAAAGTCGATAACTTCAGAGAAGATGCTATGAAAAAATCCCTAGAATCTATTAAAAAACGTTATTCACACAAATTTGATAAAGTGGTAAGTGTTTCTGAAAAACCAATGCAAAAATTCGGCAATCCATTTCCAGAAAATGGTCGTTTGTTATCTAGAAGATCACGGTTGAACGACGATTTAACTTTGTATCAAAATATCAAAAACGAATCAGAAAATAATAACCAAATTATTGAAAACGAAAAAAAATCAAAAAATGATTTAACGTTTGTTAAATCAAATGTTTCTGAAAATATTGCCGAAGATATTGGAGGTAAAAATCAAATAGTTAATGAATCAAATGATGAAAAAGATGTAGATACAAAGAAAAAAAATGAAACAAAACGTTGTCGGAATGAGGATCGTTTTAAAACCATAAAAATAAATAAACCTCTTATAGATCAATACAAAGGAGAAATTTTGGAATCAAATGAGACTGAACATTATAATCCAACGGCTTTTGGAAAAATTGATAAAAATTCTAAAATTTCAAGTTTTGAAAACGAACCATTGAAATTCGAAGATAAATATAACCCAAAAATAAGAGATCCACAAGGTCAGGCAACCATAAAAAATTTAAAATATGAACGTATTTCGAAAATTGAAAATTTGGGAAAAGCAATATCTGCATCGAATTTAGAAAGTACAGCCAAATCAGAACAGAATGCAAATTTTAAATTCGCTGTACCTGCACCAGTTAAACAAATAAAAAGTCCCATGGGCACCAAAGCAAAATCTTTTCATAACTTGGCAAGCAACAATTTTGGTTTTGGAGTAAGAAAGCAATCTTTGCAAATTCAACCGAAAACGCAAGAAAACAATTTTTCATCAACATTTCAAGCAACAAACGTAAAGAACAATCCGTCAAAAAATAATGTAAATCTTAAAATTTAATTAACACTAATTTTATGTTCGTAACAATTTTTTTTTGTTTTTTCTCAAGGAATCTTGTTTAAAAGCAACACCAATGTTACGGCCTATAAACATCCAAAAGAAAAGTGGTTTATTACGACCATCTTCAGGTTATTTTAGTAAGGGAGTTTCAACAGAGGTATTGAAATTCTATTAATGTTTTATTTTATTTTTCTAATTAAATAATTCATGTAATGATCTTTATTTGCCCAATTATTTATTTTCTTTTTAAGTTAAACGCCCTACAAACAACGTTTATAAAAGATAGTGAAAAAATTGTCAAAATTGATTCCAATTGCTCAAATATTAATAACTTTAATTCTGACCCAGCGACAAATGAGGAAATAAATGCTACAGTCAAAACGAAGTCATCTAAACTTGTTAAACCAACTGAATCAAAGCTTGTTACCAATATAAAAAGAAGTGGGCTCCCTAGACCATCATTGCATTACAGGAAACAGTTGTAGATAATTTTTCATTATTTTTAGTACTAATTATAACTTAAGCATTTATTTTGTATGTATATAGAAAAATTGGTGTTATAATTTTAAAAAGTAATTCTAGCTTTTGTTATACAAAACAATTTATATCATCAGGAATAACCTTAAAGATGCCTTATTAATAAAAATCTTAGTAAAAATACAAATTAAATTATGATGTGTACTATTCATCTAACTGCAATATATTTAATTTTAACCTTTATACACATTTTCAAAGGTTTCTCGAAGTTATTAAAGAGGTTAGGTGCTAATCTAGATGCATTGACACCAAATCTTAATAAAAACGATACGTGAACGGTCCTAACATATTAATTAAATCAAAATCATACAGCTTTTTGTAGTTTATCCTTTTTAGCAAAATTTTCTTATTTTGCAAGGAGAATAATTTCATTTAGTGTACCTAATCTGATTTGAAATAAAGTTTACTCAGTAAAGCCAATCAATCATAGGTATATTTTCGAATTAAAGAAAAACAACGTTATTTATAGCATACAATTAAACATAAAAATAAAATTTCAGCTAAAACAAAAAATTAATGAAACATGAAAATTTATAAAAATAATCAATATCCATATTTTTCTTGAATAGATGACATAACATCACTTGCAATCGAACTCAGCCGTCCAGCAACTTTTGTAACACCCTGACGAACGCTTTCTTTAACGTCATCCAGATCGTTAAAATTATTTCTTGGATCGAAAGAATGCACTATAAAATCCAATAAGTTGATATTATTTATCATTTTAAAGCATGATAACATGCACTTTACTCACACTTGCTAACACTATTGTTACTCTTTCCATCATTAAACAAGTCTGCAGATGAAATACTAGTTGAACCTTGAAAACGAGATAAACTTGCTGATACTTCATTATTATTATCATTACCAAAAAACTGATCTGACGATATTCCTACAAGTTTTTCTGTTAAACATGTTTTGGATTTTTTAACAAAATAAATAATTCATACCCTTAGCGTTTCCGAACTTCGACTGAGCCTCAGTATTCTCGTATGTTTTATACGTTTTGTTAGTTTTAGGTTGATTTGTTTTCGGATGTTCAGTGATCGGTGAAAACATTGTGGTTACCTTAGGTTGATCTATGAAATCAATTTTTTCAAAGTCTTCAGATAAATTATCATCATCAAACTTGGAAGACGAATACATTCCTGCTGAACTAGATGTGGATGAAGAATATTGATTAAATAAATCATTTTGATTTGATTCAATACGATCCCGTTCGAATGGTGTATTAAAACTAGAGTTAGGTTGCTCTTGAGATATTGTTTGCATATCAAAAGTTGCCGAATGTGAAACAACACTTTAAAAAAGAAAATATTTAAAAAAAATTACCAAGTTTTCTTTTTTTATTTTTTATACCCTTTTAAATTGAAGCCCATACCCAATCGTTCCAACTGTTTTGCTTTTTGTGGGTTCATTTGACTTAATTTTGCTTCTTCCTGCTTTTTAAAAGATAACACTTTATCAGCCAGGCTTGAATCTGATTCAATTTTAAAATTATCTTCTTTTGAATCATTTAATGGCTCGGTTGAAAAAGTTTCCTTGTTACAGCGGCTTTCAAGATTAGCCTTTTGCTCAATATGAGCAAAATTCGTTTTAACTTTTGTTGCTCCAAGACTGCTTACTTTCTTTGCACCAAGCTATAAACAATATGTAAATATGCAAGCTATGTGAATCAAATTATTGTAACTTATTATTTAAAAGTCTTACGCCACTTCTTTTAGGTTGAATTTTACGAATACCAGGTTTTATAGAATCATTGGGTGGGGGACATTGTAAAATGTCAAAACTTTCATTATTTGACTCTACAACAGGTTTTTCTGTTGACAAGTTCTTATCATCAAGATATTCATCGGATTGATGCTCTTCAATGCTCGATTTACTACATTTAAGCTCATTAACAGACTTTTCTATATTGGAATGTTCTAAAAATGTCTAAAAACAAATGAGATTAAAAAATATGCTTTAAAAAAATTAGATATTTACATTAGTTCCGTATGTTTTAATGGCTTCTTGAGCTTTATTCAACAATTTGTCTCTATATAACTGAGCAGCTCTAGAATTATATTTTTGCTGTGCATCATCTGTTATACAATTGTGTTGGCGGAAAAATTGTGAAGCATTTGCATTTCCACCAACTTGCATTTGTCGTAATTGCAACCAGGTCCAATTCGTATCCAAATTAATCGACCTCACAAAAGTTAAATGCACGCCTAAATTTCTGTGTACTGCAGAACAATCGATACATATAAAAACGCTAAAAAACACAAAACTTCTTAGTATTTTGTAAAAATGCAAGTAAATTTTTTATAATTGATACAAAATTTTGAATTCACATTTGAAGTTTTTAATTATTTACAATGAATATGCACGCTACATGTATAATACATACGAAAAATTCGATTTGCATAATGTGCACTTTGTTTTATAAAATTGACGTGTCTTGTTCCTTTTTTATTTATGTTAAAAAACACTCAATAAATAAATATTTTCACATCTTAATCTTAAAAAAGCAATTAAGCCTTTGTGCTCAAGATAATTTTATCTATATTGTGAACTCTTGATATAATTTGGTATAACATTTTACAAACTTCTACTACACTACATACCCAAAAGTTACTGAGGACCAAGTTGGATTTTTTGCACCACAATCAAAGCACAATTTGTTAGCTGGCTGTGTTCTTAATTTATTAAAAATTGCTGTTATTGTTTCTTTTGTTGGTTCTGAAGACATTGCAATCACAATATTTTTAATTAAATTATGTACATAGATTTTTTATATTATATTTGAGAAATCGACGTGTCCAATTAATTTTAAATTGTCATCAGAGCAAAACTTGAAATGAAATTAACAAACGTCATAGCTCGAGACATTCGGACATTCTTTCGATTCAATTGATAACTTAAAATCAGTATTACCATACAAAAAGTTTTTCGGTTCCAAATTAAGCGGCTTTTTCAAAAACTGCATGAGTTAACACTGTCTATTAATTTCAAGTTGTTGTTAAGAGATCCATATTAAATTTGAACTCATTTTATTTATTAATTTTTTGAAAATTTTTTTTCCTGTTTGTAATGCTCAACAATTCAGGAATTTGAAAACCAACAAAAACATATAAAATATTTGCTTCGTTTTTTATATAAGTGAAAAAAACGAAAGTATAATTTGATTATTTTAAAATAAATTTAAACTAAAAAATTATTGAATTATAATTTGACAACGATTTTACCAAACATTATATAAGTAGGTAATTATTTAATTTTAAAAACTTTTTCAAATTTGTTTTTCTTTTCCAAATGAAAAGCTTTTATGAGTTAAAATTCAATCTTGTTTACGTTAGTCAAACTATAATCTATTTGAAAGAGTTATTTGCACTCAGTAAATTTTGCATCCATTTAAGTTGATGTCAAAATTCATTGAGCGTTTTGGTTATTTATTTTCCAATATTCTCTTTTAACAACTAACAACCTTATTTTTATAATAAATTGTCATTGAAAATAATGACAAAAAAGTTAAGGTAAGCCGAAAAAACGACACATTTTGAACTTTACATTAAATAAAATGCTTGTCAAATGTTAATTATTAAACTGATAGTTGCTTACTTATGATTAAATGTTGTTTATTGCGTCATCTTGACAAGATGATTAATAATTGATCTAAGAAAGAGTAGTTGTCTGATATAAAAGCTATAATCAAATTAGATTAATAAAATTTTAAAATGTTAATAATATTTTTGTTATACTTCGGCTATTTCATTAAGAAACGTAACGATATGAATGTCGATATCGAATGAAAGTGTCAAAACATACATCGACAAAAAAAAATCAACTCTACAAATTGTTGCGAATTGTTGCTACACTTATATTTCAATTTTCAGACATAATTTGGATGACAGTAAAGTGACAACTTTATGAAGGACTTTCATTTCATCGGATAACATAAGTATTAGCGTTGCTTTAATTAGCAGAGAAATTAATTTTTTTAGGTGCTAAAGCACAAAAGAGTATAAATTTATATTTTTTGTTAAATATAATGGCTAGAGGACATCAAAAAATTCAGTCACAACAAAAGGCTCAAGAAAAACAGCAAAAAATAAAGAAACAACAAGGCCACAGGTATTGCAAAGCATTATGATTTAATACATTTTTGTTATATAGTTTTTAAAAATAGTCCAATTTATTTTCAGTGCTAACGACCAAAAGAAGGCAGCTCAAAAAGCCCTTGTGCACAATTGTGCCGTTTGCAAAGTATACAATTAATATTTTCTTGTAATTTATCTAATGAATTGTTTATACATATTTTTAGGCCCAAATGCCTGATCCAAAAACGTACAAACAGCATTTTGAAAATAAACATCCCAAAAATGAATTGCCAGAGGAGTTGAAAGAATTTTAACATGTGTGTGCTTAAACGGCGTTATTAATAATTATTCTATACCATATACAATAGCTAAGTTGTTGAAGCAATAATTCAATCTAATATATTTATAAATGTAAATTATTCTGTGGTATTGGTTTTTTATAAATTTCCTTTATACTGAATATAAATTAAATTTTATGAAGTTCTAATTAAAGTATTGTATGTATATGTATAAAATTAAGCTTAATAGTAGTATTTAATTTAGTAATTACTATAAAAGGATGAATTATAAGAGATCAATTACACACGTCTTTGCAAATGTTTTTGCTAGGAATTTATTGTTTCTTTATATTTGCTAAATACTTCTAAACAATATTCCTCTTTTATTGACAAAAATTGATTATAGCTAGGTAATTGAATTGTTTCCCAAACGTATTCATTATAAAATTCAAGAAAATGTAAAATTGCTTTTTACATTATAATTTCATCATCAAAATCCATTTTAGAATTATGTATTGATTAGGATCTTTCAAAACCAAATAAAATTAACTTCAAAGCGGAAATAATAGAAAATGTCATTTATTGACATGTCAGTTTGTCTAGAGCGACGAATTATTGATGTTTCAGTTACGTTACGATTACTAAAAGTTCCATTGATTCCCAATCTTTATAAAATAAATTTACAGTCATATCATGAATTTCGTTCTGAATTCTGAAATTCGGAAAATTACGAGTATCATTATCAGTTCTACCATGAATTTTACTCGTAGAATCATGTGCACTACGAACATAGCTACAACGTAAACTTTTGAAGTATCACAAATTCCTTTCGAAGAAACTATCAGTATCATTTTTCGGAGTGTCAAATACAACATTTTATTTCAACTATCATATTTAAAATAAAATGTTTCACTTTTCAAAAATATTCAAAAACTAATAAAACTGCAAAACTTTTTGTAAATGATTGCAAAGTTTAAATAAATTTAGGCAAAAAAAAGTTATCTAAAAAAGCTGCAAAAAGATGCTTTAAAAAAATAACATTTCGTATGAAACTTGTTTTACAAGCTGAAGACATTTTTACAAGCTAATATACTTTCATTCAATTTAACTGCAATTTAATGTTGATCGTCCAGATGTAAATTACCATAAAAGAAATTTTAGCATTAAAATTTTTTCAAAACATTTTTACTGACACAATATGTATTGTATGATTTTACATCTACTTCAATTTTTTTTCTACTACGCAAGCACTTATTTATTGAAAATATAAAATTGTCAAAATGGGCACCCTGTTCTGATTAAGGTGATTAATAGTGATTGAGTGAGTGAGTAAGTGTTTAAGAAAAGCGGCAAGCAGACAAATTTTAATAATTTATTGAAATAATATTTATTCAGAATAGTTTTTTTTTATTGAAATAAGCTAATATATTTAGTTTTTAGTTAGATATTACATTTTAAAAATGTTTTAAGTGAAAATTAATAGAGAAAAAATAATATTAAGTATAAAAGAAAATGTTCCTTAGCGGTGGAGCCATGACACAAGGGCGGTGTACACTTTTATTTTGTATTTTTTTTATTTTCTCCGCAACTGCTGAAGGTATTTTTCTTAAAAAGATAGATGTTGTTTGTTTAATTTTTTGTAAAAAATTTTAAATTGAAAATTTTTTTAAAACGTTAATGAAATTTTATAAATATTTCCAACAGTATTATTAAATAAAAATTTTTAATTTTCATTGTAGAACATGAAATCGATGTTGAAAAAAACATTACCCTAAAATGTCCTACAACATTAAATGAACCTGTATGGTGGAGTTTTAATGGAGAAAATGTAACAAATGAAAACAAAAGGTAGTAGCAACATACTTAAAAAGATTTTTTTTTTCATATTAAGACTTATCTTCAATAAAAAAATAATACGTAGAATATATTATGAAAAATAAGTTATTAATAAAAAAAATTTCTCTATTATAAAAATAATCATTTGCCATTTAATAAAACACTTACTTTTTAATAAAATTTTAGATGGATAATATCTATGATTCCATCAACTGTATTGGAAGAAAACTCACTGACTGAAACGGCTGAAACTGCAACCTTCATTAATGGATTAACAATAAAAGAAGTGAAAATAGAAGATGAGGGAAATTTTACTTGTCATTTCAGTGAAATTGACACTTTGTCAACAAAATCTTTTTGGTTACAACCAATAATTCGTCCAAAAATAATATCTCACAGCGAAAAGGTTATTAAATCAAATATTTCGGATACCGTATCATTTTTTTGTTATGTTCATGCTTATCCATATCCATCAAGAAAGTGGAAACAAAAGTGGCAAAAGAATTTCATTGATCTTCCATTTGATAAAAACAGTATGACAGAAGATCCGATCAATAAAACACACACGAATTTCTCTATGAAAATAGAAGAAGTTAGAAAAGCGGATAACGGAACATATTCTTGTGATGTGTCGTCACTTTATTCTGAGGAAAAAATTGATTTAACCTTATTGGTTTTAGATGTCCCTCAAGTCAGCATTGAATATGTTAAAGCAGTCGGAGCACATAAAATATTTATGAACTGGACGGTAAACAGTGGAAATGATCCAATTAAAAAATATTTTGTCACATTTAGGCAAGAGGGAAACACAACTTTTACTTATTACAATAATATAATTGATGGTAAAAACACGTCTTTAGTGTTAGAAAATTTTCAACCAAATACAAACTATCAATTTAAATTGTCGGCTACAAATTCAATTGGTCATAGTGTTTCATACTCATATCCCCATTGGATTAAAACACTTGAAAAAGATCCCATCTTTGTGCCAAAAATTGAAACGACTGGTAGTTCGGCATCGACGATAACAATAAGTTGGTCACCGCCACCTCCTGACTTATTGGAATATGTGCAAAATTACGAATTAGTTGTTTCAGAAGCAGGTGAATCTCGTGTTATAGAAACTATTACTTACCAACAGAACAGTAGAAATCTTCCTTACATGTTTGATAATTTAAAGACTGCAACCGTTTACTTTTTTAAAGTTAGAGCATGTTGTGAACTGTGTCGATCTTGTGGACCTTGGTCGGAAATTATAAACGGCACCACAATGGATGGTAAGTTTTATAATAAGTAATTTTAGGTGAATGTTGCTTGTAATAATGAAATTTAAAAGATCCTAAATACTATTACAAATTTTCTGATTTTTTGTTATTTTAGGTAAAGCTAGTGAACCAAGAAATTTAAAAATAGATTGCAGACATTTAAATATATCACGTTTAAATAAAGTCATGGTAACCTGGGATACTCCACAGTTTCCAAATGGGAAAGTTGTTTCTTATAACATCGAATTGACTGGCTTGGCTACCTACCGCTCCTTCAACCAAATTAAAAATGAAACTTGGGGACCCAAAGTCTTAAACTCTGATGCTTCAACCCAACGAGCTATTTTTGAGAATGTAGTCCCAAATACAAATTATACAGTTTCAGTATTCGCAAAAACAAGAAATAAGAGAACTGGTGATATAGCAAAAGCAACATGCACAATGCCAGTGACTACCCCTGACGTAATTGAAAAAATAATAATGACCAAAATAAAAACATATAACAACAAATGTGTTTATAAAGTATTTTTGCCAAGAATCAGTGAACGAAATGGTAACATATGCTGTTACAGACTTTATCTTGTACGAACTGATGGGAGCAATAAAGAGCTAGTTCACCCAGAGGATTTGCCAATATCAACTTATAATGAAGTACATGAATCAAACAATACCAAAGGGGGAGCCTATATTGTAGAAATGTTTCCTGCCAGCGATTTTAAATCTGAAATATTCCTTGGGGATGGTAAAAGAATTTATTCTGATCCTGCAAGTGAAAAACAGGGAGATAAAGCCTGTTTAAGATGTTTAAAAAATCAGCCAATTAAAAAATTTACAAAGCATATGCGGAAAAATTACGATACAACACTATCGGGAGGCATGTTTATATATCTTTTTTAAAAAAATATTTTTAATTTTCTAAATTGGTTTAAAAATAATTAAGAATTTTTGTATAGGTCCGCCGTTATTGCCGGAAGAAACGCAAAGAGAGGAGTTAGAAAGAGCTGGAAATTTAACTCAAGATGCATCCAAAATTTTAGGAAATAAACGCCGTCGGAGACATCCCAAATTATCAATGTCAGAAAGTGAACCACAAATATCTGTACAATTGGAAGACACCGACTTAATAGCTCCAATGATTAATACTAATCAATATGAAATTTTTGATGGAGAACTGGATGCATCGAGTAACTATACAGGATTTCTAGAAATCATTGGTAAATGATGTTGCGTTATGGATTATTATTGCATATTATTATTGAAAAATATTTTTAGTGGAAAATAATAATCACGGGTCAGAAAAAATGTTAACTGCATACAGTGGATACTTTGAAATAACGACACCTAAAGATTTTGGTAGTGAAGGTGGGAATAATGACGATATGTCATTTATTTTCAATATTGTCGTACAAGTTCTTTGTGCTTTAATACTCTTGGTGTTATTGCTCTTAGTAGCATTATGCTTTATGCATAGATATTATACAAAAAATGCTGGTCAAGGAGATGAAATAATTAGTTTGAGGGATTCATTAAGGTAAAACGCTATTATTCTCAAAATATTTTGAATTAAAGTTGTATCATTTAGTCGAGCATTTTGTGGTGGACGCACAAGTAATCATCGACACCTGATAGGATCTGCATTGAATAAACCTACGGATATTGGTCCTATTTCCAAAACTGATCTTCCACAAGCATATGTGAACAGACATAAGGATACTGACTACGGATTTTTGAGAGAGTATGAAATGTTGCCAAACCGGTTCAATGATCGTACCACAAAAAATTCTGATATGAAGGAAAATGCACATAAAAATAGATATCCGGATATTAAAGCTTACGATCAAACTAGAGTAAAACTTTCTCTTGTAAATGGTGTACAAGGGTCTGATTATATCAATGCCAATTTCGTAATTGGTTATAAAGAACGAAAAAAGTTTATATGTGCTCAGGTAATAAATTTAACAAATGAAGTATATAAAATTAAAATTTTTCTTAATCCTAATTCATAGGGTCCGATGGATAGCACGATAATTGATTTTTGGAGAATGATTTGGGAACAGCATTTAGAAATAATAGTAATGCTAACGAACTTAGAAGAATACAATAAATCAAAATGTGCAAAATATTGGCCCGAAAAAGTTAACGATTCCAAACATTATGGCGACATAACTGTTACTTTCGCTTCGGAGCAACGTTTTTCGGACTTTTTAATTAGAAATTTAAATATTTTAAAGAAGACTGATAACGAAGAAAATGAACAGAGACAAATACAACAATATCATTATCTTGTATGGAAGGATTTTATGGCCCCAGAGCATCCTTACGGAATAATAAAATTTATACGTCAAATAAATTCAGCTTATTCAGTGCAACGTGGTCCTATTTTAGTTCATTGTAGTGCTGGGGTGGGCAGAACTGGAACGATGGTTGCTTTGGACTCATTGATGCAACAACTTGAAGAAGAGGGACTTGTTTCAATTTTCAACACAGTTTGTGATTTGCGACATCAAAGAAATTTTTTGGTTCAATCATTGGTATATATTCGATTATAATATATTTTTAAGACCTCTTTAATATTTAATTTGTTTTGTTTTTTAAATCTTCTTTATTTTCTAATACATACAGAAACAATACATATTTTTGTATCGGGCTCTATTAGATATTTCTCAATTTGGAAATACAGAACTACATGCTAAAAACCTTTGTGCTACGCTGGAAAATCTTAAACACAAGCCAAACGACAGTAAAGAAAAATGCAAATTAGAATTAGAATGCGAGGTAAAAAAAAAATAGTAAAATGCTTTTATAATATTAAAAAAAATTTTGTAACAGAAAATAAAAGCTGTTGTAGACGAAACTAACAAAAGCTGCTCTGTTGGAAGTGGTGAAGAGAATCTGAGTAAAAATCGATCTGATGCTGTAATTCCGTTTGATCGCAATAGGGTAAATAATACAAAACATACTTAACTAAATTAAAGTGCTTATAAAAATTTCTCAATTTGAAAGGTTATTTTGACTCCTATTCCGACCCGTGAACATTCCACCTATATCAATGCTTCATTTATTGAAGGATATGATAACTCTGAATCATTTATTATAACTCAAGATCCCTTAGAAAATACAATAGGAGATTTTTGGAGAATGATTTCCGAACAAAGCATTAACACACTAGTAATGATATCAGAGGTAATAAAATAATTTGGTTCGAAATGCAATATTCTGTCATTAATTATTTCGTAGATTGGAGACGGCCCACGTAAATGCCCAAGATACTGGGCAGATGAAGAGGTTCAATATGACCATATATTGGTAAGATACATTCATAGTGAAAGTTGTCCGTATTATACAAGACGAGAATTTGATGTTACGAATTGTAAAATTAATGATACCATAAAAGTAACACAGTTTCAATATAATGGATGGCCTACTGTAGAAGGAGAGGTACCGGAAGTATGTCGTGGCATCATCGAACTTGTTGATCAAGCTCAAAAGCATCATAATGCGCAAAATAGTTTTTCGTCTCAAAGTCCAATAGCTGTTCATTGCAGGTGATTAAAAAAAACATGTTATTAAAAACATTTTAACTTATTTATTTTTTCTATTTCCATATAACAACGTTTTGTTATTTTAGTCTTGGCACGGATAGAAGTTCAATATTTGTGGCTATGTGTATTTTAGTACAACAACTTCGAACTGAAAAAAAGGTGGATATATGTACAACAACAAGAAAATTACGTTCTCAGAGAAGCATGCTATTGGATACTTATGTAAAAATAAATTTAATAAAAATTTGTAGAAAAATAACGAAATTATTGTTTTTTTTTTCAGCCTCAATACGAATTTTTACATCGTGCAATCTTAAATTATGCAGAGTTGCACAAATTAACAGGGGACTCAACATCAGAATGCTAATAATAAAAATTACGGAAAAGTAAATTACCCAATTGAAAGAGAAATATAAACGGAAACGAATATTTTAATTGCTACTATAAAATGTTAAGTTCCCTTATTTGATTGCACAATCTCTATGTTGTGATACAGGTTTTTAATTTAAATAAAATTTTAATATAATTTCATAAATAAAAAGGTAAAAATAATGTTGAATAAAAATTAAAAAAAAAATTTTCTACTGTTAAGTTGCCAAAGGATAATTATTTTAATAAGTTTAAATAATTTAACTCGAATTTTTTTGTATTAATTTTACATAATAAGTTTATGCATAATATATACGATTATACAAACAAACATACATTTTTTTTTAAACTAACAGCTATGTAAGATACCAAATTATAAATGCCATGTTAATTTAAAAATTTATAAATATATATAACATACTCTTAAATCAAAATACGCATATATAAATATATATATATATATATATAAATATGCATATATATATATATAATATATATATATATACATTTCGTATCTGATATATACATACATACATATACATAAAAATTGGAAATAAAATAAAAAAAATGAGTATAGAAATAACTTTGTGGTAAAAATTTAATAATTATTATAGATTAAAATTTCGCTTAAGGAATGTTCTTTTATATTTGATTAAAAAAAAGAGTATGCAAACAAAACAAAAATTGTAGAATTACGATATAAAAATACATAACTGGAAATTTTCAATATAAATTTTCGTTTTATTTATTATATTTGTAGGTATATAAAAAAGAATTAAAAAAAAACTGAAAAGTAAATTATTCTTCCTTATCAATCAAAAATCTAACGACATAATGTAAATTTAAAGATTATTTGTGTGATTTGGCATTTCTAAATTTGATAAGAGCCAACATAACATACGATCATCTTTCAAAGTTCGATCGATTTGTTAATTATTTGTCAAAATAATTAGATTTTTTCATTTCTTACTAAATAATTAACCTTCTCCTTTAACAATATAATTTTATTATAAATAATGTCATCTATAATTGCTAAAGGATGCCAAATAATTCAACATTTTCCTAAATTAGTTTTTAAAACACCTAAACGTACAAATTTTACATATAGGGCAGATTTAACTTGCCCAGTGCAAGGAGAAAAAATTTCGATGAACATGTTTCAAGCAATTAATAACTCATTGGACTTGGCCCTAGAAGAAGATGAAACTGCTCTTCTGTTTGGTGAAGATGTTGCTTTTGGTGGGGTTTTTAGATGTTCAATGAATTTACAAAAGGTACAAAAAACGATTATATTCAACATTAGTCCCCATTTATCTACATATAGAATTTTTTAGAAATATGGTAAATATCGCGTATTTAATACTCCTCTCTGTGAACAAGGAATTGTGGGATTTGGCATTGGAATTGCAAACACAGGTACCACAGCCATAGCTGAAATACAATTTGCGGATTATATTTTTCCAGCATTTGATCAGGTTTGAAAAAAAATCAACTGAAAATGTTTGAATTTTAATAATATAAGTAAGTGTAATTAAAAAAATGAAGTAATTAATTTATTATTATATTTTAGATAGTAAATGAGGCAGCAAAGTATAGATACAGAAGCGGAAATCAATTTGATTGTGGATCCTTGACAATAAGAGCACCATGTGGTGCTGTTGGCCATGGTGCTTTGTATCATTCTCAAAGTCCTGAGGCATACTTTGCGCATACACCAGGTCTGAAAGTTGTTATACCTAGAGGACCAATTAAAGCTAAAGGATTGCTATTAGCATGTATTAGAGATAAAGATCCTTGCATAGTTCTTGAGCCAAAAATTTTATATAGAATGGCTGTGGAAGAAGTTCCTAAAATTGCATACGAATCTGAAATCGGCAAAGCAGATACATTAAGAGTTGGAGGAGATTGTACTCTAATTGGTTGGGGAACTCAAGTCCATGTGTTATTAGAGGTGAGAATTGAAATAATTATTGGTAAATTCAAAAAAATCTTTAAATAAATTTAGGTAGCCGATATGGCTAAAGAAAAATATGGTGTAAATTGTGAAGTTATAGATTTGGTATCAATATTACCATGGGATAGCGAAACTGTGTGTAAGGTGAGTTAAAAATAATATACGTTAACCAAAAATCAGAAAAGGTAAAACAAAAATTTTTATCGTTCTAGTCGGTTAAAAAAACTGGAAGGGCAATTGTTTCTCATGAGGCTCCTCTTACAAGTGGTTTTGGAGCTGAAGTGGCTGCCACAATACAAGAATCCTGTTTTTTACATTTAGAAGCCCCAGTTCAAAGAGTAACTGGTTGGGATACTCCCTTCCCCCATGTTTTTGAGCCTTTTTATTTGCCAACAAAATTCAGATGCTTAGATGCTGTAGAAAAAGTTATTAGATTTTAGTACCTATCGGTTCCTACGTAATCGTATTTTAAAAAATAGACCATTGAATATTGAAACGGATGCATTTAAAATTTTTGTTTACAGGTATTAAACGTTTATGTTTATACATGTACATACATACATATATAAATAAAAGTTTGAAATATTTTGTAAATGTGTATATAGATATGTAAAAAATAAAGTTAATATGTATGCAACATATGGTTTTGTTACATAGATTTTGAGAGCAGAAAATTTATGAATTTATGTATGCCGTAAGAAGTTGTTGCCTTATTGCTATCAAAACGAACACAGTTGCTATTGGTAAATTTTTGGCTGACCTAAAGAAAATGACAGTTAGTAAAAACAAACAAATTGGCGGTATATAATGTATAAGCGTTGATTTTGATGTGTGACTACTGACTAGGAGGTAAGTAGTTTTAATTTTCCCATAATCTTCAATATTTTATTACTTTTATACCACCACTAAGAAAAATTAAAAAAAAAAAACAATTTCGAACTTTGGCTTCTTTATTTGCATGAGAGAAACTTTGTTTAATTCTTAACTTTCTTTAAGAATTTTCAAGAAAACATTACGGATTGGACAATGCTTTGAAGAGCTAATCTAAAAGTTACAACTAAAGTTACCAAACATTAAAAGTGAATGTACGTATGTATTTTGTTGCATACATACTTTCTTTTGCGGAAACTAACCAAATTAATAAACACATATGGCATATATACCTAGCTATTTTTTTTTAGTAAGTTTTCTTTTCTTTTCTTTGTTATTTAACGTTAACCATCGATTTCAATTTTTCATATTTGATATAATTTGGGGCTTAACTACTTTTGCATCTATAGTTAAGATCTATTTTATTTACGTTGTGAGTAAGCTTTTTCGGCAAGAACAATCAAACGTAGATCAACCATTAAAGCAGAAGTCGTCGTGTAAACGTAGCCATACATAAATTAAAAAAGCATAAATGAAGTTTGAAATTTTGATGTAATTGTCAAGGTCTCAGGCCTTGATTTTTGGTATGTCAAACCCTGTACTCCTATTATGACAACACAAAATGACAATTTATATTAGTCGACAGTTTGATCTTGTTTACTTTTAGACATTGCAAAGAAGTCGTATAATGTATATAGAAATGAAAAATTTAAAAAGCACTTAAAATTTTTTATTATCAATCGATTACGAAAGTAATGGCAGGTTTTGTTGCAGTTCATACAGGTACTAAATTTGATAAACATACATATGTGTTTTATATTTTAGTATAATATATTGTAGGAGCAGGGAACTGTTCTGATGATGCCAGGTATCAAAGAGTTATTAAAGGTAAGGAAATATTACACACATACTATATACAATATAGTATTAAAGCGACTATAAATTTTATAATACATAATTATAACTTTTTGGAAATATTTCTTTATGTAATTTTAATATCAATCGTATTTTATGTTGGAATATAATGATTGTTACACATTATATTAAATTACTTAACGCCATAACGGTATAACACGAAATGCAAACAAATGAAAATGTTCTTTAAAAAGTAAAAAATTGCTTTATTATGATCAATCAATAACCATAATTGAAATTTTCATTTAAAATTTATATGTACATAACAATGTGTTTTTATCAATACATGTAAAATTTAAGAACAGCAAATGCATATAAAAATATTTCAGTGAACAGGTACATTCATATGTATTATTGTTACGATATCTCAAGTGTTTTTTGGGCAAATTCAATTATATCTTTAAACAAAACTTCAGGTGCCTGTAATGCAGCAAAATGCCCAATATTTCTGTAATAAGTGTGATGCTTTAAGTTTGGATATTTATCTTTTATTTGCCAATCAAAACTATGCCCAATATCATGTTGAAAGCTTGCGCAACCATATGGTGCATCGCTAATAACACGATCTAAATCTAACGCTCGGTATTTATCAGTCATTGCTTCAGCATAAATCCTAACTGACGATTGAATACTATTTGTTAAGTAGTAAACCATTAAATTATCAATTAAAGCATCCATTGTGAAGTGTTTTGTCAATCCGCCATCTGGTAAATTTTTAAATAGCATGTTTGTACCTGTTGAAAATTTTTCTAAAATATAAGCTGCTAACCCAAAAGGATTATGTGATAATGCTATTCCGATTGTATCTGGTTTTGTTGCTTGCAAATGGAAATAACCAGTCTCTTCTATCAATGTTGGCAAATTTTCTAAAATCGACGGGTAGAAATCATAAAAATCTTCTTCGAAAAAGTATTTTGGGAATAATTTCGCAATAGTTAATTTTAAATTAGCTTTGGTTGTTCCAAATGTACATAAATTGCTGTGATACCCATATATATTTTCTTTAAAAATAGTTGCCAAAGCACTTCCAATCACAGAACCCCAATCTCCTCCTTGAACATAGAATTTTTCATATCCTAACCGTAACATTAAATTTCGAAGAACAATAGCTATATGAGCAGGTCCCATTCCTGATTTTGAAGCTGCCTAATAATCACAATATATGTTTTTTTTTTTAATTAATTGCAAATTGAAATATGTATATAAAATCACATTACTTCGGACCATCCAAAACCAGGTAGACTTGGTACAACAACTTCAAAAGCATAATCCTTGTTTTCTCTATTAAATTTTTTAAAAATTAAAACTAGCTCGTAAAATTCACGAACAGATCCCGGCCACCCATGTAATATCAATATAGGATACACTTTTTTTGATTTTTTATAAATTTCGGGAACTTTCTCATGAAAAAAATGTATTTTTAAACTAAAATTACAATATGTTATGTATACATATTTTGTGCTTGATTCAGTCCAGTAAAATATTAAATTCTTATTGAATGTAATATCTATGAAAATTTAAGTTTCAAAGCTTTTTTGTTTATTAAGTACTCGTATTATATAATATTATGTGATCGTAAATCTTAACGAATTTGACCGTTATTGAATTTTATAATAATAGATTGTGCTTGAAAATTAAATTTTCATAAAAATTATTTGAATACAATTGTTTTTTATTTTGTCTACAAAACATACCCTTGAATTTGAGTTGTAAAATGTTGAAATTGATTAAAAAAATCCTGTCTTTCTTTATAACGTGGTATATAATCATCTCGCCAATATTTTATAATATCTTTTAACTTAGCTGCATTAAAACCATATTGAAAAGATGGATGATCTTCATACGATGGTAAGAATTCAATGTCTCTATTTAACTGTTGCTTCAAATCATTTATTACCTATCCGTTTTATATTGTGTGAAATTTTTTAAATTTTGTTATATTACTAAAATATGTACTTAGCTTTACTTTATCTTCAAAAACAATTTTAAATTGTTTAATTGAGGTATCCTCTTTATAAAAGTTTTCATCACCTTTGCCCCAATATTCATTATAATTAAAATTTGGCAAATCTACTGAACTAAAATAATTAATATAAAATCGATGGCATAGAGCTGCAATAATGCCAATGACAACTAAATTTGCCTTCCATAAAAGTCCCATATTTTTTTGACAATAATTTTTGTTATAAAAAATAAAAATTGTGTTGCTTATAGGGCGATTAAAACTTTACTAATAGTTTTTTGTTACTTTAAAAATTATGTAATCAAATTCATATCATATGTACATAATGTACATACCTATACATAATAATGTGTAATCATAAAAAATATAATAGATAGCTTGCAATTTGAATTTTTTCTCTTAATTTTCTTATATTCTTTTATTTAGGTATTGGTGAAATATTTAAAAAGCTTTTCGTTAACTATGTTATGATCAAAATTCAGGGAGCAACAAAAAACTAAAAAATTGATAAATTTTTTTTAAATGTTTGTCATTCTTTTTACTAATTACATATTATAATTATAATTGTTATCATTTTTTTCCGTTTTATTATCTTTTTATTAAATTCATTTTTATTAAATACTAATGAATAGGAGAATATTAAGAAATACTAATAAAAAATAAAGGTAGTTTATTAAGAATAAAAAATTCTAGCAATAAACAATGTATTTAATTTATCAAAAATTTAAATGAATTTTTACGAAAATATTTGTATGATTTTTAACGTTCTAGTACTATTATAAATTAAATAAGCGATGATGTGCTTACGATAATGTGATAAACTTTTATTTCTTTGTAGCACAACTCTGTTTAGAAAATTTTTATACTACTTTTTCTTTTATATTACTTTTCTTCTTTATGCTTATATGTATGACGTTTTAATTTTACTTTACTGTAATAAAAGCGTTTAAATAACTCATTTATAAAGCTTAAAAAGGAGCAAAGATTACCAAAACATTGTTCGAAAACATTTATAAAGATGCAAGAATGTAAATTGCTTGCTTTGTTAGAACATAATGAAAAAAACTCCTTATCTTAATTAAACTTTTATTAAAAAAAAATTTTTTATTACAAGAACCTTCTTAAACAAAAATAAACCAATTTTAATTACATGCGTGACAAAAAAGAAAAAATTAAGATGAGTAAAAGTATGTAATTATTTTATTATTAATACTCTACAACTTAAGCTTTAACTTTTTTTTCTGCCGAAATTTTATTTTTTTTATGAAATTCCAATGATTTCCTAATAAATTCAATAAAATCTCTATGCAATATTTCTGGCTTTTGCATTGCAATAAAATGACCGCCATCTGGATAATGTTTGCTATGAATTAAATTTGGAAATTTTTCCTCAAGTTGCCAATCAAGTGAATGAGCTAAATCATATCGAAAACGAGCACAACCTGTAGGTGGATTTGCTGGCACACGACCCATTTCTGTATTAAGTGTTTCTGTGATACCTTCCGCGTAAAGCCTTTGGGAAGTTGTTATAGAATTGGTTAAATAATAAATCATTATATTGTCCAATAAAGCATCCATATGAAAATCTTTTTCCAAACCGCCATCTTTTAACTTACGATAATTGATATTTGTCCATGTTGAAAATTTTTCTAATATATAAGCCGCTAAACCTATTGGATTATCTGTTAATGCTGTACCAATTGTATCAGGTTTTGTAGATTGAATATGAAAATAACCAGATTCTTCAATTAATTTAAAGAAATTGCCTTTTAAAGGAAAGTAAAAATCTTCGTAGGCTTTTTCAACATATGTAGATGGTATAAATGAAGCAATAAATCCTTTTATCATTGCCAATGGAGAATTGGCTACACACATATTTGAATGATAACCAAGCACATTTTTAGGAAATATTGTTGCTATGTGACTTCCAATAATACTTCCCCAATCACCGCCTTGTATGAAAAATTCATTATAGCCAAGACGTAACATTAAATTACGAAAGATAATAGCCATTTTTGCTGGACCTAATCCTTTTTTTGACGCAGCCTGAAAATATTGCATATAGTCTTAAAGAGGAAAATTACATAAAATGTAATTTTTTTTTTGTCTTACTTGCGACCATCCATATCCAGGTAAGCTAGGAGCAACAACTTCAAATACATAATCCTCATTTTTATCAGACAATTTCGGAATTAATTCATAAAATTCACGTACTGATCCTGGCCAACCGTGTATCAAAAGTAATGGGAATACTTTTTTCGATTTTTTTGTTGCTGCATCTACTTTCGTTTGAATAAAATGAATACGAAGTCTGTATTTAAAAAACCAAAAAGAATATACAAAATTATAAATGATATATTACAAACTTCTAAACACATATTTTGTTATTTTAAATATTAGTTTTTTAAATATTCTGCTGTATGAACGCCGGACTCTACATAATATTGAAAAGTTGTCTTCTTTTAATTAAAATATTGAATAAGTATTTATGCATAATGCATAATAAAATAATAATAAATAAAACCACAAGCCTGCTGCTTGTATGGTACATACTTTCGAAATATTGGTTTACAAAATGTGTCATATCAAACAATTCAATAATAAATATGTACATATTTCATTATTATAAAAATTTAACCTTACCCTTGAATTTCTGTTGTTAAATGAGGTAAACTCCACAAGAATGATTCACGTTCTCTCCATCTTGGTAAATAATCATCGCGCCAATATTTTATGACATCTTTTAATTTATTTGTATTAAATCCATACTCAAATCCAACATTTTCTAATGGATCATGATAAATCCAAGTTCTATTTAATTGTTTTCGTAAATCTTCGATAACCTGAGAAAATTTAAATATGTATGAACGCATTAGTTTAGCAAAATGTACAAACAAATATAAAAAAAGAAGAATACCTCATCAGGATAATGAATTTTATTAGATACAATTGTTGGATCTTCTTTATATTCTAATTTACTACCTGGCCCCCAGAATTCATTTAAATCAAATGTTGGTACATCAAGTGGCTTCGAAATGTAGACGTAACCTTGATAGATGATTGCAATAAAAGCAATTAATATTATTCCAAATAACTTAAGACACACACCCATCTTATTAATTAATTAATGTATGTATTACCTTAAAAAAAAATTTTTTTTTTATTAAATTTAAGAAAATTTCAAGTTTAATTTTTATTATGTTAAAAAAGAACAATTTTTTCTACCCTGTTTTTGATAGGTAAAAAATATCAAGGTTACTATACCATTAACTTTAGCCTTTAAATATGAAATTTTACTATTATTCATTTTTGTTTCTATAAATAATATATTATTTAAAGCTTACCAATATAATTTGCTATTTAAAATAAGACCAGATAAGCTATAAAAATGTACACGGCAATTTTATTAATGCCAAAGTACAATATAAAATTATAACAAAAAAAAATAAAAGACAACCTTTTGATTCACCTACCGGTATGGAACTGATACAACAACTGTATTAAAATTTATATATTGAAGAGAAGAGAAATTCAAGTCCTATTGAAATGAAACTCACAAAAAAGTCGTTCTGTTCTGGTTGACGTAATTGTGTGTGTATATCATATCAAATATTGTTGGTAGAGAGATAGAAATATCCAATACTTGTAAAATTTTAGACTTGTTTTATTAAATATCAATATGACAAAAATGACGAAAAACAAAATATTATAATCTTTTTTATGTGTATTATTTTTTTATCGTAAATTTCATATTTAAATTAAATAAATTATAATTATTAAGGTATTTTTGTTAAATTTATGAGATAGAGCAGAGATTTAGGAAATAAAAAAATATGGTATTGTATATTAGATTAGTATGTAGGATATTATTTCAATGGCATTTATTAAAGAAAGAAATTAATGTTTCTAAATTTTATGTACTATTGAAAAAAAGGAATATGATGAGAAAATATTGCGCTAGTTTATGAATTTAGGGGACAGCAAAGTAAATTGCATTAAGTAAAGTAAGAAGAATGGCCATATGACGAAATTAATTACATACTTAAATATGTACTTTAGCATACACATAGCGTATAATTTTAGTTAAAAATAAAATTAAAACAAAATTTGAGGTAATTGCAATAAACTTTGACATTCAAAATTGAGATTAGATATGCCCTATATGTCGATTATAAACAACTAAATAAAGTAATTTAATATTGTTTTGAAAGAAATTTGATATTTATTATAACCTGCAATACTATCTAATGCTCGTGTTTATTCTATTTGATTGGGTACTGTGCACATTAAGCTTCGAGTTTTATGCAAGAATTAAGAAGACGTTTTAATACCATCTATGTGCATATACATACATATATATACATATTAAAAACTTTTAATTGAAGGTATACATCAATAACAAATACTTACATACTTACTGTTAAAATTCTAACAAATTCATTAAATTTTATTGAAAATGCTATATAAAATGAATTAATTCATTCATTTGAACTACTTATACATATATAATAATATAATTTATATTATTTAAATTAGTTTTAAGATTAAAAACAGATTTACCTATAGTACATACATATGTACGTATGTAAATCTGTACACTATAGTACTGTACTATAGTACAGTACTATAGTGTACAGTATATCTGTACTATAGTACATAGTATGTACGTACATATTGCAGCTGTAAAACCATCTTTAGAAATGCTACAAAAGGTGATCGTTGTATCTCTACATATAATAAAATGCATCAATTACTTAAAATCTGAATTTATCTCCATCTTTTTTTTATTTAATAGCAATATACAAGGCCGGTTTTTAAAACTTAACTGGATCTAAACAACGTAATATGTGTATAATTATGTAACTGATGCAAAGAATATGAAATTTTTTAATTCGTTTAATTGTTTTTTTTTTTAATTTTATTGTTGTTCAAAACAAAACTAAAGCATTTTATAATGATTTGATATAAGTAATTATTTCTAGTAATAATTAGTGTATAGACAAGTTTTTTTTTCATTTGCATAAAATAATAATATATGTAGGTACAGTTAATACAAGTTATTTATAATTTGTATTAATTTTATTGTAATTAAGTTTTAAATATACAATTTTATAAAATAATTACTATCACATTTTAATTTATAATTCAAATAATATATTCTTATAATTCTTAATGTATATTAATTTAATTTAAGAGGCCTGCATGAGAGGATGCCAAGTTTTTCGAAATGGTGGAAGTGCATTGGATGCCTGTGAGGAAGCTATAAAATGCTTGGAAAATTCTGGTAATACAAATGCCGGTTATGGTTCAAATTTAACATGGGACGGAACTGTTGAATGTGATGCATCAATTATGGATGGATCAACATTATTATTTGGTTCCTGTACAAATGTTTCATTAGTCAAAAATCCAATTAGTTTAGCACGAATAATATGTGAACGACAATCTAGGATGTTGGCTTTAGAAAGAATTCCCCCAATGTCAATGGTATATAAGAATTAATTTTTTTGCAAATTACTCACACAAACTATTTAAAAAAAAAATTTTTTTGATAGGCTGGCGATGGTGCTACAAAATATGCTCAAGAAGTTGGTTGTATAATGTTAGAAAAAGATCAACTAATATCAGGAAGAGCACAACGTTTACATAATCATTATAAAGAAAAAGTAGCTAGATTTGAAGATATAAATAAAATACAAATAAATTATTTAGATACAGTTGGAGCAATTTGTGTAGATGCTAATGGAAATACGGCAGCTGGCTGCAGTTCAGGTGGTTTAGTTTTAAAAGTATCTGGTCGTATTGGCCAAGCAGCAACCTACGGGGCTGGTTGTTGGGCTCAAAATTCACCAGATATATCGGTATGTAATTATAGTTAGTTATACACATTTATATTTAAATATTTTTTATATATACATGAATATGTACAATATTTTCATATATCTACTTATATGATTAGGTATCTACATGTACTACTGGCAACGGCGAATATCTTATGAAAACATTTTTAGCCAAAGAAGTATCACAAGATCTCATGTCAAATTCTTCACACGATTGTCCGGCTACAATTCTACATAAAACTTTTAAAGATAAATTTTTAGAATCACCATTTGTTCCTCAAGGACGTGAATTATATGGTGGAGCACTTTCCTTAGTATATTATCCAAAAACATATAACGGCGAAGTACTTTGGAGTCATACAACTCGTTCTTTATGTGTCGGATATATGTCAACCTTTCAAAGGAACCCAAAAGTAAGTACTTACATACATATATGAAGTTTTTTTACAAAATTTTCTTTACATTATATTTTACTAATTAATTATTATTTTGTAGTTTGTTAATTCAACATTACCTTCATATAGCAAACCAGGAGAATCGATTGTGGTTAATGGGCAAAATTTTAAATTGCCTATATAAGCACAACATGTTTGTTGATAATTATATCACAAATTATGTTTACGTGTATATATATAATGGCATTTTTATTTATTTTAATTTTTTTTTCGTAGAAGCAGGAAAAAACTATACTAATATACAAATCGATAATTGTATTCAATTAATTAAATTTTAAGCATTTACTAATTACATATATGTATTTAATATTTTGCTATTGCAAAAATGTTCCATTTATACGACATTATTATACATAAACCATCTGATCAAATATGTTTTGATATTTGATATTCACCAAAATTAATGGTTAGTTTTTACAAATAGTTGAAATTAAAATTAAGCAAAAATAATGTATAAAATATAATTAGAAAACATTTTTTCTTAAATTTTAATAAAGAGTTTTATTTTCTGAAATTATGTTTTTGTTTTATCAAAATTTTGGCGAAATAGTTGAGATTATGGAACTTTTAGATTTGTACTTTCTTGGATATGTTTCCAATAATTTATATTCTTTAATTCATTTCGCAATATTTAACAATATATTTTTAATATTCTTTGCTTATCAGAGATAAGCTATACATAACACATTTCCGCAAATGACACAATTTATAAATTTTTATCTCAAATAATTAAATTTTAAGAAACCTTATAGGCACAGTGATGTAATCCGGCATTTGCAACCCAAATCTGAGCCCACTGTCAAAGATCAAATCCTATAACTTCTTTATTTGGAATACACATACTTAAAATAATGTACGATGTCTGTACAATTTCATCTTGGATTTTGTCTATAATTCGGGAGCACTTACCAGTTGAGTAAAAATTTATGTTTAATATGTATGCAGAATATAAAATGTGTCGATAAAATTTATATTGACTAAAATACATTTATTTGAGTATATCAGTTTTGAATAACCCTTCTTTTTTTCGGAATTTATCAGAAACAAAAATATTTAATTATAAATAAATTTTATTTAGATAATATACAACTAATAGTGTTTTTAGTGGTCAATGTAGATTTTAGACAATTAATTTACGGTTTCAAATATTAAAATCAAAAAATTAGTCAACAATTTTAGACAATTAATTTTTGTTTATTGTCGGAAACAATGTTACTATATTCATCGGTTGTCTTATAGGCAATTTATATTATAGTTACAACTAGAGCTGTGTATTTCAAGGTGTATTGAATTTTTTGTAGTGTTCATATGAATATTGTATGCTCCTTTCTACAGAACAAATAATGTTTAACAATTCGGATACATATACAGATAAAATTCTAACTTAAAACTTAGATACGATTTTTTGCATCATTACAGATTTTACCGGAACTAATTATTTTAGTAGTTTACTTTTTCAGATTTTTAATATTTAAGATTTTTCTATGTGATTTTTTTCAAATTTAAAATATTTTTGGAGCATTTAAAAGCATGATACCATTTTCAAACGTGGTTATTTTGTACAAAAGAAAATTTATCAAAGATGTTGCATTTGAAAGTTTTGTATATTAATATCTAATTTAAAACTGAATTTTCGAATATCCCTTAATGCAGTTTACTATTTTTAAATTTATTTTTAAATAAGAACAAAAATATTTTGAAGAATTTTTTGTTTTATATTGTTATATTACATAGGATTTTCTCAATCCTAATCGAATATATAAAACTTCAAAGTGGTTATTGTTCAAAACAAAACTAAAATTGCTTCTTCTTCTACAGATTAAAAAAAAATAATGTAGCAGATTACTTTTATTTAATTTTTTATTTGGACAGCTAATTTTTGTTAACTTAAATATACGATTTTTATATTATTTAATCTTAAATTTAATTTTGATTATCTGCTTAATATTTTATATTTTAGCATTTTTTTTATTTCGTTATTTAATAATATTTTATTAAGTGAAAAGAAAAAATAAATGAAAATAATATATATGTATTTTGAATTATAAAAATAGTAATTAATTAAAAATTACAAATTATTTTATATTTTTTATATTAAAATTTAGTTAATAATTACTTAACAATACAGTAAGATAAAAAAAAAAACCTAAATATCTGTGTTAGAAAGAATTTATGTATATTTATATAAAAATAATATAAAATTTGTTAATAATAATTTTAATAAAATCTCCTTAATAAAATAATATTTTTTTTCATAAGTATACAACTATATATAATTGATTTTTTTTTTTTTTTGCAAAATGAAATATAAGCATTGTCAATTAATTTTCAAAAAAACCAAACATTTAGTACATTATTATAATTGTTTATAAATGTAAATGTAAAAATACTGTATTATGTAAAACACTAATATTTGTGTAACATGTTTACATGTAGAATATTATGTAAAACACTAAATATTTATATAACATATACGAACATTCTGATTTTATGTTTTATATAATATTATGTAAAAATATTTTGTTTTATATTACATAATTATTTTTAAAATATTATTTCATTATTAATTAAAAGATGTACATATATTTTTTTATATCACAAATACTCGAGATGCAAGAATTAATGTTTTTTAATTTTTTCAATAGAATTAAATAAATTTATTTAAAATTATTTGATTCTATATTTCGAGATTCAAAAGGCATCCTTGCATATTGGAGTAAAATTTGATTTCCCAATTAAAGCTGAAATTGGTAAATTTATTTACATTATATAAATTCGAATAAGTTTTTAAGTGTTGTAAAAATAAAAATTATCTAAATCTCTAAATAATATTAAAAAAAACATGCTTTTAGAATAATTTTAATAAAATTGTGATACGAATTTCAATTTGTCTTCAATTTTATTTTAGATTTATATAATTATATGTACATATTTTTTTAGTTTTTTACATTGCATAAAAATCATTCTAAAAAATGAAAAACTTATTTTTATTCGAATTTTTTTTTTATATACATATATATTGTGGCAAGATTTATACACAATCTGTACTAAGATTTATTATATTTTTATTTTAACACAAACATTTTTTTTCTTGGTTCAATTAATGAAAATTATTGAGCAATGAGAAAAATTTAAAAAAAAAACAAATTCGAAAGGAAACAATAACATACACAATTTTTTAAATGCTGAAAGTGACGCGGAATGAAGAAGAATTCCATATGAAGATATTCTCAAAAAGTTATAATCAAAAGTTATATTTTCCACTAATACTTTTTTTTTAAGTTAAAACACTTAAAACACATTCTTTAATTAATTTTTTTTGTTGAAGTATGTTTCTTAAGGTTTAAATTAAGAGTGGACTATTAGTTCTGAATTAAATGAAAATGTGCAACTGGTAATTTTTATATTTTTGAACAAATACTGAAATTTAAATAATAATAATCAAATAGAATTCGAAATATTATAAAGATTCCTAATTATAATTTTGATGAGCAATTAAGATTACGAAATTAAAAAACATTTTTTTTTTATTTAAAAAAACAATAGTTTATATTTTTGTTTTATTTTTTAAATTACTCCACATGTATACTTCTACTTTCAGCATTAGATACACATATTAAATATTTTTTATGAAAATTCTATCATATGAATAAAAAACTTTACTAGTATAATACTGAATTTTTTTTGAAAGTATCGTGTAAAGCTAAAAATAAATTAAAAAAATATTGTGCAATCATTTATAAAAAGCATAGGCATTTTTTGAATATGGATTTCTTGAATTTTTTACAATATTCCCTTTTCTTTATTAAATAATTGTGAAATTTTTATTTATAATTTTCAAAATATAATTTTAATAATTTTGGTTTAATTTCCAGTTTTTAAAATAATGTTTGTGCCATAAGATTTTTTTTTTTACCAATACAAAAGGTTCCTCTTTTAGTAAAATTTTAAAAATTCCATAAAAGTTCGATTATTGGTGAAAATTAAACACAACCGTACTCATACCAAATACTGCTTGCTTTATCGTCATTTCGTTTTTTTGTTAAACTTTTTTCATCTCCTGATTGTGTTCCATTTCCTTTGAAACCTGATGCTACAGCATCTGATGGAGTTTCATTTGTAGAACCACCGATCATAGTATTAATACGATTGTACATAACGAAAGTAGAAGGTTGAGCATCATTTTTTAGACTACTATTATTCCCATTCAAATGTCCAGAACTAGGTCCAGTTGAAGATACTGTTGATGTTCCAGTTGAGGAAATAGTTGTTGGGTTAGTTGGAGTTTGAGCTTCTGGTGTAGGTGTTTGAGAATCTGGTAACTTTTGATTTTCATCAATTAAATAGACAGTGCGGCGGCTTCCAGCCGTACCTAATGTTAAACTGCTGCCGGTAACATCAGGGGCTTCCAATCTGCTTTATTAGTATATATATATTTTTATGCACATTATGTTTAAGAAAATGACTAACGTAAAAAGTTAAAATGAAAGTCCAAATAAACGGAAAATACAGTTATATTAATTAGCTTAGCTAAAGATTTTATAAATTTAAAAAACAATTCTAAGTACAATAATCCGTTTCAAAATTCATTCCCGGATCTGTGTAGAAAATCAATATTATTTCGTAACTTACGTAAGAATTGTGTTTTCCTAAAACATGGTTTTCTTAATTTTATTGTGCTTGAAATATTTTGAATTTTTTGTTTTAATTAAAACATTTCCGTTTATTTGAGAAAAAATCCTTAAAAAGTTCCAATATCCCAATATGAATAAAAATTTCAATGAAAATGTGTAATACTAATATTAAACGTGCAAGTACAACTAGCTCCTTAAATCATATTTATGACCAAGGTAAAAAATATAAAACTAATATAAAAAGAAAAATATGTTCGATTTTTTGTGTGATTAAATAATTCAATTACCCGTGCACGCTATTTCTACGAGTGTTACTTAAATCACTTCTTTTGTGTGACTGCAAACTACTTCTTATTCCACCTCTCAAAATTGCAGTTTCCACTGTTTCATTTGTTATACTAAGTGTGTATAATGTGTGTTTTTTTAAAAAAAATTTAATAAACAAAAGTAATATAAATAAAAAAATTAATTTAAGGAAGATCAAAAAACAAAATAAAAATTAACAAAAAAAAAAACTAATACAATGAGAAGAAATAAATAAATAAATACTAAAACTATGTAAGTGTTCTAACACCATGTTTATTTTTTATTTGTTTCTTCATTCTGTTTAAGCCAGTATTTTAAGTTGAATACAATAAGTACAAATGCAGCAAGATTTAGTTTTTAAAAATAGTTACCGTTGCAAACTTTGTCTCATCGGAGCGTTCCTTTGTATTAAATGTGTGTCGGAAGCAATAGAATTTTGTTCTTCTGTGCTGTTATCTGATTCATTACCGCCTGATTCAGAACCTAGTGCAAATTGTGATTGAGTTAAACGTGAGTCATCTATCCAAGACCGTCGATTCTATATTTAATTTGAAATTTATTTCTGTAATTGTCATTTGAAGTTTTAAATAAAATTTTAAGGCTTACCCTACTGGGAACTTTATTCATTAAATCGGAACTTGCTTTTTTAACTCGTTTTACAAAACTACTACCAAATGGTTTTCTGAAAAAAAATTTTTGGGGTTACAATAATCAAATGCATATAAAAAAAGTTTTTTCAATTTTTAAATTTAATATAGCTCATTTAATATATTAATAAAATTTAATATAGCTCACTTTTTGGGAGCACAACTTTCTGATTTTTTATAAGTTTCCATTATTTTCTCTTCCAATTTTTCTTTTTGCCTATTTAAACTATTAACTTTATCTGTGAAATTTTTTTCTTCGTCGTGATAATGCTGTTTATCTTCAAGCGAGTGAGTTAAAAGTTCATGATATTGTGATAGCAGTTGCGAAACATTATCCATCAAAGTGCGCCGATCAATGTCTAAATTGGAGTTTTGGTGTAGTAGCATCTAAAATTTAGAAATATAAGACAATATTTTTATAATAAAAAAATATCAATTTTACCTCACAACGTTGAGACACTTTAGTATATTCGATTTCCAATGATTTTACTTGATCTATACGCAAATTTAATTCACCGGAAAGTTCAGTATTTTGCAGTATTAATCTTGCATTTTCGGCTCTAATCATTTTATATTGCTTTTGAAGATTTTTGTATTCATTTTTAAAACGATCGCTTGTAGCGAATAAGTTTCGAAAATCATCAGTCAATTTAGAATGTTCAGCTCTTAATATTGCAGAATCATCAATGCTTGATTTCATGGTAGACATTTGCACCTGAAGCTCCTCAACCATTTTCTCTAAATTGGAAGCACGTTCTTTTGATTCCCGATTTTCATTACGTAAATCTCGTATCACAGTTTTAAGAGCTTCTTTATCTTTATTAAGAGATTCATACTCTGAACTTAATTGATCATGTAAACATTGAAGAGTTATTTGATCATGTAGTAAATTTTTGTGCTCCATTTTAACTGAATCAACTTGTTTCAAAAGAACATCTTTATCAGCAGCTAATTGTGAATTAGCTAATTGTAGCGCCACGTGTTGTGTGTTCAGTGATGTAATTTGTGATCCTAATGTGGCTACATCAACATTTAGGCGTGCATTTTCAGCTTGTAAGAGTTCATTTGAATTTTGCAATGATTGATTCGTTGTACATAATTGCTCGCACTGTTCCTTCCATTTGGCGGCAATATTTGTTTTGAAGTGCTCATTTTTAGTGTTGAAATTTTCAATGCTACTAATTTCACTTATTTCTTGGTTTTCTTCATCGTGACTAGCTGATATTTCAATATTTTTCTCCACTGTGAAAATTTCTTTTCGATGACATAAAACGCACATATCTGATTTGTTGTTTTCATTTCGTGTTACATTTAGCATAATTTCCCGAACAGTTTTGAATGTTTCTGGGTTTTTCACTAGTTTTTCAACAACGCTTTCAACAACATTTAAGTCCCCATTTTCAATATCAGAGTTATCAATACCTGCATATATAATTGAGAATAATTCACGATATTATTTAATTTAATTTTTAAAAAATATTTACCTAGTTTTTCTAAGTTTTGTTTAACTTTGTTTGTTGCTAGCGTGCCATTTACTAAATCATTCCTCAAAGTATCAATAGTTTGAAGATCAATTTCCCTCTGTTTTGTTAGTTCCTGATTTTGCTTTTCTAGCTCCAAAACTTTCACTTCATTTATTTCCAATTTTTCAATATCTTTTCTTAATTTCATTACTTCTTTTGACTGGGTCTCTAACTCTAATGAAGTTTTGTCTAATTGAACCGACTTCATTTCCAAATTTTCTTTTAATTTTGTAACTTCTTTTGTTAAACTTGTGTTTTCGCGTTCCATTGTATTAAATTTTATCTCCAATTCATATATTTGATTTTTCGTTCTATCCAATTCCAACGATTTTTCATTTAATTGTTCAACTTCCTTAATTTTCATGTCAAGAATACGATCTAAATCATCTGCTCTTCGTTGTATGCTTTCGTTTAAATTTTGTATTCGTTGTTTTTCTTTACTTAAACTTTCCACAAGTTTTTCCAAATCAACTAACTTAGCTCTTTCTATTTCACGTTCCTGACTTTGTCGCTCATTTACCTTCTGTCGCAAATCGATAGCGTCTTGAAGTTTTTTATTTTCTTCTAAGGCATTTTTAAAAACGTCTTCAAGCTCCTTGTTTTGTTGCGTTAACCTGTTAGAGTTTTCTGTAAGCTGATCTAATTTTAAAGATAATCTTTTTTTCTCCTTTTCGAGTTCTAATATTTTATTAGTTGATTCGTGGAAAGAAGATTCTTTTAGTTGATCTAAAGCGGCTAGTAAACGACGATTTTCCAATTCGAGCTTTAAGGCTCTTGTCTGCAAAAACAACGTAAATTAAAATTCAAACAACTCAAAGAACTAATAACTTTTAAAATTTATTTTGTTACCTGTGCACTAGTCGTCAGTTGCTCAGACAAACTGTTATCTCCCGAATTACAATCATCTTCATTTTCAGATATGGTATGATCTATTTCGTGAGTAGAATTTAAATTTTTAGCCACTAGCTGCAATTGAGTATTTTCTTCTAGAACTTCTTGCAATTTGGTTCGATCTACATCGCGTTCTAAAGCCATGTCGTTCAATTTTTGTTTATATTTTATTATTTCGGATTCCAGGGACATCACATGTTCACTGCGTTTTCTTGATCTTTGTAATTGATCCTCTAACATTTCCCTATAAATAAAAAATTATATACATATTATTTATAAAGCCAACAGTTTTTATAAAGCTCAAATGTTTTACTTCGTTTCCATCAACATTCTGTTATCTTCACGTAATTCTTCAACACGGCTTCTGTAAAATTCTGCATCAGTAAGTTTTTCTCTGAATTTTTGAACTTCTATTTCTAAATGATCTGCTCTTTCAGCTCTTTCCCTTAAAACATCGACTTCATCTCTATATGCCGCAGCCCGTTTTGCTTCTGTGTACCATTCTTGACTCTAATTAAAATATAAAGTTATAGAAAATTATATTTTTAAATATTGTGACTAGACCTCCGATCGTAGCTTTTCATATTGAACATTTTTATGCTCTAATTCTTCCTTTACTTCCAAATAAGCTTCAGATTTTTCTTCCCTGAAATAATTATTTATATAATATTGTTTCTTCATTTTTAAATTAATTGTTTTTTGTATCATACAATTCTTGTCTCAATTTTCTTAATTTTGATTTTAAATCTGCTAGTTCAACTGCCATATGGTTACTTTCTGTCGATGCTGTTGAAGTTGTTCCAATGCCACTCACAGGTGACAACGGAGTACTTTGAACACTTTCCGATCCTATTAAATTTACTTCAGGTTCGGTAATTAAGGAGCAAATCCATTTTGAGTGTATATTATCACGTTCTTTTGTCAAACGAATTATGTGATTGTACATAGCGCTGGGTGTCAAAACTTCTACAGATTCTTGTGTCAAAACTAAGCTATGATTATCAGTTACCTAAAAAATATGTCCTATGTTAGATGAATAAATTTTTTGGATCAATAACATACTTGTTTAATCAATTCCACTATACCATGCTGTGTATTAACATCTAATTCTTTTATTCGAGCTATAAAAATTTCTTTATTCGGGCACTGAACTGCTGCTCCTAGTAATAATATTAGCAAAAGTTTCATCTGTTCAAGTCCTGAACGTGTTTCTGGATTAAAACCTAGTATGTAGCAATCAGGCAAATTTAATATTGTTTGACCTAATTCCTCTTCATATAGAGATTTTAAATTCCTAATGACAACATCAAAATTTTTTGCTCTTGCTGTCGCTAATGCTAAACCCTCCAAATTTGTTAGATTTAATGGATGATAAGTTGGCTCTGGATCTATTTGCAGCCATACACTGTGTACTATTGACCCATCAAGTAATGATTGATATCCAGATAAAATTTCTGGTCTTGGGAGACATGACTCAAGCTAAAATAGTTTTTAAATTTACATGTAATTAAATAAATTTCAATTAAGTGCTTTAATTAAAAAGCATTATTATATTATTACAATAATATATACATATGTTGTCAAATCAACAAAGGCAGTTGTCATTCAGACCGTTCTCACTTCACTAGTTCTCTTATATTTCTACTTAAAACGAAGCAAAAAATGTTAAAGTATTCAGGGACTTAGTTGTATTCAAAGAAATAATTATGTACACTCTGATGGGAACTCCTTTTAATGATTATGTACAAATTCATTAAAGAGAACATTTATACACACATATTATGAGAAATATATACCTATTTACAAGCAAAAAATGCATGTTGCCCAGATGTTATGCTTCTAGACTTACCTTTTATTTACATAATTTCGATCATGAAAGAAAATAACAAAATATTAAGACATCATTGTTTGTCTAAGATTGAGAGTGTCAGAATCAATAAATATTCATTAGTTTTCGATTTTGTTCAGAAATCTCGATTTTTGTTTCTCATTCAATTAAAGTTCAAGTATTTCATTTAAAAAACCTAGACGACACTGATTAATCTTCTAAATATTTGCACGGGAACTAGTGTGATGTATTTTCACATTTCCTGTTCTTTCCTTTAAATTATTAAGACTTTAAAATATTCCAACATTTTATCCCGGGATATAAATGCAAAGGAATTAAGCAAATTTTGAAAATAAACATATATATGTATGTATGTATGTACATACATATTTTCAAAATTTTTTCTTCAAAATAAATAATTGTTGTAAGTTCTTCTAAACAAAAGATTCAAAACATTTTACTTATTTTTTTACATTTATTGGGTATTAATATCATTGAGTCAAAAGTTCGTAGCCTTTTAATTTAAGCAATAAATTCTCTTCTGATTGTATTTTTAATCATGAAACTGAATTCAGTGCAGCTCACGCTCTAAGACAAGTATGTGATGAAAAAAAGTCAATTTTCGTATTATTAATTTTTGTTCAATTTTTGACTTTTATTTAGCTTAACATACATACATACATTATGTAAAAATTGTAGAACGATAAACAAAAAAGAATAAAATTTGTTAATATTTGTTTTTATAAAAATTGAAATTTATAGAAAAGAATCAATTTTTATGAAGTTTTAAATTCTTTTATTAGCAAACATTCATAGCAGACTAGTGTGGCTTTTTCTGACAGAAAGTGTGGCTTTTTCAGTTTTTTACTCCAATTAATTTTAGTAAAAATCGTGGCTAGTAATTATGGTAGATGTATGTACATATATGTAATAAATGTCGAAACGAGATATGTAGACTAATTGTTTGTACATATTATATGAATATGTAATGTATAAACCTTTAGCGAACAATTGGAACGTAAATTTGATTGATTTTCAAATACAATAATCTTGAAAAATTGAAACATCTATCAATGATACAAAATTTTTTTAATACTGCCGTGCATTAATAATATTAATATAATTTTAATATTCATAGATACATACATACAAAAACATGTATGTAGGTTTTTCACAAAAAGCTATAGCTGCTTCAATATCACATACGATAATGTAAAATCTCTCATAATGAATTCATTCTGAAAATTTGTAAAAGAAGTATTCAAAGTAAACAGTTTCATATTTCAAACATTTGAATAATTGTTCAATTCGTATGTTTTATTCAACATTAATTCAAACATACGAATAAATGATAAGTCAGAGTTTTCAAATGTTTAAAAATATAAAATTCCTTTCTAAGAACGTCTTTTTAATTGATTCGTAGCTAACTATAATCTAACAGTCAAACGACTAATGTATTTAATTTTTCTTTTCATTAAAATAGATAAATATGTATGTACGTTACCAATACCAACTAAGACAAAACTATCTATGCTAAAAGGATTGAAAATTTGTCTTAAAATTTAGTGAGATTTTTGATATTTCAGGTACTTAAAGTTCTAACTCAGATCTTAAATTTTTTTTTGCATCATTACAGGTCTGCAGGAACCTTGTACTTGCATTTTTCAATATGATTTTGTTCAAACCCAAAATATTTCTGCAGCATTTGAAAAACAAAATTAAAAACGCTTCACAACTTTGAGCATGTAATAGTTTTCGAATAAGCCTTTTTTTATTGTAAAGATTTATCGAACATCCTTTATCTTAAGATCTATGTTAGAACGGAACTTTGATAATTTCCATTTACCTAGCGAGGCATTTTTTTTTGCTTTTCATTTGAACAAGCCAAATATAATATCTCTTTTTTCTTATACCTCAGCAAAATTTAATAAATTGAACTGTTAGATAAGCCAACATTTTTTTACCAAAAATGAATTATCATAGTTCGGCTCTTGCAATAAAATTTTCCCGTATTCGTATTATGGTTCGCAGTTGACAGAGAATTAAAAATATGTAATTGATAAAATCTTGAATTGGAAAAACCACTTGACTAAACTTTTGGGTTAAATTTTACTCACTTATTTCTTATTACTTTTCTAACCCCACATTCAATGGTATAAACCTGAACAGAATTAAGCCTGAAATAAAAGAATTTTAACAAAAGTTGACCATATTTATGAAAATTTGTGCAATATTGAAAAATGAATAAAAAAATGATTAAAAAGTAAAAATAATAAAATTGATATAAAACGGTAAAGATGATACGAAACAGATTTTATCGACCCAAAAAATTTAGTGGGTGCCTAATAAAAATTATTTAAACGATTAATAGAAAACAATGTTCTTGAAATAAAAAAAAAAAACACTTATATAAGAAAATATTATTATTACAAGATAAATAAAAAAAACAAAGAAAACTAAATAAATTTTTAATTTAAACTTAAAATTGATTTTTAATTTTAATTCCATTTTTTTTTTGTTTTATAATTTTTAATACAATTTCATTGAATTTATTAATTACCTTAGCTTTTACATTTATTAATTTAAAATCTGTTTTTTTTTTGTTTTATTTCTTATATTATTTACTTTTTATTTGATTTATTTACTTTTTTTCACTTTTTCATATATTTTTAATTTTTTTATTCTCTCTTAAGTTCATAATATTCTACAAGATAATTGTATTTAAATTTAGTTTTTTCTTATACTCTAAACAACTTTTTTATAAATTTTAATTTTATTTTATATTTATGTACATATGTATCATATTATGTAATATCTTATATATACATATTACTTTTACATATATTTAAATGTTATATAATATCATACATATGTGTTTTCTAATATATTTCATTTTTATTTCCTCCTATAATTATAGAAATGTTAATGCTGTAAATCTAGAAAAACAAATCAAATCGGTGATAAAAGCTATTAAAAATTTTTTTAAATTTTATTAGAAAAAAAAAGTTATTACATTTTTTTTATAATATAAAAATAATACATACAATTCAATAGAAGTTTGCGAGTCAAAAAAAAAAAACCTTTTTTTTTATTCATTATTTAATTTATACTAATTGTAATTATATAAAATTAAACTGCCTTCTTTGAATATTTTACGTCTAATTACAATACGGCCGAGTTTTATTTTTTTTCTTTATAATTAATATTTTAATTCGTTTTTATTTACATTTCGTAAATGTAAAAGATATATTCAAAAGGGATTTTTTTATATTTTATATTTTTTATTGATTTCTTTTTTTCTTAAAATTGTACGATGTTAGAATTTAAAATTTGATAATAATAGATTAATTGATAAGTTAAATTTTATACATAATTAGCATATTATAATAATAATTATAGTTAATAAAAATATTAAAATATAATTGTTTTTCTGTTAAATAATAAATGTTTTTATACCTATAAAGATTATAAAATTTGTTTATTTAGAATTATTACATTTTTCTTTACATTGTTTTAAAATTATAAGTTTTATATATTAGGAAAAATAATGTAATATTAAGGTTCTGCTTTCAATATCTTTAAGTAATATTTTAATTTAGAAAAATAATCTTGTAGTATCCTAAAATTTTTATTAAAACCTTTATCATCAGAAAAATTTGAAAACAAATATAATATAATGAAAAAAAAATTCAATAATAATACATTATCACATATGTAACTTTTAAAGAAAAAAAAATATAGATATTTGTCAGAATTTTTGTTGCATATGTTAGCAACTGCACAATATCTACTTAAGAATTTCAGAAAAAATTTTAATTTAATTTTGTATCTGTATGACTAACGAATTAAATTTCGCACTAAGGCTCAAATTTATTAAAAAAAAAAAGCTGTTTAACTTTTTCAACTTTTCCAACTGTAAACCAGTAAAATAATAATATGTATTTCTATATGCAGCTAAAATAAATTAGCAGCAGCTTATGAAAATTGCAGCTAAAATAAACTAGCAGCAGTTTATAAAAATTACTACAATATATTAAATTATTTAAGTTATTCTTAAGTATTTATTTAAATTTTAGCTAATTCATTTAAACTTTTGGTCAATTTTTACAAAAAATTAAAGCATTTAGAAAAAGTAAATAAAAAAATATTTGTGTAGTACTTAATTGCAACAATTACTTATATTTCATGCAACTGAATAAATAGAAAACTTCGAGATTTGATAAAAAAAAAAGAAAGAAACGTGATATTATTTTCAGCTTTCAATTTGTAGTTTTTCTTTTATAAATATTTACTGAAAAACATAATTAAAAATAATTCAACATTTAAAATGTTTGACTTATTATGAACTAAAAAAAAAACTTTAAAATTATTTTTTTTAAAGTCAAAATTACTAAATCCCTAGTATTGTACCCTACAAAATAAAAAAAATTATTTTTTAATATTTCCGATATTGTAATGTTTGTTTCACATACATATTATTGATAATTGGAAAATTTTATAATTACAAAATTGAAAATACCTATATTTTTTTTCTAAATTAAATATTACTAATATATGTAAAAATAGAGATAAAACTAGCTTTTCAAATTAAATAGAAAATATTAGTTTCTAAATTTATTAAAAAAAAATTTTTTTTTAATTTTCATATAAAAAAAAAAACAAATTTTATTACTTGTAAAGGTGTTATCATCTTGCATAAAGTGCATAGTATAAAAACATGTGATACATTTTATTTTTGAAAAGCAGCAGATGTATAAAAAAAACTAACCAAAACTTTGTACATAGCTTATAGAAAATTATATTATTCTTTTATTTATTTTCACGTGTTTATTTTTTTTACTTTTACACCAAATTACTTTATTTTTAATTCTTTAATATATATTTATTCATACATACTATAATTCATTTATTTATATAATTTACAGTTTACGTACTTACTACTTTTAAATTTAGTTAATTTTAAATCTAAATAATTTGATTAATTTTTTTTAGTTTAATAATTATTTTTCTTGTTATTTCATTTAAGGATCATCATTTACATCGTTCACATTTTTAAACTTACAAAAATAAAAAGAACTTTACAATATTCTTAAAATTTCAAATTCTTAAGTAATTCTAAAAAATAATAAAAAAAAAAGATAAAATAAAATAAAAACATCCAAAATTAAAGGTAAAAAGCTATCTGCTTTAACATAACCGGGTCATTTTTATATAAAATTGTCTTATTTCAAAGATTAAGAAAAAAGAAATTAACTATTTTAGATAATTTCTTAAATTTTTATTTGTTTTTAGAAAAATTTTTGAATTTAGTTTCAACTGCTAATGTTATTGTTGTTGCGATTGCTGTTTTCCAAATATATTTTCACGAAAATATTTAATTTTCTGTACAAAATAAACTTCTAAATGTTCAGCACACCTAAAAAATGGTGATCCTTTTGGATTATAATACCTACAATTATCAAATATTTTCGTCATATCACCAATAAACTCAGATAATGTTGCATATGAACGTTGATTTAATTTTAAGTCAATTTTTTGTAAATCCATTGGTTCTTTAATTACTTTATAATAATCGGGTGCTTCTTCTGGATCAACTGGTTCTAAAAATGGCCAGGCATTTTTATGTGTTTGAATTTGTTTCATTAATTTTTTTAATTCATCATATTCAAAATCTGTTAGATTTTTTGAATTGGCTAATGTTGTTGAATTATTGCGTTGACAATTCGGACATATATATTCATCGATAAATTCTGCTTCACTTTGTAATACTCCAACGCAACGACCATGAAACCAATCCTGACACTTGTCACAGCTAATATAAAATTGTGATTCATCATACGGTTGCTTACATAAACAATACAGTTCTTGAGATTCTCGTGCATGAGTGCACTCAGCGCATATAAATTCAGTTAATTGTTTCGAATCTTCCTCAGTAATATTAACACAATTTCCGTGAAACCAATTATTGCAAACATCGCATCCAACATAAAATTTAGTATCGTCATATGGTGTACGACATATACAATATAACTTCTCCTTTTTCTTGGATGATGTCGATTTTTTACCTTTTCCTGGCGTCGTATTTAAACTTGATAACATATTTGTTGCTATATTTAAACTAGATGTATCAGCTGATGGCAATGCCAATGTAGATGTTGCAGTACTTTGATTTAAATTTTTACTTTTTCTTTTATGTTCTGAGCTCTCAACATTTTGTTGAGACTCTAAGTTGTTATTTCTTTGTTCGGATGTAGTTCTTGCACGACAATATAGCTCAGCTGTCAATTCTTTTTTAATATCCATTTGCAATTCTTTCTCTAGAAGGACTCTCTTTTTTAAAATATCTTTTTTCAATAATTCTTTATGACGCGTTAGTCTGTTATATAAATAATTTTTTTTTTCATGTTCTTTTTTTGTTAACGATGATGATACTCTGTTACTCTGAATATTATCGTTCTTGTAATTTGACTGTTTATTCAGAGATGAGTTGAAATGTTCATTTGCTGAGTTGTATTGAGTTTTCTTCTTTTTTCTTTCAAAAATCCATTCGTCGTCATTATCATTATTTTTACTTACTCGTTTTCGCAAATTATTTACTGAACTCTTTATTGGAGTTGGTTCAAATGTAACAACCCCACTGTTTAAATTTGACGTATTTCCTTCTGCTCCACCGGTCCCGCTATTTTTTGATAGATTCGAAGAAACAGTAGGATCATCAGAATCATCATTTAGTTTATTTTGACTTTCTTGATATCTTTGCAAATTAAGAAGTTTCTCTTCGATTTCGGGGTTTAAATCGCTCTGTTTTAAGGCATTTTTTATGGATTCCTGTATATAATCCTGTGTTACAACAAAAGATTGTTCAGTTGATAATTTAGTCGTTGTAGATGAGTTTATATCTGGAAGCATTTTTGATGGTTTGTTAATTTGGGTCAGTAGCTGTTGCTGTTGCTTCTGATGATGTTGTTCAGCGGCGACAGCAGCTGCCTTCTTTTGAATGTTTGCTTGTAGAGCCTTTTGAATAACTTCCTTTTTTGTTTGGGATGAATTACTAAATGATTCATTAAAATGTGTTTCTTTTATGTTTTCTAGTTGTATAGAATTTACAGATGATGCTTTACTTACTTGATGTTGTAATGTTGTTTGAACTGGTGCTAATGGTGGAGGTTGACATTGCTGTTGTTGATTCACAGTTGTTGTACTAGGTTGAACCGCCAAATAAATTTTGGTAGGACCCAACACACCTTGTTTGCCACTAGATTCTTGAGCTTTTAATAACTGTTGCTTAACTTGCTGTTGCACAAGAGCTAATTGCTGTGGTGTAAAATCATTGCCAGCCAAGCCTTGCAAAACAATTCTTGGACCGTGCTCTGTTTGAATAACTTGTGCTGTTACACATTTAATAACAGTACCAGGAGGTTGGCCGTGTAACAGTGATTGTTCAATTGAATTGTTTAAATCATTTTGGTTAGAGTTCTGAACAATTTGTTGTTGTATTTGTTGTTGAGGTTGAATTTGTTGCTTTATTTGTTGCGTTTGTTGATAAATTTGCTGTGTTGTTTGCTGAACAATTGATGATTCTGATTGAATTAAATTTGTAGAGAGATTTGTTTGAGGACTCGAATGAATTGTTTGCTGTTGTTGCTGTATAATCTGTTTTTGGTTTATAACCTGTGTTTGTGCTGGTTGCTGATGCAAACTCTGTTGCGGTGACTTTAGGCTTTGATTTGCTATTGGATTTACTTGTTTTCTAGGCAGATCATTTTCAAGTGCATTTATATTTGTTATAATATGAGAACTTCCATCGCTTTGTGTTTTAATATGCGCTACAATTTGAGCTTGATTGTTACCTATTGGTCTTATTATTACTTGTTGCCCATTTACAGTAGCAACTTGCAATTTACCTTGAGCTAATTGTTGTGCAACAGTTGAATTTTGAACTACAATCTGTTTATGTTTAGCGTTTAGTTGCTTTTGAGTATCTAGTTCCCGCTGTTGTTGGTGAATTTGTGGTTGTGGAGAAGTAATTAATTGCTGCTTATGAGGATCAGCTTTTGGTTGTTGTACCAATTGTTGTGTTGGCTGCTCTATTTTTTTATGATTTTGCGTAAACATCTGATGTTGAGTATGCAGTTTGGGTTTCTGATCTATTATTTGTTGCCCTGCTTGATTTTGAATTATAATTTGTTGTTGTTGTTGCTGTTGCTGCTGCTGAGACTGAATTTGTTGGGCAGGCTGAACTATTTGTTGTTGAACAACTTGAATCGGCCTTGGTTTTGGACTTTGATTTTGAACTAAAGTTCTCGTAACTATGGCTTGACCAGGGTTTAAAACAATTCTTTGCCCTTCATATACAATTTGCTGTTGAACATTGCTAGTGTTAACAATTTGTTGTACTACTTTTTGCTGTCCAGAATTTGGGTTAACCGTATTAAGTATTGCAGATTGCTGTGATGCCGCTACATTTGTTTGATGTATTTGCTGAGCTTGTTGGACTTGCTGTGCTGGTTGAACCTGTTGTATTTGTTGAACTGGTTGCGCACTTGAAACAATAAACTGTTGTTGTGACTGTAAGGAACCTGTTGCTTGCGGAGACGGAGATATCAAAACTTTTTGCCCTTGGGCATTCTGGCCAACTAAAATTTTTTGACCAGGTTGTATTATAATTTGCTGTAGGTTAGATGAAGTAGTTGAAGCTATTTTCTGTACTGGTGCAGAAGGACTTGCCGTTCCCGCTAAAGAGACAGAAGATGTTGTCGATATTTTGTGAACTGGTTGTGAATTTGCGTTTGAAATGGGTATTTTTGGTACGCTTGCTGCTGGGGTAATTACTTGGTTGCCAGTTACTATTACTTTTTGAGTTTGCACTGGCTTTTGGGTTATCACTTGTTGTTTTACTACAGGCGCAGGACTCGCTGTGGGTTTTGTATATTGCTTTATTACGTTTGGTGATTTTATTGTTGTTGTAGTATTCGGTACAACGTTTTTGACCAAAGGTTTATTTTCTATAATTTTTGACAAAACAGGTGACGATCCAGTTGGCTTAAAAGCTATTGTTTTGTTTCCAGAACCAGGGGTTGTTGTTAGCACGTGTAATTTACCATCAGGCATTTGAATTAATTGCTGTCCTGGACTCAGCCCACGAACGCTTACTTTACCATCAGATCCGCGAATAATCTGCACCTTTTGTTGGGTTGGTTGTTGATTTGAGGAACTGTTAGTTGGAGACGGTTGTACAACTGCAGTTTTATTTGTAGGGATAGCTTTTACTTGTAACTGGGTCTTCACGGAAGTTGAAGAAACAGGCTGATGTATAACTTTTGTGGTACCGTCTGGATTTTTTAATATGACTTTTCTATTTCCAATAATTAACGGTTTGGGAGAATCACTTTGTTGCTGTGATGGTTTTGCGTTTATCACACGTTTTTGAGTGTTCTGGTTTTGAACTGCTCTTTGAAGTTTCAATTGATGCTCCATTTTATCTTTAGCTTCGTTCGATGGAGTCTTTGCACTCGTTGTAATGGCTTTGTTTGAAGAACTTGCGCTAGACGTTGTAGAGGTCGCAGAGCTAGATGAATCAGAAGTAGATTTTGGAACTGGTAGTCTGCCAGTCACTGTGCGAGTAACAGCTTTTTCTTGTTTTTCACCAAACAGTTTTACTTCCCATAATTCAAGTTTATCCTCATCTATCCATTCTTCTGTCACTTGTGGCTCTGTTTGCTGCGGTGATTCTGCTCGTTTACGTTTTCTCAGACCTGATCTAATAGAAGTTACTTCTCGAATTGTTTTTGGAACCTCTAATGGAATAGTAACTTTTCTACGTAAATATTGAGTTTTCTCCAAAAATCGACCACAATGTTTTAGTTTCAAAAGCTCCGTTGTTACAATTTCTGTTTCGGTTGTTATTTGGTGTTTACCATCAGCTGAAGGTGGTTTTGTTGTCATATCATCCCATCTTAAACAACACCACAGAATTCTGAACTGTAGACATATTGCAGACAATGTTGTATTACTAAAAGTTCGGTAAAGCCAACATGTTCTAAAAAAAGGTCTTCCACATGGATAAGACCAAACAGTATTATTTACTTTCGCTAATGCATTATAACCAGAAACTGTACCTTTACCACCTAAACGAGCTAATTTTAACAATTCATATCTTTGCAAACATAATAAAGACTTTGTTAGTTTATGAGTTAAGAATGATTGGATTAGAGGAAATTTCGACACGAAATTTTTTGAAGTTTTTCTTTTTAATGTATCAACGTCATATTCGTGTAACAAATACACTTTACCTCTAGCTGATGTTGACGAATAAATTTTTTCAATCCCCCTGGGACCAAGTTCCGGTACATATTTTGGTATGTTGTTTTCTTTCTTGATAGTCTTTGTGGTTGGAAAACGGCGATTTATTTTCCCTGCATGAGCTTGCGAAATTTGTGAATCAATATCTTTTTTTATTTTCTTTACTAATTGATTGTCAAGGCTATTTTCGTTAGACCTCGTCAAACTAACTTCACTATTTGTCTTCCACGTTTTCGATCGTTTGCCACTCTTTGAATCTGGAATATCGCTTTCTAATAGATCATCAAATTGAGATACAGAACTTTCAACATCTATCGGAACATCAACTTCAGACCTATGATTTTGATCAGATTTCAATGGTGTATTATAATTATTAGTTATATTTGATTTCATTTCTATATTTTCCGCTGAATTTAAAGGCACGCCTAATGTGACATTTTTCACTTCATTCATGTCAATATCGACTTCATTTTTTTTCGGTGCTTCTAATAAATTTCTAACATCATCTTCAGATTTTATTTCCTCACTTTTTACTGTGACTTCAGCACAATCATCAAATGTTTCAAATTTAACTTCTTCAACGTCTAAATTTATGGAACTTAGTTCATTGGCCATATCAAAGTCAAAAGCGTTATTAAGTGCATGTAAAAAATCTTGTTGTAAATTAGTTGGAGCATCATCATTCCACCTATTCTCTTCTGATTCATCAACAACGGCAAAATTACTTGCTTCCTTTTTCCCTTCCATAAGTTTCTGTTCTAGAATAGAAGGTTTCTTTAAAGCTCCTAATATTGCAGCTACGGTTTCTTTCGAACCGTTGCCAATTTCTTTAGCCTTTCGTAACATTAATAACAATTCTTTCTTGGAACGAGCTTTTTGCAAACATAGAGCTGAATAACAAGTGTTTTGTGTTATTTGGGAAACAGCGTTAGAGTTTGTATTGCATTCTTTGGCGTAACAACGATAATGTTTCGCGAATCGATTTAATTTGCTAAATTGAGATCTAATAAGCTGTATTTTCTTAGCAAGACTATTAACCAAATCTAGATTAACATTCCCAATGCTTTGACTTGAATTTATTCCACCACCAGGTTTATTTATTACAGCTAATTTATTTATTTGTTTTTCTAAAACAGTTTGAATTTCTAAAATACTATTTTGTAATTCATCTTCTTCGGAATTTTTCGTATCACCAGAGTCTAAAATTTCTTTTTTAGTCAAATTTTCTAACATATATTGTTCTTCCGCTTTTTGTAATTTGATGCGTCTAAAGAGAAAATTATCTAATTTTGACTTACGTGCAATCTTCGGATAAAATAGTCGACTAGATGATGAAAGAGCCTGTGATACATTGATGCTGGTAAAAGTTTCTGGCACTGGCATAATCACTACTTTTTTAAAATCATCTATGTAACCGTAATTTCCTGACTTTTTAATTATTTCTTCTGATTGTTGCAAGAAGGCATAAGTTTTAGGATCAACGGCAATTACTTTTTCCGTAGCATCTTTTTTGACTTTTAACATTATTTTGATTGGAATAATTTTATCCATAATTCGATATCTTTTTGCTATTCTCCTGTTATAAGACATCCATATCCAACCCCATTGACCGTGTATACGATATTCTTCGCCTTTCTGCTTCCATACTTGATGCTTTAATCCTAGCGAGTATTTTACATAGTTGAACGCTAATCTATTTCTTTCTTCTTCATCATCTCTATCACGTTTTTCCCGTTTTTCTGATTTTTTCTTTTCTTCTCTTTCAACTGATGTTATTCTTTGAAGACGTAAATGACCCAATTGTTCATGCCACACATTCGCAAAAACTATATTTTTAACACAAGCTTGATACAAAACTAAGGCATTTGCAAAATCTGCAGGTTTTATGCAATTAGATACAGCACTTAACCAAATTTTTCGTAAATTATTCCAATTGGGATTCATAAAAGGCGAAGTTATAGATTGTTCCAATGATAATAAAGTTTGACGTAATGTTGATACTATATTTTGCTCTGTTGAGTTCAATCCGCCACCAACCCATTTGAAAGCTGACGCAGTAGTCAATGAAAATTTATGCGATAAGTGACGTTTTTTGTCTCGTTCCTCGTTTCTTTGAGGTTTGTTCAACGCAATAGGGTTTATTGAATATTGGTTAACATAAGTTTTAAAACCATTCTCCATACCTAATTTGAAATGCAGCATACCAGTCGATATTTGCAAACTTTTCTGCCGCGTTAATCTTTGTTCTGGCTCAAGATTAGGTATCGAATCATTATTTGTTGAATCTGAATTTGATATATTTTCCTCGTTACCATTTTCATTGCCTTTTGGTAACAATTTCTGAATTTTTTCATTTTCAATTTCTAAATATGATTTCTTATTGCCTTTTTGATCATTTGTTAAATTTTCTGTTATTTTCATTTGTCTTTGAATTTCTTCTTTTAATTCATTTATTTCTTGGCATAATCGCTGCTCCAGATCTTTGTCATCTAACCTCGATAAAAGAAGATTTAGTTGCTGCGTAGAACTATAATACCACACGCTTTTGCCATCTTGATCTTCTACAAAAATGCGTCGACACACGAACCAATATTTGCGGCCATGTCTATCATATCCCAAAATATCTTGACGAATGGATAAACCTTGCTTTTCTTGCTGGGATACACAATCTGACACTCCAACAGTTTTATGAGATTTGCAAATGTTACACTGCCAATCTTCTGTTGGAATTTTCGTTAAAGGTGGATCGACACATTCTAAATGAAAAACGGCTGGACAGGTTTCACAACACAATAGATCTCCTAAACGATGACATATTCGACAGTGATCATCATAATGTATCGGACCTTCTTGCAGCATATCGTCACGAACACCAGTTGTAATCAAAAATTGATCAGTTAAGAACTTAAGCACTAACATTCGATCTTCTATGCTGGAAAATGGATATTCTTGCGTCGATAGAATTCTTAAAACTGTTTTGTCGAAAAAGTCATCGCTTTCAATATAGTTTCTTAAAACTTCTGGCCAAGTTATATGATCAATCAAATATAATGTAATGTTAATGCTATCCTTTTGATCCAAAGGCCCAAAATGAGTTGCCTGTAAATCTTCTTCTCTTAAAATTGCTTTTAAAAGCATTAGATGCACTTCCGTCAATAAAGAACTTTGTTCTTCAGAAATTAATGCAGCACAAAAATCTTCAAAACGAAAAGGTGACAATCTTACCAAATTTCTAAAACGCCTTAATACTTCATATATAGCAACTGCATCAAGTATATGTTCTTTTGATAAAAGAAGATCTTCAGAAGACTGTGGTACCTCTAAAGGAGGAACTTCCCTATCCTGTAACCACACTGGTTCAGGGCTTGGTGGTCTAGGAGGTCTTCCAAGTCCTGTAGTAGGTCCAAAACTGCACTCCGAGTATTCACTTTCACTCTCCTCATTGTTAGATTCACTTTCTTCATCAGTTGGAGATAATAATAAATCATCTTCTGGATCACTTTTATCTGTAGAATCACCAAAATCAGAGCCATAATGATATTCAGATTCATAACCTTTTCTTGATGTTGAAGTGTTAACACTTTTTCCTCTTCGGCCTCTACCTCTTGACGACTTTGTTCCAAAATATGCCCGTGAAATACTTTTTCTACTAGTTTCGCTCTCCTGCGGCGACGATCCTCTTGATAGTGATGGTGTACTGAATTGGGAGTCAGAGCCTTTCATTAAATACTTAGGTTTCTTTAGAAGATGATAATTAAATCTGCTGCCTCGTTGACTCGTTACAGACTTTGGAGGCCGTCCTCTTTTTCTTACACCACGTCCACTCATTATTCTAAATAATTACAGCTACAATTTTTACCTTAAGATTTTATGGAACCTCAGCAACTTCTTATGATTTTGTGCTTTTAGACAACAACAAAATGTCATTGATGTAAAATTTCAAACTGAAGTTATTAATCAGAATCTTAAAATTGTCATATCTTTTAATGTGCTTTAAACATGCTGCAATTTCATTTCAAACACAGCAAAATATTCAAAATATAAGTAATTTCAATACACTTTTATGAATTTTCGTTAAAAAAACAATTTTTCTAAAGTTCAGAGCTTAACAACGGCAATTATTAACTTTTTTCTCTAAAATTTATTTTTTTCCACTTCATACAAAATGTCTGAAGGCTTCACTTTTCACTTTTATTGAGTTAGCAGTTACTTCTAGGCAAGCTATAACAGAGGTCGCGCGCGACTTTGTTTCGCCACAAATTTTATTCAAAACGGCAAACTGAAAGAACAAATGTTGCTGGCTTAATTATACCACCAACATAAATCGGCTATATAAAAACATGGTGTTGCCATGTTAACTGAAAATCATATATAAGATATTAACAACATATGATAATATACTTTCTGTAAAAACGTAACACTTTAACACCTACAAAAGCTGACGAGTTTTTTTTAAAAACTTTGAGCATTCATGAAATAATCAACTACTTTTTGTTTGAATATTCATATCTGCGTCAATATATCATAATTTTTCATGCATATGTATATTTTACGAAACATGAATATTTATAAAAATCATTTATACATTTCATTAACAAAATGTAACTCAGTGACATACAAATATATAATTCGTTTAATAATCTTAATCAAATATACAAATTTAAGATAACACTATTATAAGTGTAAAAGTGGAATCAAAACGTTTTTAAGCTAGAAAAGTACTGTGTAAGATGAAAACAGATAGCGATAATTCAGCATTTTGGGCTATTTTACCGTCGACGGTGAGACCCGCAAACGTTATTTCGCTTCATTGTGGCAATCCTATTTAGATATGTGCAATTGATATTACATTTATATGATTTTATTTTCAATCTCAACTCAATTATTTTCAATCGTTACAAATATACAGCTTCTTCCCGTTTGTTTTGCTTACATTCAAATACTTCTCTAAATCAATGAATGCAGTTATGCATATGTAAATATTGAAACTTTTTATATAATACGAATTTGAAACAGTGTACTTAAATATTTGCGTATACATATATATATATATATATATATATATATATATATATATATATATATATATATATATATATATATATATATATATATATATATATATATATATATATATATATATATATATATATGTGATGTATGTACATACATCACATGTTTTTGCTGCGTCGACGATCTTGATCTTGAATACGAAATTGAAGTTATGGGATATTCTTGTTCAAGAAAACTTTTTTGCTTAAGTTTCGCTTTAGTTGAATTTAGCTTTTGAAAGTCAAAAAACAAATTAAAAAATAGCTGTGTACAACACTACTCTTGCATCGATAGTTGACAAACGTTTATTACTTTTATCATCTATAATAGTAAATACGCAAATTGTTCTTCGGGATGATTTTCAGTTAAGCACTCAAGCTGCCATATAAATAAGATATGCAACTGATTCGTAGAATTTAAACCTAATCGGATTTCTTTTTATTACAATTTATTTGATAATTTTTTGACAAGAACAGTATGTTATTGTAGTAGTAGAGTACGTTTATATAAACTAATTTACTCAATTTACTTGAACTTTTTGAGCTAAAGAAAAAAGAAGCGCTAAAAATTAAGACAATATCAACTTCATATAAAATATACAACAAAATCGGGAAACCGAAGAACCGTCAAGGTATGTAGGTTAAAAAACTTTAATTTTATATACATATGTATGTTGCATACAGTGAAACAAAACCTGGAACAAAACCTCATAAACCTACCGACACACCGTACATCTTAAACAAATAAATTCCATAAATTGTGAGTTTTCCAAAACATCATTGTAACGTAGTAAACCTTTTGTATACATAAATTTTTTAAAAATTAAATGAGTGCATGATTTTCTTTGAAAATAATGGCTATTCTAGGGCAAGAACTCTCTTAAAATTAAATTTTAGTCTAAAAAATACTTCGTATTATTTAATGAAAATATATTGTTTTTAAAGTTTATTATTGAGAATTTATACATAAATGGCTTAGAGAATTTATGTCGCAGGCGAACGGTTTCTTTCTTAATTTATTTTACACGGTATTTATTAAAAAATTGAAAATTTTTGAGATTAAAATGCTTTCCGATTTAAATTTCAAAATTTTATTTGAAAATTTGAATCTTCAATTTGTTAAAAAAACTTTCAAAATAACATTTTTAGAGTCAAATTGTGTAACAGATCGAAATTATTATCGAATAACATTTTTTTTTTTTGAATTTTATCACAATTATTGTAGATTATGTTATATAATGTTGTTGGTAGGTACCTATGTACCTATTAGGAAGCTCGGTAGTAAAGCTAAATTTTAAAATGACCTAAAAAACTATTATTATATTTTATTTTCGACCAGTAGTTATGTACATATATTTTTTTACAAAATCTTGAAATTCTTAAATAATTTCATAAATTTAGTGATAACAAATTTATATAAGAAAGTAAATAAATGACAATCGCCAAAATTATCAAATTTTTTAAAAGATTTCATAGTATTTTGGTAGGTACTACTATTTTACACATCTTATAGATTTTAGATTTTTTTAGAAATGAAATATGTACATATATGTATGTACATATGTTTTTATATAACACATTCGTAGATATTCTAAATATACAATATACATAATATTGTATTTATATTATATACCAAATCGTAAATACTTAGTTATGCTTCATGAGTACTTACAAATTTTAAATTTTTTTTTGGAATGTAAGTTTGGTAGAAAAATAAACATATAAATTGCAATGAAAAATTTTTATTTTAATAGCTATTCAAATACAGTTTTAATTTTGGGCTTTTTTAGAAATATTTCACGTAGGTTGATAAATCGTAAAGCTAGTATTTCCATTTACTACACACAATTTTACAATTTTAATTTTTTCTAAGGTACACAAAGAGATTTACATTAATTAATAATAAAATTATAATTAATAAATCAGTAAATCATTAACTAAAAATTACAAAGCAGTATATTTTATCATAAATGTTATGATTAAAGATAGTTTTACAAAGAAAAAAATTATATTTCCGTTGAATCTTAAAAATCGATTTAAAAGGAAATTAGTATTCTATTTTTTTTTTTTTTAATTTTATTCTGACTTGGAACTTTTTCATTTATTATTGATTTAAAAAGAATTATAAAAACAATTAAGTTTTCCTTTCTTATAATAAAGCATGTGTTTCTTTTTACAAGCACAAAAAACGAGATACATAGAACATTTAAAAAACAAGGCAATTTAAAATGTTTATATTTCGTATTGAGGTCGCTTTTTTTTAATTATATACTTATGGCAAAAAGTATCATTTAAGATACTATTTAAAACTAAAATTAAAAATTATAAAAAATAATTACCCAAGATACTAATGCACCATTTAAAAAATCTTCTATTTCATCCATTTCTTCTAATAACAAATTGTTTTTAAATACTTTCACCATATCATTGTCCAAAAACTAACAAATATTAATTTTTTTCACTGAATATAAACAGAAAATAATATTTTTTCGTATTACAGTACGGTCATTAAATTGGAAAATATCGTTAAAAATTTAATAACACAAATTAAAAAAGTTTCACTATGTAAATTCTATTTTTGTCCATTTGCTTACAAAAAAAAAAAAACTCTAAAACTTAAACAATATACGGAATCAACAAAATTGACATTTTCTTACTTGTGATTATATTTAGCAACATTGGAAAATGTATCCAAATATTTTAGCAGAATTTGTAATATTCATGCAAAATTAAATGGTTTTTTGAATAAAATTAAATTTAACATATTCGATAATATTTAGTAAAAGAATTGTAATATATTAGAGTTTATATATACCTATGTATTTATTTATAAAGCTCTTTCTAATTTTTTTCATGTTAATCAAATAATTGGTTTTTCCTTTTTCGCTCCTAGGAGTGATAGAGGTCTATTAATATCATATTTCAATCCTTAAATACATAGGTCATTGGATTTTGAATAAATTTTATATAAACTTTTATGTAATATAAAAGTTAGAAATTATAATTTATAAAATTGTAAATATTATTTAATACATATACTATTGCTGTGAGGCATTCATATTACATATAGCTTAAATATTGGAACTCAGAGCTACTTTACTTTTATTTTTTGTTATGATATTATATATTTATATGCCAATTACCTTGTTTATATGGCAGTTTGAGTACTTGACTCAAAATAAGCTCGAAACTCAAGCTTTGTTTATACTATGTCAGTTTAAAAAATGGAAAATTATGTTTAAAATAATCTTTAAGTACGCTTGAAGCCGTCATATGAACGGGGTAAATGTCAATTTAGAATATTCGATAAATGGAACTCATTTTAGTTTTCACTTTTTTTTTTCCACGTAAGAAAAGTAATAAAAACACAAACAAAGTAAATCTTTTTTTTTTAAATTATAAGCAATATACTTTTTACTATTTCATTAAAATATTTAAAAGTACATTGTTTATACATAGTTATAAAACTACAGTAACTTTTTAAATACATAATAGTTATGAGATATATAATTTTGCTAAATTTCGGCATATTATGCTAAATTTTCGGTAGTTGTACAATTTTAATAGCAGCAATAATAATCATTTTATGCATACTTTAAATTGCGTTAGCAAACGTTTTTCAATTGTTTTTAACAAATTGCTTAAAATTTTCTTTGTAAACTTTCCCGCTATTTTTCTTGTATACAATATTTTATACATTGCTATTCATCCTACATACTTTATTAAAAGTAACAGATGAGTTTTTGAAAAAGTCTACGATTGTAAATTTATCTGCATGTTTGTAAACAATTATAATAAATAATATGTAATATGTAAATAATAATTTCAGTCTGATATGCTAGGGGTTTATCCTATAATAGTTTTAAAGAGTATGGTAGACATAGATAGATACTTAAACTTTATTAAGGGGTAGGAGAAGAGCAATTTTACTTTTGAATACCTAATAAAATTATAAAAGCTTTTCAATGCAAATGCACAACAGAGTTAGTAATCATGCTAGTATGTAATATTAAAAGTTCAACTTTATTGAAATTATTTTGTCAGTATTTATGGTCTTTGTTATAATAGGAAAAAGCAAACCTTAAATTTTTCACTAGACACTAAATATAAATTGATAGAACAAAATTGTAAAAGAGAACTTTGTTATGGCATACATACATACATATGTACATAAACACACGCCATGTAGGTACGAAATAATTCGGCAAAGATTTTGAATTTATATCAAAATGATGATTTTGTACTTTAGTCACAAAAAATCTGTTTTATAAAAATAATACATATTTAATATAATTTTCTGTAAATCTTAAAATTTTTATGTAATATATACTCGTATTTAATTACTTATCTATGAACAAATTACATGCTTTGTACATACATATGTATGTATGTATATGCGTATATGTATTTATGACTTATGTATGGATTAATATAGTAGAAAAATTTTGGAATTAACAAAACATTTATAGTTAATAAAATATTTTCGCAATAGATACATAAATATACAAAAATATGTACATAGTTCCACAACTGGAACTCTTTTTAAAAAAGTGCCCAAGTTTCAACAAACGAGCGCTGAAGAAATAAATAATTTGATAAGCTGATATGTATTCATAACATCGACGTTTCATTTGTTGGGACTGTTGGGAATAAAAAATTAAATTGGATTCAAATTTAATTTCCGTTTCAGAGAAAACTGAATGGTCAAAAAATTATTTTCATTTTTAAATATCTAGAAAAAAAAAATAATGAAAGCATATTAGATTTTATACAATTTTTATTTAAATAATAAAAATATTGCACTTATTCACATTTAATAATTAATTATGTTATTGTTTCTTAGAATATGTAAATATATTTAATACATATAAAATAGAATCAATATATTCTTAAATCCAAAAAAAAAAAAAAAGCAACACAAAAAGTATATGTACCTAATATAAAATTGCAAATACTTATACGCTTTGTTTAAATTATTGTATTACAGTAATTGCACTAGTGCTATCGATTAATATTAACATGGTTCTCGAAAAAAAAGGATTAATTTTTAATGATATATTTTTAAATTTATGTTTCACAAATCACTAATATTGTTATTAGTTGTTGTTATATATATAACAATAACTAATAACAATATAGCTAATAACTAATAACAATAACAAATGTTATATTATATTGTTATATAGATAAATTACTTGAGGTAATTGGATATTATGCTAAAATTTTCGTTATTTGTAGAATAAAATCAAATTCCGAAATTTGAATTTCTATTGAATAATACCCCATTACTTCAAGTTATACGTTCAACACAAAATGTTATGTTAAACGGTACAAATTTTAGAAATTATCTTGTAAGGGATTATTATTTTGGGTGGGTGAGAGGACAACAAAAGATGCTTTTATTTTTAACATTAAAAGAAACAAATTTAGATAGCATATTATTATTTTATAAATAAATATACATATGTATTGCATAACACGACCCGAAAAAATTTTTTTTTTAATTAATAAAGAATTGAGCACAATTGAGTTCTTATCAACTAACAAAATTATTCTTAAAGGCAAATAAAATAAAAACTATTAAAAATAAATTGATTCGTACATCTTATTACTAATATTGTTATTTTGAATTTTTTTTTCTTTGATTTAATGAATATGAAACTTAAAGAAAATTACAAAAATACTTTGACTAAGAGTCTACTAGCGATTTTTTAAAATACATTTCAATTAAATCAAATTTAATTTTAAACACTTAACTTTCCCAAACTTCATCTCGTTGCTTGGCAGCTAATAGTTTTCGTTCTATATTATGAAAAAATGATTGTATTTAATTAATTTATATAGCACATAATTAATACTAAAATCTGTTTATCTGTACCTTTGGCTTCCTTGAGAACTCTTTTTTCATTTTCCCTTTCCTGGGCAGCAGTTTTAAGGCGTACACCTAACGCCCCTGTTACTAAACGACGAGCTAAAGCAGCACAAGTTTCTGGTCTCGGCCGATATGGTTGTAATGAGCTTGAACATTTTTTAGCTTTTGCTCTTGATTCAAAAGTAGCTTCCGCTAACGGTTTTAATGCAACGAATGGATGATGTTTTGCTAAAACTTCAGCAGCTAAAAGTTACAATAAAACGGCTAATTTTTGTACTTTTTAAAATATTAAAAGAAATATTAGCAAATATAATAAAGATATTTGAACATATGTGTATACATATGTATCTTTTAATGTTTAAATTTAAAATATCACGCGTATCAGTTTAAAAAATTAACTAAAATTGGAATTTTTAAATGAGAAAGTCAATTTCTAATTTCAAAATTAAAGTTACTATAATATATTACATGCATAAACTGAAGTGCTGTCATAATTATGAACATAATTTATTACGTTACTATTAAAATTTTGTGATAAAGCAAATAAAGTTTTTAAATTAATTTATACAGTAAAATATGCAGTATTATTTAGTATTAGAGCAATTTTAATTCTGAAACTGAAATAGTTATTACTTACAATCAATATAACGTAATTAATTTATAAGCGATCGGTATACATTCAATTTCTTTACTTAATCATTATAAAATAAAACAACAAGTCATAAGTTCGGGAGTAATATAATCTTATGAAAATTATTGAATACAAGTTCTCAAATATTACTTTTTAATGCAAATAAAATGCATATTGATATTATTTGCCAATAACTACAAGAAAATAAAATTTTGAATTATTTTAGAAGAATTGCTGTTTAAAAAATTTATTTGGTAAAATCAAATTTCGTAAGTCCTAAAGTACTAACAAGTTATGACGAAAGCATAATTCAACTTCTTAACGTCATATTTTACCTATTTTAGAACTGCTAAACACAGCCAATGCATGGGTATCGTCCACCCATTTAATGTCAAACCCAGATTCTTTATAGTCAGAGAATATCATCATCAAATCCTGTGTTTTAAATTCAACTGGAAAATTGGAGATCTCCAAAACATGTGGAAATTCTTCTTCACTTAAAATATCTTGTTTCATAAGGTAGGCCTTAAAATCACGAAAACATTATTCAATTATATTTTTGCTGAAGTTATAATAAAATTTATAAATATTAAAAAATATCCAATTGTATTTATACCGAATAATCTGTTTTGGGTGTTTCAATTTGAACCTTTCCAACCGTTGCGGTTAGTTCTTCTATTAATTTTGGATCTAAACATTCCCCGTTATCATCAAAAATGGTATCCCAATCGTCTAATTCTGGATCAATAGATTTTATTTTAGTAAGTTTTTGATTATTATTGGAAGGTAAAACTTTTAAAGTTGGTTCCGGTATTTCGAGAATATCTGATTTGAAAGTTTGTTTTATTATTCTTCGATTGCTTCGATTAATTTCCTAAAAAAAGTAAATTGAAATAATTGTATTTGGATTTAATTTGATTACTTTCGATGCCCGTTCAAATTCTTCAACGTCATGATCATTTTTGTTATGCAATTTGTTATTCGCATCTTCTATTCGCAACGGTGTGGAATTCCCTTTTTGATCCAAAGATGCCATTTTATTTGATTTGTTCATTTCTGTAATAAGCTGATGTTGATTATTTCGTGTTATAATATTTGTACTATTGACACAATTTTGCGTAACATCCAAACTATCACAGTTGTTAACTAATTCGGAATTCGTAAGTTTATTATTTTTGGTTTGTTTGTTGTTTTGTAATATAATTTCCTCAGTATAATTAGTTGTATCTACTAGGTTATCAGTTGTTTTATTATCACAATTATCGTTATTTTTTAATGATGTTTTTGAAATCACAGGCTCGTATGAAGGTATTTCGTATGATGAATTTGTAGCTGTTGTCGTGGTTGTACTCGATAAATGGCGTTTATCATCTTCTGCTAAATGTTTTGTTATTTTATTTTGTTGCTGTTGATGATTTTGTTGATGTTGATCACGCTGATGATTGTGATGATAATGATGGTTTTGTTCTTTATTTTTCTTATGACTATTTATGGTTGATGAAACTGTTTTCTCATCTGACGCACAACTATTTGTCAATGACGAAGTTGATATTGGTGATATGTTTATACTTGATTGATTAGGAATTGATGTTTGGCTTCGTCGAGCTCGAGGAACGTACACTTCACGATCTGGTCTTCTTTCACGTCGAGCAGGTCTTAAAACATAAATTCAGTTAAAATTAAATAAAAAAAATTATATAGAAAAATTAAAATTAAATTCAACTATTATGATTGAGCGCTACTATAATTTGACAAATTGTTTCAATTATTTTTAAAGTGCTATAAACTTGTAGGAAAAAACTTGATAATATTGTAGAAATTAAATTCACCTAGTTACACCAATACAACCACTTTTGCTACTCGTTGAGGCTGTTGAGATATTTTCTGTTGATGGTATTTGTGTTTTAGATGTACATTGACTTTTATTTTCAGGTGATTCATTTACTAATGTTTTCGCTGTCGTTTTAAGTCCTGGCTTTTCTAATTCACTTGATTCTTTCAGTTTTCGTAATGCTGGTGGACAATATTTTTCTACTGAGTTTCCTAAAAATTCAAAAAGAAAATAGAAAAAAGTTTATCATTTGCTACAACATCAAGAATTAATGATTTTGTAATTGAAATAATTTATTTTATCTATAATTTAATGTCTTCTCTTCTACTTGAAATCGAAATTATGTATTGATATTTAATCGTTTATGAAGTATTATTTGCTATATATTTAATTTGATTTGAAATACTATAAAAAAAGAAAATAAAAAATAAAATTAAAATTTCATAATTTTTGAAATAAAATAGTTTTACAATTAATAAATTAGAAATATTTTTTGTATTTACACTTTTAATTAGACCAAAGTGTAAATTCTAATATACATAGATAAAATTCCATTTCATCAATATTCCTTCTTCAAAGGCATTGTTGGTTTCATTATTATATTAGCAACTTTAACTGTAATTAACTTTAATAAATCTATTTCTTTTACGGGGCTTAGATAATTTTACAAATTTATCACTAGTTCTTTTAGAACTAGTTTACTAGTTTTATAGTATTTCAAGATCTGCAAGAGAATTATGTTTATTTATTTATGCAAAATTCAGAGAATCTCAAAATGTATAAACAAAAAGTAGAATTAATTAATTAAACGTTTAAATCAAAAGACATAGTAATATTGTTATTTATTCACGTATATTTTAAAATAGGTTTTATTATTGTGTAAAAATGCTAAATATCTGTCCAGTTTTAAACATACATAGAAGCAAAAGAAAGATAAAAAAAAAGCCGGTAATATTATAAATTTTCTGGCGCTTGTACATTGAGTTCATGTATACGAGTAAGTAAGTGTGAGCACTACAACTATTATGTCATAAATATCTAGTTTTTTTTTTAACCACATTTTGATGACTCCAATATACTCGTATTCCGTATATGAAATAAACAAGTTTTTTTCAAAATATTGTAGTATGTAATAAATGTTTGAAAGTACAAAAAAAAAAATATAAGTATATAAAAAAACTTTTTATTAAAACTTCAATTGCTTTTTTAACTTTTGTGTTAAATACGTACTATGGCAGCAATAAAAAAAATGCATAAGGAGTTAAAGTTAAGTTTACAACGAATGATGAAATTTATTATACAATTTTACACTCTTAAAGATTACAATATTATAGTATAGAGATATAGATACCAATAAATATTATAGCACTATACAGGAGGTAACATTAAATAATTAAGGAAATAAATTCTAAATTGTAAAATGAAGAAAGTAAAATGGTGTAATTTGCGATTAGATCTTTCGAAAATAAAGTACAAATTATTAATAATTTTTTAAAAAAATTTAGCTTTTTTAAAAAAGTACTATACGTTTATTAAACTTTTTGAATTATCGTGAAATCGGCCCTTGTGCTTATAATTATTTATTTATTAACATAATATAAAGGGCGCCCGAAACTCGCTGATACTTAGGACCCCAAGTTAATAATAGTTTTAAAGACGAACCAAAATTTATTTTTACTCCGCATTGCATACAATAAGGGGGGTTATGTGATGGCATCAAATTTCCGTCTGTCGGTTAGTGTGTGCGCATACATCAAAAGTTTAGCTAAATCGATTTTAATGAAAATTTATAATCAGATAACGTAACTTTGCTTATGACACGGATTGATGAATTTTTGGAATCTATCAGGTCTCGGGAAGTGTACCCGAGATTCTCGGAAAATGTACCCGAGACTCTCGGGTCGATTTTACATTTTTAATTATTTTTAAAAAATTATTCAACAGATTAACTTGTAATTTTTTATATAAGCTTTGCTTGACAGTACGTTCTCGTACCTAATTTTTGGAAGAAATCAAGTGTCAGCAATTGCAATTTCATTCCGGCGAAAATTTACATTTAAATAAAATATAAATATGAACATAATAAATCAATTTCCTTGATATTTAATATTTGAAATATGGGTGTTTTGGGAATGTCAGGACTTGGAAACCGCGTCAGAAACCGATTTTACATTTTTTTTTTACCATATTTAACAAACTGACTGCAGAATTACTTAAAATTTAATATTTGAATTCTGTTTACTACCGAAACTAAATGGCAAGCTTTTCAGAGAATTCCGACCTCTACCAAGAGCTTATATATCAAATTTATTTTTTTTTCTAGGTTTGTTGCTTAAAATTGATAAGAGAGGTTTAAAAGGGCCTTTTTATAATTTTGTGCAACACTTTGGTCAAATTAGACAATACATGGTTGGGATCGGTTATATGTTGATCATATCAAATTTTTTTTTTGTTTTTATAGGCCCAATAATTTTAATCCTTTATTTTTATTTTTTTGTGTGTACCAATTCTATGATCCTGCTTCGAAAGTATAGGTCATATTAACACGATACCAGATTTATGTATATAAATTCAAATACAGTTTTTTTTTATAACTTACAAGTTTTAAGTGACTTTTATATGATAGTTATTGAGATCTTTACAAATAAAAGCGTTATATCGTATTTATACCGTTATTATAATAACGGTATAAATACGATAAAATATTAATTATTATAAAATATTAATTATTGATAAAGAATGTGTTTTTTTATCCAGTTTTAATTAAATATTTCTGCGTTTATATTTTTATTGCACATCTTAAATCCATTTAGGTTAACTAAAAATGTATGTATGCCGCTATAAAAGCAGATATAGAGATACAAAATTGCATATTATTTTACATATATGTACGTATATATATATAGTATTACATATATGTTATACATAATAATTTGTTTGTATATATATATATATGTATACTTATTTAATATAAAATAATATAATAATGAATACAATAACCGCGAAGTAGACAAAACAAAAAAGAAAAACAGACAAAAAAAAAAAACAATCTGTAAGATAATATTTTGAAGAGCGAGTTGTACGTATGCAAACTACAAATGAAAAAAACAAATTCATACATACACATATACATACATATTAAGAAATACTTGTTAAAAATGACCTCGATTTTTTTCATATTTTTTTTCTTTGTTTTGTTTTATAATACTTTCAATTTCATTTTGGAGTTTTGGGGTTTTGCTTCATTTTCGTAATACTTTTTTAAAAATTTATTTGTGTTATTTAACAATTATAATATGAGAAAAAAATTTGTATTATGTACATAGATAAAAAAAAACGAAAAAAAAGAAAAAACAAATATAGTTATATTATACATGTTAACATAATTTAATGAAAAAATATTTGTACTCAATATGTGATTGATGGAAATTTAACTTGAAACATCTCAGGCAACATCTCATTGAAATATTCTCTAGAATCTAAAGAATACTTCAAAAGTAAGAATTTAAAATTTGAAATCATGTTGTTTAAAATTTCGGCTTGAAAAAGGAGAAATTACCTACAGTACTTAAAATTATTACAATCATCATAATAAAAATATTCAGACATAAAAAATATTATAGAGAAAAATTAAATAGATCATTTTGACCTCAATTAATTCAATTAAAATTCTTGAGGTCCCTTAAAAGATTTGGTTCGTACATCAAATTTTAACATAATATTTATTACTTGAGCAAGAAGGGTATAATCGGAAAGTAATCAAAAATGTGCAGCGTCGATACAAAAAAAAAAAGTTGCTGATGCTATCGCAATGTGATGCGTTTACCTTGCTGATGCAATATTATTTTGACATTTTTGTTAATTTTTAATTTAATCTAAAAAATTTTTAATTTCAATTAAGTTTTGGAGATTTTAATATAATGAAACATTTAAAAATATTAATACCGTGCATAAAAAAATAATTAAGTTATTAGTTATTGAGTTAAAATAATAAATTATTTACTTCTCAGCTTCTATTTAAAAAACTTTACATTTATACAAAATCACAAAAAAAAATTGATGCACAGATTTTGGACACCAAATTTTAAAGTATTACCGTATTGATACATTTTTGTAAATTTTTACACGATGACACATCGATGCTGCATCGATTACTTTCAAACTTTCCAAAATATCTTAACTAATCGAGATCTGAATTGATTTTAAAGATAAACATTCTTCCATTACCTATTTTGCTTGACGAATTTTCCATCTATGATTGACATACTTATATATTTCATTCTTTGTGTCATTCCAACAAAAAGTGAAGTGCAACACACAACCATTAATCAAATTCGTTGAAATGGCATTTAATTAAAATCTTTGCAATGAGACATTCAATTAATGGGATGAGAAAATGAATACAACGAAAAATATTCAATATCAATAGAATAAAATTAATAAAATTAAATTAACGAATTATGTGGATTTAAAGTATTTTTATAATTCATGTATTTACGAATAATCATGTTTTTTTTTTTAATTTAAAAACAATTATAGAAAAAATAGTCAAATAACTATTGAATATTTATTAATTTTAAGTACAAGAATACAAAAAAATGTTAGCAAATTACCCTAGTACAACAGATATATGGCATCACCTCTTATAATTTTCTAAAATACACTTCAAAATATTATATGCCTTATAGGCGTTTGAATAAAATATATTTTATCAACTTTTTGTAACCTTTTATTTAATTATTTTGAATTTAAGTAAATATCATAACTCATATTTTAAATGAAAATTTAATTTATAGAACATTTGATTCTCTATATATCTAAAATATACTGAGCTCGTATATTGAACACGTCTTAATCATCAATTAAAATATTTGGCCCAATTTATAAATTTTAGATACCTACATACATATATCGTATTATGTAATACCTTACCAAAACAAAAAGCATTAAAAATTTCTATTAATCGTATAAACTATTATTATTTTTGTACTCAAATCTTACAAATTTGAACGCTCTATATTAGAAAAAAAACAAAAAACAAAAAAAAAACGCTATACTATACCTATGTTAGGTAAACGAAACCAAAAATTATTTCTTTTATTTAAGTAAAATTAAGTAATCATAAACAAAAAAAAAACTCATGAATTTTTTTTTTACAATTCGCTTTTTAAACACATGTAATATTGCATAAAATGCTTACAGCAAGAAAAAAACAAAAGTAGGTGAAAGAAGGAATCATGCTATAAAGTAACATTGTATTTATACACATATATATGTACGTAAGACTAAATTATAGATTGCATTATAAAATTGCAAATTATTATACCATATCTATATATCTGTTATATTTTATATAATATATTTTTTTTTGTAATGTAAAACACCTAATCAAATTTTTTCTTTAACTTCATTTTAAAATTTTAAATGTGGATTAATAAGGCGTAAATTACAAGTATAAGAATATTGTATACTTAGTAAGTATAAAATAGTAGTAAATAAAAAAAAAAAATAGTAGTTTGGGTGACTAGAATAAAGAGGAAAAAAAATGTAAAAATTTTAGTATGTTAGGGCGGTGTAACATTGTTAAGTCGACCATGCATAGACCAATAAGTTTTATCGGAGATATGTTAAAGAAAAAAAAGTCAAAAGAAATTATAAAAATTGTGGCAAACAATTACATATCAGGAGAATTCAAAATACAAAATATAAAATAGCATAAACTGGCAAACATTTTCAAAAATCCATGAATGTCTAATAAATAAATAATATATGTATTGGTACAGTTCATAATAGTAAATGCAATAACCCAGAATGGATTTTACCTCATTTAATACATGTAGGTTGAATTCGCGTTAAATTCAAGATAAATGAATTTTTTTTTTAAATATTGTGAAAATTAGGTAAGAATAAAAGTCCGTTGCAGTGTGATTAAAAAGAAAAACCTGTATTTTTTAGGAAATTCAAATGTAAATTGGAACACATGATTTTGTGTTGAATTTGAAATAATAAAAAGCTGTTTTGTAAGGTATTGATAATACGAATTTCTATTTGTTTTTTGGACAAGAAAAATTTATTTCTTATCTAATACCAGAAATGTTATTTATTTGAATAAATTAATCAGATAAATTAAAGGAAATAAATACAGGTTCGATTTATAATACAGAAAATAATACATTTATTTTTCTATTCAAAACATACTTGAAACAAGACAACACCTATTAAATTTTTACATTTCAATGTCAATTTATCTTTTATATTTTAGAATACGAAATTATTTTTAAAAATATATAAAATTTTCTCAATTGTTTCATACGCTAATTAATTGCATGTTCAACGGTCCAATGATAAATCTACAAATTATTTATTAAAAATATTATAAATATTATATAGGTGTATGTCACATGTACACAATATGTGTACTGTTAGTAATGTGATTATTTCATATCAAGCATAATAAGACAATTTTTTTAATTACATAATATTACATACGCGCTACGTAAATTGTATTAAAAAATTTTATAATTTTATCACAAAATATTTTATAATTTTCTTATATATACACATGTATGTTTTATTTTCTTTTCAATTTGCACTTGTGTATGTAGTTAAAATATAGATGATTTTACAAAAAATTATGCAAATTAATCATAAATTAATATTGGAAACATATGCATAGTTAATTAAAGCAATCTCTTTTCTATACATTCGTTCTTGTACACAACGATTTATATTCTTAAACACAATTCGAACATATGTACATACGTGTACGTTCTTCTTTTGTAAAATGGGAAAAACAAAAATTTAAGGTTTTCTGAAGAAAAAATAAGTGCGTTTTTCTCAATTCAAACTTTAGCACAAAAATATATATGGAACTTAGAGCATTAATTGCTGTACTCACACAAACCAAAAATATTTTAAAATATTTAAAATTGAAATAAATCAGAAAATATTAGAATTTTTCTTTATCATATATGTAAATTATTTTATAGTTTTATCTTTACCTCACTTTTATTATTTTTGCATAAAATATTAAACTGCTTCATTCCTTTTAATATTCCTCATTATATAAACATTATTTGTAAAATGTATGAATTTTGATTACTTATATTCTGATATAATTTGTATTTCATATCAAATTACTTAAAATATGTTTCAGAAATATTTTTTAAAATCAAATGAAGTAAAAATTTTTTTTAACTTAATAGCCCAGTTTTAAAGTGTATGCATTGAGCACATTCACAAGCACAATACTTCTTTTATGCTTCTTATACATTTTCGCCCATATTATATAAATTTCATTTTCTAGCTTGGTATAAGAAGCATAAAAGAAGTGATTTGCATACGATCAATGCATTCACATGTAAAAAGCTCCAATGACTTTAGATTTTTTCCAGTTTATTTTAAATATACTTTAATAATTATAAAAATTTTCTATATACCTATTAGAATTCGAAATTCTTACAAATTTTATTTTAATAAATATTTTTATTTTAACAATTTTGTTTTAATAAACACAGGGCACAACACACTGTTTCATATATTATTTTTGTAATAATATTTAAAATCAATATTTTTTATTACATATTAAGAATAAGAATAATAAAAGTAATAATTACAATTTCCAAAAATATTGTATTATATAAATAAATACTAGGATTTTTTTTTTGTAAAATAGCAAGATTTTCTTTTTTCTTATACTTATGTAATTTGCATAGAATATTCAATTACGTAATACGTGGTTTGTACACGCGGAAAATAATGTTAACTTTTTTTGTGTTTTTTATAAAAGGTTTATTGTTTTAAGTAACTGGTATAAAAAATAAACAAAACATAAACGAATATTTTAGCTAAATTTTATTCCAACCAACCGTTTAAATTAACATTTTGTTACTGACTAAACTTTTCAAATTAAATATTTTAAGATTTAAGATTATAAAAAAATATATATGTATATAAAACAAAAATGAAAAATAAAAAAAAAAAATAAAAAAACAAGTAATCAAAAAACAAAAAAATTATAAATGTACCTACATATTCGTGTAAAAAAAAGCGAAGCTTTTATAGTAGTTTTTTATTACTTGTTTATAACCTGCTTGATAATATAGTTTCAGTAGGTGAAGCTTATGCTACTATACTATTCATTGTAAGTAAGTATAGTAAAAACAAGGTAAGTATTTTATTATAAGCTTTATCATAAGAAAGAAAAAAGGAAAACTATTTGCAATCTTTAATCTTTATGCATTTTACAATGGGGATGCTTACAGCAATAATCTTACATTACCTACCTATTTATATTTTTCTTAACAAAAATAAAATAAAAGAAGAAAATTTAAATTATAGAAATATAATAAAAAAAATAAACAAATTTTATAATAATTACATAAAGGCGCATAATATACATACTATTTATTTTTAATATATATAAAAATAAGTATAATTTTTGTTTGTTTATATAAACAAAATTAAAAAAAAATAAAAAATATCTTTACTTATTTACTTTTTTTCTTGTATTTCATTTGACTTCCTGATTAAACAGTCTCAAAAAGGTAAGATATAAAGTGAAAGTAAAAAGAGAAAGAAAAAGAAAAATAAGGAAACCCTCAAAGTTGCATAATTTGAAGACTTGTGGGGTGAATTTTTTTACTCATTAATCTTTTACTTTATTTAGTTGGATACATTAGTTTTATAAAATTTGCTACACATAGTGGTCTAGAACCGATGTCAAAGTTCTCGTAGTTAATACTTGACGTTTTTAAAAAACAAAATATTGTTCGTGTCGGATGTATTTTTGAAGGATTAAAAAAATTTCTTTGTTACAAAAAACAGCTTGAATCAGTCGAAACTAGATAAATGTCTTTTTCGCAACTCTTTTTCTCAATTAATAAACTCATTCATAACGGTAATGTCAAATCGTTGGTCATACATAATTTTCATGTAACATACCAGATATCCACCATGATTTATCATTGCCCACCCTATAATTATAATTGTATACAAATTACGAAGAACCAATCTCCAAAAACTTGACTTCTTTGTAATCTAATAATGAATACATATAAACGATTAAATAATGCAAAAAAAAAATATAAAATAAAATTATGGAGTGTACAGGAAGAAACTGAGTACATATGTATATATCTATATACATAACATTTCAATTTGATTTAAACTATTTCAACTGGTTTTTTCTTTATAAATGTATTTCACTTACTTGGAGTTGATATACCACTTTCATTATTCTTTTCAACACCCATTTTATTATTATTAAATTTTTTCGGATCAAATTTTGTATCAGAGGATCTCCAGTTTTTATTTCTTTCTTCTTTTCTGTATATATAAAAAAAAAGAATTACTTAATGTTTTTATAATTACTTTTTGATTGCATATATTAACTTATCTGATGATGACAAAAATTCAATTGGTATTTGAAGTTGTTCTTTGTAGCACACTACAGTTCTTCGTTCAGGACCAGAACCAACCGAGAATGTTACTAAGTTATATGTTAGAGAAAACTCCTCGCACGTTCGATGAATCAGAAATCTTCTATAATTGTTAACCGGTGGGAAAATTAAAACTCTAGAAGAAATATAATATTTTTTAAAAATGTTGTTTATTTGTTTAATAAAAATATAAATATACACATTAAACATGGCATTTTAAAATACAAAAGTTTTCAAGATAAAAACTACACAATTTTAAATAAATTCATAATTATAATTTTAAAAGCAAATTGTTATATAAGCATTATTTTATTTTATCAAAAAAATAATCGCAATTTTCAAATATTAATCGTTATGTATTATAAAAATTAATATATGTTATTATAATTAAATTGTAAAATAGTAGAAATTTATTAATTCAGTTGGAGATCAGTTCAGTTAAAAATATAAATTTCTAATATTCATAAAAATGTTAGAAAAATTATATTCTTATTACGTTCAATATTATATTTATTAAGATATAATATTTGTTAAACTATTACAATTAGTTTACATTAGAAAAAAAGAAATGATAAAAGTATTAATAAATGATAATATCGTCTGAAAAGCAATAAGTGTTATTTTTATTAACGATTTTAAGATTTCTTAATACATTATTATATCAGTTTTAATATTATACTACATTAAGGAGATGAATGTTAAGGAGATTAAGGAGATCTACTTTACTAAATAATTTATAAAACACAGTACTATTAAAACACAGGCTTATTATTATCTACGCACTTTGTGTTGTACCTGCCTCAATAATTTTATGCCTATAATTATATATACATATCAGTTTTATCACATTTTTCAGAATCTTTGTAAAAAATAAATGGGCAAATTGAAATACATAATAACAAACATGTATTATATTTCTTCTTTCGCAAACCACTTTTTATAAAATTTATGGTTTACAAAAAATTTATTTTAACCGCAATACACTTACATTTTTATAAATTTTTATTTAGGACAGTTATCATATTAAAAAAATTACGTAAAGGTCATTTAAGCCAGTCAAGAAAAATAGTAAAGAAAAAATGAAAAAGTTAAAAGTAAATTAATAATAATAAAATTTCTTGCTTTAAGATTTCAGCATAAAAATGCTTAAAATTTATTGTATAGTAGTAACGTAGATCATTGAATAATAATATATGTATGTATATGTATTAAAGCTCGTTTTAGGTATTCTCTCTCATTTTCTTCTTCTTTTTTTTAAATACAAAAAAGCTATAATTTTTTTGATATTGGAGAATTAATAATTTTTGTTAAACTATGAATCTCACGATTGAAGTATTTTAACTTTTCTTTCGTTTCAAAACAATGGGTGGTTGGTAAAACCGCTTATTGTGGTGGTAGTATAAAATTCATTCATTACTTTAATACTCACTATGATAACATGTAAGCTACAGTGAGATAAAACTTGATATTATATTGATCTATTGTTATAAAAACCGAATTCAATATAAAAAAAAATAATTTGTAATATTATATAAGCGATGTTACAATGAACATTACATTGATCTACATTTAGCTACATACGTATGTAGCTACACATGTATTTTTGATTTTTTTAAAATCTAATTAGTTTTTTTTTTACTTTATACTTCTATTAATTTAGCTTTAAGGAGATCTGATCTATTCTTGAATTAAACTTCGGCTTGAAGCAATCTAATACAGGAAATTTCAAACATAAATTTTAACTCAACAAAATTCACCTAAAAAATAACTCTAATATATCAATAATTCGGAAATTTGTCTAATTACCTAAGTTTTCTTTTCAAGACCTTGTACCATTTTACTATGAAATGAATTGAGATCAATTTATAATAATGCAATATAATGTACAAATATTCATATGGTCGACAATAAAATTAATATCTAGCCTATTAATATGTAGGTATGTATGTATATACATTAATAAAATGTATGTTCCTATTCAACTATATATATTTACCTACCTATGTACATATTTCTATTACATATTTTCATATATGCATATATTTAAATATATAGCAATTTATTTAAAGCAAAATCAGTTGTCAATCAGTTTATTTCAGTTTTTATAAATAAAATTAAAAAGCTTCAATTTAAATGCAGATTATGAAGCTATTAATACAAAAATCATTTTTATACTAAAAATTTTTTTTTAATTAAATGCGACAGGGTTTTTGAACTTTTTTCAACCTGAAGTCCTTGAAATATGTTTCCAAAAACTAATTTTCGACATATGACTTTTAAATTTTTCAAATCTAAATATGTATAAAATAAATAAAATATACAACAAATAAATGTTTGCTTTTAAAATTTTAAATTTCTAAAATCAATCATTTATTTATTAACTTACCGATTATTTGATTGATACTTTTTTAAATATGATTGAATGTCTTTTCTCACATTATAAACAAATTCTTCATCAAATAAGCTCATAAAATTTGCAGCCAGTTTGATGAAAATCGACCTATTCTGGTCGATTAAACTTTTTTAATTAAATATAAAATTTTTGCGAAAATTTTAAAAAATGTATTATATTTGTACCAACTTTATATAATTCTAAATTTTATTTTCATCTTAAAAATTCCACCATTCTAATTTTTAAGAACGTTCTTTATTTTTTTTTTAATTAATGCCCTCCTTTGTGACAATATTCTAGCTGTCACTTTAATATAGGTAGAGTTTCACATTAAATGGAATTATGAAGTATCATCCATTATTTTGAAACTTTTTTAAAGGCTACGTTTTTTAATATATTTTATTACCCAAAATAAAGCTGATTTCAAAATTGCGAACAAAGTATTAAAACTACAAATATAATCAGGCATTGATGCATTTTAAAATTTAGCAACGGCAAAAAAAAATACGCTTCAATGTCATTCAATTGTGGTAAACAAAATAATTTTTTAGAAAAAATTTTTGAGTTGTTAAAAAAATTTTTAAGTGCACCTTCGTTTCCTGATTACATATTGTTTTAATTTAAAAGATTTTTTAAAGCAGAATTTCGGGAAATTGAATACTTATCCTTGATTATATAATGATAAGTTAATGTACAAGAAAATGAAAATGCAATTAACCAAAATTATACAATTATTAATATAAATAAAAATGATATGGTTTACCATTTTTGTTCTTATATCTGGATTACAATTATATAGTATCATTCCAATTTGTATCCAGATTTTCATATCAAAATTTATTTCAATGATTTTTTCATTATATAAATTTTTATGAAATGTTCTTGATTTATTGTTGTTTTAGCAAAAGTAAATTTTGAATTATTAAATTTATATAATTTATAAAATCTAAAGTAGATATTTTTTTAATATTTATTTACACAACAAAAACCATTTTAAAACAAAATTAAACTAACTTCTTAATTAAAATTAAAGTAAATAAAAATATAAACAAACGCCAAAATTGAAAACAGAGAAAGAACGATTTTTCGCGCCGGAAACTAAATAATACAATAATAGAACGCATATTTAAATGGGACTGCCCACAATCAAAAGAAATTATCGACAGCGATGAAACCGTAAATTTTTATTTTATCGCTGGCGTTTTTTTTTGACATTATCTGTTCCGTGTGTGTACGATATTATACGCAACATGCTTGGCTCTGTTTTCACAGTAAATTAATACTGAATTCTAATTTCTATGTGAAGATTTCGTTAAAACGAATATTAATATTCGTATTTCGTATCGATTCGGTATGTACATTGTGCATTTTCTTAAGAAATAGCATTTTTTATTTTTTAATTCACATTCCACATTGGGAAAAGCAGGCATAATAATAAACGTAGCTTTTTGGAATTGTTATTTCAAATTAACGTCAAGTTTCAAATACACACGTATTAACGTTATGAAATATGTTTTCTGTCAGTTTTTAAAATGAATGAAAAACAAGATGAATGAAATATTTCTCATGAAAATTAAACATTATAAAAATCCTAAGAATAAATTATTTCTGTATATTGAGAACTTAATTTTTAAGCCTGTGATAATAATAGTTGCCGGTTTTATTAAAACATATCCCAGATGTGATTTTCTTCGTGGAAAAATGTTATATGACAAGTTTTTTCATTTTGTACATACGTAATTATATGACAGTATGTATGGTACATAAATAAATATAAAATAAATTAGATAGTGCTTTAGAATTTAAGCAAACTGAATTTAGCTGCGAAAATGCCTCAGGAATATCATGTAGTCAAATGCTTTAAATGTGAATTATTTCAAGTAAGAGAACAAGATTTTGTATTTAATGCATATGCATACATAAGTATATGGCAAAGTTGCAATTAAGATTTAACTAATTTTTTAAGGTAGATATGCTGAAAAAAACTAAGAAATGGATTTGTAAAGTATGTGGTGAAAAACAATCTTTAATGCAAGAATTTGGAAATGGAACTAGTAAGGAATGCCGTGAAATTGTTCAACGTTTAAATGCTAAAACAATCGATAATAAAACTTCAATATCTTTTAAAACTGAAATGGAAGGAGATTTTGAAAATCTAGTTTCCAAAAAGAATAAATGGAATAAGTTTGAGAATGATTGTGATTATTCGGAAAATGCAGATTTAAGGAATTTAGGCAATTTACAAAAATGGCCTCTTTTAAATATATTAAAAATTACGAATGAGGAAAAATTGAAATTAGAAGATGCAAGATTACAGAATATGAACATTGAATATAGAATGAAATGTCATCATTTTTCTGAAAATTCGAAAATGGAAGCAGAAAAAGTTTCATCTTCTATTCCACCTAAATCATCAGCTATTCAAGAGGGCAAAATAGTTTCAATTATTCAGGACATTCCGAGAAAATGTTTTCGAAAAAGCTTAAAACGAAATAGAACATTGGAGGAAATAGAGAATTTCTTAAATAGCGACTTAAGTGATGTGGAGAATGGCGCGGCAAATAATATATTAAAAAAATCAAAGTGGGAAAGTTTTGTGTAAGGGATGTGCGAACGCAAACAGCATTATTCTGCTTTCGTTCCTACATCTTAGAAGCAGAACTTTATACATATAACCCTAAGAGCAAAAACTGTAAATTAGGTATTTGTAAAAAACATATTGCATAGAAATAAAACTAAAACTGGGAAATTGGAAAATATTTCTTAAAAATCGCAGTTTTTGTTAAATGGGCTAAAACTCAGCTATAACTAAATTATCAAAAACACTCATCTGTGTGATGTAAAAGCTGTTGCTATGTTGTGATATTGAAAAGACTTGGTTTTTTAATATCCATATGCATATCCCATCGACCTGCATTCTATTTTATATTATATTCTTATTTTCTTTTATATTTTCTCACATATTCACTAGTGTATATCACTTCCTGATATTAATAAAGAATTAATGAAATTCTTAAAGTTTATAGCATTTTTTTTAACTTAAATGTATTTTCTAATTTTCGAACAAATTTTTTAATGTATATAAAAAGTTGATTCTGATACTCACATAGTTCTTTTATGGTGTAGTTTATAATTTGAATTTACTAACTTCATAAAATTTAATATAATTACTTTTTTTTCAGAGAAAAAATGTAAATTTTTATTAATTTTCCTTAATTTAAAGATAGATTTTAATGTAAAAATTTATTGCATTCTATCGCTTATGAATTGCAGTATATTACTTTAAATCAAAATTCTATCAAATACATATATACTATCAAATAATAAATTTTTTATTTATGAAAATGAAAAAAATAGAATTGATTTCAAATTGTTTAGGTAAAAATTAAAATCATCAACATATTCAAAGACGTATTAAATTAGAAGAATGCGTATGTATAAATCTTTATGGTTATCATATATCTCCGCGTTATAATAACAATCATTTAAATATTTTTATCAGATTTTGAATGCATATTTAAATTTTGTTTAATTTTTCAATTTATGTTGCCCAAATGTTTACTAACATAAAACATTAAGAAGTTTCTTTGTGATTGCGCTAAAGTGTCATTATTTTCACTGGTATCTTGTTGTTGGATTTGCGCAAAACATTTTGTTTTTTCATTATCAGAATCTTGATTCGTCAAATTATTTAAAAATCCCAATTCTCTATTAGTCTTTCTCAAAAAATTGTATAATGTTATGCATCCTAATGTGACTTTTTTAGCCATTTCATAGTCTAATTTGAATGGGTCCATTAAAATAGGAAACATATTTATTAAATTTGTTAAAGTTGAATCACCTTTATCCTTAATGAAATTAATTTTCGAATCAAAATGCATTTGTTCAGGGATTGTGCTTGCATCATCGCTTGAATCATAATTACTATCTGTACTGCCACTTTTAATAGTTCCAGTTTGATAAAGATTAAGACTCTCACTATGACAATATTGTTTCATCAAATAAGTTTTTAATGGCATTTTGTCTGTCGTGACAAAAAAACTAGGAAGCACTTTATTTTCATTTGGTATTTTATCATTGCATGGTAAATTTAAAGAGCCACTTTCAATACGTTCTTTAAGCAGAGATGATTCAAAAATAGTACGATCTTCCAAAAAACTTCTCTGACCAATATCAACATATATGAAATTCATGTAAGCATCAACAATTGCCATTAATATCATAGTTTTGTCATCCACATGTTTTGGATTATAACGAACATTGGGCTGTTTTGGTCTTTTAAAAAGAATATGCCGGGCTATTAAGGAACCCGTACAATTTGGCAGTTTTGACTCTTTTGTAAACCCCTGTGATATTTCACGCCACTCATCAGCGGTTTTTGGACTTTTTATGTAGTCGTTATGTAAAGTTTCGTAAATTGCTAGGCATATGTCTGTTATCATTGTTTGTATCACGTTTTGAGAGGCTTTGAAACAATAATGCTTACAGGAGTGAAACTCGCCTGAAATAATATTATTATTATTATCAAAATGAATACTGAATTGAAATTTTTTGAATTTTTAAAAAAATATTCTTAATATTTTTTAATTAAAATAAATAACATTGTTATATATTATATGGGGGGACCCCAGTACGCAAGTACTTATAAAAAAAATTACTTTAGAAAGTGAAATTAAAAAAAAATTAATACATACCAGTAGCTAGATATTTTAATGATATTGCTAATCTCTCCTCAGCACTAAAAGATTTTTTTTTCCTTTGTGGTTCTTTTTTTGTTATTATCGGCGCAAGTTTAACTACAAGGTATCTAAATTGTTTTTCAGTCATTTTAAAATAATCATTAAAATAATATATTTCATTTGCTTTTAATTCAGGCAGCAAATTTTCAGCTAACATAAATTGATTTTTTATCAGCCATTGTCTTGTCCAATCCATGCGACGTTTGCAAATATCGACTAGATTTCCTTGCCCATTAATGACAGTCGTATTTCTTGCGTATCCATTTATATTATTACCATTTGTTGTAGTAATGATTTTTCCATTATTTTTCAAAGGATTTTCATCTGTTTCACGTAATACGCCAATAACTTTTTTTTTAATAACAGGTACAGGTAATCTAATATGGCCATTAAGGTTTATATTCATTTTCTTCTAAATTTTTCGATAAGGTAATGTCGACTTTTTCAGCTGCTGGTTATTACGTATTTTTTTTTATATATATGTATGTACTTTTTTTCTTGTTAAAGCTTTTTAAGATATATCACATCAATTCTTACTTATAACATTTTTAAGTGAAAAATTTATTTCAAAATTGTCGAAATTTTTCAAGATGAATTATAAAAAGAGAAAAAAAGTAACCACTATCGGAAAAAGGGAAACGTAGAAAATGAAAACCAGATTTTAATTTCTTTTGTTTTTTTTTTTTAAATTTAAATTTATTACGAGTTGTCAAAAGTCCAGCTGACGACTAAAAAATTTGACAGCAGCATAAAAAGAACATACGATTAAATTTTAAAAATGAAAGGGATATAACTTCTACTGTGCTAAATCAATCGCATTGTTAATAAAGCGAGATCTTCAAACATCAGAACAGTAAGAGTAGTTTTGCAGTAATTTTTTTAAAACTATTAATCTGTCAAATTGTAATAATGAAAAAAAATCTTTAAGTTTAAGTTTCTTTTAAGACTTACAACTCAAATGTACGTAACAGGATTATAAAATTTTTGATTAATATATATGCATGTTTTATTTTTTAGATCATTTTTAAACACAATATGAACATATTGGGTTAGATAACTGGATCTATTAGGTTTTTTATTTTTCCTTTCCCTTAATAGGATGCAATTGAAGTTTATCTCCTGAAATAAGAAAAATTTCAAGAGGTAAAGAACAGATTCCTTGGGGCAAAATGATATTGGGTGCTATCTTTGATAATTCTTAATACGCGTAACATATATTCACATATATCGCTAACTATAGTCAAATAATGTTATCATCTCTTTTATAGTTAATATATAAAAAATTACTCTGAAAATTTTTAGAAATTAATAAGGTCAGTTTTAAAATAACTTGTTTGAAGAATAACGGAGTTGTTTTTTGACAACGTCAAACTTAAATATGTTAAAATTAATAAAATGGACTTGTCGAATAATTAAATAATATTTCTTGCTGAAAAAAAACACGCTCAATAGACAAAGTTTATTTTTGCTTCATAAGATAGCGATTGTTAGGTCTTTAAAAACGCCGTTTATATTGTCCAAGCATTATATAATAAAATAAAACAGCGCATATAGCTTCTTCCAATTTAAATAAAAACTGTAAAGCAAAACTTAAATTTAAAAAAAAGGGTTTTCACATCCCTGATTTTCAGACAGTATAAGCTTTTTAAAAGTAAAAAATGTCACAAACATATGTGAAAATTTCAATTTGATTAATTGAAAGTCTGCATATATGCAGTGGCTTGTGATATTTGGGAATTTGGTTAAATTCGGATTTCGATATACAAATATATTTTAGGAGAAAAATGTTTAATGATTGTATACCGATAAAAGGTTAGTGCAATTGAAAATAAATTCTTTGAAATAAAAAAGTGCAAAACTGAGTCCTTTTAGATATAAAACCGGGTCTAAAAAATATAAACGTTGTGTTTATAGTACTTGAAGTAGGAGCACCCACATTAACAAAAGAGAATCGGGAAGTAAGAAATTTCAAAGTGGCAGACCAAACAGCTTCTATAAATGTTTCAGTGTGGGATGAACCTGGAAAGTTACTTGTACCGGGAGATATAGTGAGGCTAACCAAAGGTTACGCTTCCGTTTGGCGGCAATGTCTAACATTATATTCAGGCAAAAATGGTGAGATTTTAAAAATAGGAGAATTTTGTATGACTTTTAACGAACAATTGAACATGAGTGAACCAAAACGTTCAGAAATACCAGGAACAATCCCTAATGTTATGGGTGCTGCACAAATGCCTGGTACCCCGATGGTTATCAACAACAACAATAACGGTTCTTCTAATAATGGAAACTCTGTGATGCAAAGGAGTTCTTTGACTACTGTTCCATCCACTTCAAATAACACACAAATAAATTCAGTAACTTCAATAACTGGACAAACAAAATTAGGGTCTCAAATAACACCACCTTCAGCATCATCATTATCATCATCATCGTTGGCTTCCACGACTTCACAAACCTCGTCAAGATTACAGACAAATTCTGTATCTAACGAGCCATCAAAACCATCACAACAACAGCAGTCGCAAACTATTAATCAAGGGAAAGCAAATAGAAGTGTGAGGACTCAACAAAATCGTTCTAATATCAAAGCGTCAGAGAGGAGGTAATTTTAAGTTGTAGAATAATAATAAAAAATGTATTTGAAAAAAAAAATGATTGTTATGTTAAGGTGGTTAGGTATGATATAAAAGAAAAAAATAGTAATTAATTAAAATTAAATATGTAATTTTTTATATCAATACGTAGCAAATAAGTACACTGTTTTAAAATAAATTTTATTAAAAAAATCAAATGTATTGAAATTTAAAAATTTGATGACACATCTCTTTGAACATTGTACATAAATTAGCAATTTTTAATTCATATATAAAGTTCTTTTTAATATTGGAGTTCTAACCAAAAAAATAAACGACTCTGTTTTTTCTTAAATTTCAATTTTAAGAAACGCCGGAAAGTCGTAAGAATAATTTGTTTCTTAAATTTCAATCCAATATATAATGTAATTGAACCTAAGGAAATTTTTACGGAACAAGTAAAATTTGAAGTCCTAGAATATAATAAATGCTAACTAAAAAAATATTTTAATTCTGCACGATAGTATAGATTTCATGTTAGTAATACTTTGCATTAAAAGTTCGGATGGGTGCAAAATTGTAAAATATAAAAGACCTTCATTTGAAATTTTTCAAATTTTCGTGTTTATTCAATTACAATTAAAAATTATAAATAAATTATTATACCACGTTGCGAATATTATAAAAAACAATTGGGCAAGGAAATTTTCATTTAAATTATTATAACTAGCCAATAAAAAATGATAGTCACTGAAATTGTGGAACTACATGGAAATTCAAAACTACGATTTTGTTTCACAATGATCAATATTGATAAACATGGGAAAATGTAATACGGGATATTTTTTATTTTGAAATTCATCCTTTCTTAATACTAAGATGGGAATGATTATATTCGGATATGCATATGCTTGTGTGTATATGCAGCAGATTATATAAGCAATAATTCTTATAAAGAATGTTTGCTTTAGTTAAAAAATGACTATATGTAAGAATGTACATAGTACATATTATTTATTACAAATATAAAAAAGTCATTACATTTAGCCATCTCATATCACACCCAATCTTGCAGGATTTTCGATTTCAAAATTCCAGTAACACAGTGTTCATACACAATTCGATTTAAAATTCCTAATTGCTGATACTGTTATTTAGTTATACAATATTACTATAATTTTGAACATTTAAAAACTTGGTCCATTAAGACGCGACAAGGAATAACGTTAAACTCATATATGCACCTACTCCGATATTTTACATGTCGCATGAATGATATATACCTATTCTGTAAAGTTGGGTTCGTTACTTTGTTGAACAATACACTATAAACTGTGAAAATGACAATTTCGATTTAAACTTTAAGCAGAATTCAAATATAAATGTAATGAAACAGTTAATCAACTTTAGTGCTATGCCTAAAGGAGCGCGATATGCGATTGTCAAAAATATTTGGGCCTATTTACACGTGTATGCGTTGAGCATACTCTTTTTTTATACTTGTCACACTCTCAGATAAAAATAAAGTTTATAAGTAGGTAAACGCTGCATACCCATTTTAAAAAAAAATATGTAAATCCATTGACGAGACAAAAATTAAAAAATAATTCAGTTAAGTTTCAATTTAAAAATTTAAGTTTTTGTTTATAAATCAAAACCAAATATACATATATTTTATATTTAACTATATTAATAGATATGTATCTAATATTATATTCATAAATTCGCATGTTCACGAGAAATGCTTACTAAACGTAAAGCAAGGGATATTTCATCATTTCAGTTCGCTACTAACTCTAAGCTCCCGCTAATAATTTGAAGTGCAATTGGGGCCTAAAGTGAGTTTTACGAATTTGAAAGAACGGTGATGTCACTAAAATACCTAAAGGTACCTTCATCATATACGACCATATCCTAGATTAAATATACGGTAATGATAAAATTTACGTCAAATATAATAAATATTTTTTGCATTTATATCAAAATTATAATCAAAATAAAGATCAGCGGATCGCTGCTCAAAAATCTTACAAAAAATTAATTTTCGCCATTTCACTTTTAGAAAATCTAAGACTAAATCTGGTGATAATAACATAATTTTTCTTATTTGCAGCCGTATATGATTTGACAAAGTGTTTTCACGTTTTGACGACGTGCATCAGACTCAGATTAAATCTTCGATTTCATCGTATATGTAAACAGCATCTAATATGTAAACGGCCAAATTTTTATGAATGACATAAAATAAGCCATATGTGACATATCTACATACATTTAACCATTATTTTCAAGTTTGTTGACATTAATTTGATTCGCAATAATTTCAAGCATAATATTGGTATGTAAATAATAAATATTGATTATTTAGTTTATCAAAGAATGAATAGATTTAATAATAAGTTAATAAAACGTCAATTGCTTTTATTTGATATTTTATCGATCAGCTGGTAAAAGTCGAAAATATTTAACTTTTATGGCCGGTGTCACTACAAATAAACCAAGTAGCTTTAAAGTTTTCGAAAACTTAATTTTCGAGTGTAATTGCAATCGTTTAAATGTAATCACGCTGCAAACAATGGTTTGAAATTTTGGATTTGTATTTACGAATAGTCACACATTTATATACATATATATATGTATATGATTTTGACATTAGATTTTTGAAGGAATTAAAAATTAAATCAAAAATTATTTCGATGCGTGAATACTCCACGAGGACAATTTTAATTTTTTATTCGTTTTTTTTTTATGTAAATTTATAAATGACCATTAAAGTATTATGTTATACAATATTAATATAAAAAAAATACAAATGTGTTGATAATGATATAAATATTTCCGTTTTTATATAATTTTTGGGGATTTTTCCTCAAGATAAAAAATGTGAAAAAAATTATAATTATTATAAGTGATAGTCTACTGAACAATATTAGAAAAGAAAAATTCATACATAATATAAAAATGGCATCAACGAGCAATTCCGATTCGGTTCCTTTAATTAACAACGATAATACTGTTTCTTATTTAAGAAAAGTTGGAAGTGCTGCTTTTTATGGAGTATCATCATTTATGATTACAGTAGTCAATAAGACTGTGTTAACTTCATATAGTTTTCCATCATTTTTGTTCCTCAGTTTAGGTCAAATGATAGCCAGCATATTAGTGTTATATATTGGCCGGAAAATTCGTCTAGTTTCATTTCCAAATTTTAGTAAGGATTCATTTACAAAAATATTTCCTTTGCCCTTAATATATCTTGGAAATATGATGTTCGGGCTAGGTGGTACACAGGCTTTAAGTTTACCAATGTTTGCTGCATTACGAAGATTCTCGATATTAATGACAATGCTGTTAGAATTAAAAATTTTAGGTGTACGCCCAACATTTGCAGTTCAAGTTAGTGTATATGCTATGATCGGTGGAGCGTTGTTAGCAGCAAGTGATGATCTATCATTTAATATGCATGGATATATTTTTGTTATGATTACTAATGCTCTAACAGCAGCAAATGGTGTTTATTCAAAAAAAAAATTAGAAGCAAATGAAATGGGTAAATATGGCTTAATGTTTTATAATTCATTATTTATGATTTTACCAGCAACAATTGGAACATATTTAATTGGAGATTTGAAAAAAGCAATTGAATATCCACAATGGAATGAACCATTCTTTGTAATACAATTTTTGTTATCCTGTGTTATGGGTTTCATATTATCGTATAGTACAATATTATGTACCCATTATAATTCAGCATTGACAACAACAATAGTTGGTTGCTTAAAAAACATTTGTGTAACATATTTAGGAATGTTCATTGGTGGTGATTATGTTTTTTCATGGTTAAATTGTATTGGTATAAATATAAGTGTTTTCGGTAGTTTATTATACACATATGTTACATTTAGAAGAAAACAAGCGCCTGATAAGAATATTAGAAATGATAAGATTGAGTCGGTATAGCAAAAAAAGTTATTAGCTACATTTTTCTTTTTTTAAAAAATTACTCATTTGAACAAAAAGAACAAATTTTTTTATATATTTAAGTGAAATTATAATGTTTAGTATTAAAGAAGTAAAACTTGTAAATAACATGTAAAATGAGAAAACTGTATATTTGATAACTTTTTAAACAATATTAATATTAAAAATGTAATTTTTAGGAAATAAGTAGGTAAATATCTACCTAACCACATGTAATTGTAAAAAAAGAAAATTTGCCATTATTTATTTTAAAAACTGTATTTATATTAATATTGATATTTTTTAACTAGTCAATAGAATGGTCAGAAATTTTTGAATTTTAATTAGGTACAATGATTTTATCTCAGTACCAAGTTACTTAAAATTCTGAAAATATTGTCGTATGACAAACATGTTTGTTTTAAAAAAATCCACCGTTTGTATTTTTAATACTTCATTTTTTATAATTTTTTTTTTTATTTTTCTTCTCCTGATACTTGCCGTCAATCTTTTGACCAAAAAATACTGAAAATACAAATTTTTCATCGATCAAAAAATTGTAACTATTGTAATAAAATGGTTTAGGTACATTTTCACAGAAATAAAAATTAAATTGTAATAATACTTATTTTAAAACAATGACTTGTAAATTTTAGATCTTGATTAAATTCACCAACTTTAAGTCTTAAATGATAAATATGTAATTCATTTCTTTTAATGTCAAATCTAAAAGTTATTAAAATCAGTTTTCTTTAATTAAAAGCATATAAAAACAACTATAAAGTATGTAAACATACCAAAGTTATTTAATTTAATGAAAAACCATTTTAAATAATAAATAAAAACTATCAATTGTTAATAATTTTAGAATTAAGTTTCTACATTAATATTTTTTTTAAATAAAAAAAAAATAATATTAATTTTTAATTAGTTTATTATTATTTTGATTTATAATCAAAGGCTGTTTTAAAAATTACTTAATCTTACTATAAATCTTAAAAGCTGTTTTTTGATTTCCCTTAATTTTATCTTAAAAAGAACATTCGCCAAAAATTATTTATATTAAAAATATAATATTGCAAATAAATAACTTTAATTTTACTATTTACTTCGAATCTTATTAATATATGCACATGCATTAAAATAGTGTTAAGAAAACTGAAAATTATTTTGAAAATACTCGGATCGAATTTTATTTTTAGCAGAAAATATTAATATAATTTTAAGTATTATAAAATGCTTTATTATATTGTCAAAATATGCATATGTAATTATTTTAAATTTAAATGATTTTATTGAAAATCACAATAAATTTACAATACAACTTTATTTTGTTTTAATATCTTTTAATAAATATGTTGTTAATGAATTCTTTAACTATTCGAATAAGTATTTTCTCGAATTTTGTTTTAAATAAAATAAAATAAATTAATTGTATAAACTTTATAATCATTTTAGAATAAAAGTCTATTTTAAATGCCTAATTTTTCATAATAAAACAAAACTTAAAACAAAAGTAATAAAATAATTTACAATGAATGATTTTAAGAATTTGTTAAAAATCAATTTATTAAAATATTTAATTCATTTTTTTAGAAAATTTTAATAAGAAACAAAAAAATCCGAAACAGCTTTTTTGATTTTCTATTAACACAGATATGTAATTAAATGGATACGCATTTATGAAAAAAAAAAAAAAATCTCCATTAAGAAATTTTCAATTTTGTTAATTTTTTTTTAGTTAATGAAGTAACAATTCTATTTAAATTAAAACCATGTAAATATATTAAATATTTACAATTGTAAATATATCAAATATATTATATAATTAAGTCGATTTTAATTAATCATATTATGTTATCAAATTAAGAACAAAACAAAAAAATTGAATGTGTATCTTAAATAATTCTAGAGAAATAAATAAAAAAAAAATATTTAAAAAAAAGTATTCATTTTGTTATTTTTGTTAATTGTGATAAAATATTGTAGAATCACGTCCATAATTTATTGTAATCTATATATTTCATTATGGTATTTATTGAAAACTAATTACTACTAGAATTTAAAATATACTATGTATACTTGCTTTATTAAAGCAGATCCATTACAAGTTTTTTAATAGCATTTTAATGTCTTGTAATGAATTTAAAGCTTTATATTTAAGTTACTAAGTCTATTTTTTAAGAAGAAGTTTCTTTTTTCAATTAATTTTTATTTAATTTACTAAATATGCTGTTGCATATAATGTACGAGAAAATTTCTTAAACATATTATAGAATTTTTAGTATTTTATAACATTAAAATACGAATTATTTTTAATGTCGTTCATTTTTATGCAGTATAAATGCATCGCAATTCATTAAAACTTTTAAAAATAAGTCTAATGCTCATACAATAAAGAAAGTATGAGTTCCAAACCAAATAACTTAGCTAAGTCCAAAATGATAAACAAATTTTTACGTTTAATAAAACCTTATTTATGCGGTAGATATTTTTAGAATAAATGTGTTTATTGCTCAATTATTTTTTTTGCTACATAATGTACATTGTATAATTTTTGACTTACAACGAAATACATAGACTTATATAATATTGTTTATTTTAAAAAAAGTTCTTTAACTACACATTTTGTTCTTTGATCATACTAAACAGACCTGTGTAAATTCTTAACAAGAAGTTTTATTTACACAATAATATTCACATTTATGTATGTACATTATTAACTAGCAGAAAAAATGAGGATGTACATATGTTTATACACCATACATTTAATAAATATTTTAACCTTGATTTTTTTTTTATCTAAAGGCAAAACAAAATTGAAATAAACTGAAATCTCCTCATTGATTAAGAAAATGATTTGTAATATAAGATTTAAAAAACTTGAAAAAAAAATTTAAAATAAATCAAAAGATATTTTAGATCTTCGACAACTCGGAAGTTAATTTTTTTTTTTCAAAAAAAAATTTAATAGTTTTTATAAAATGTGGTTTCTTACACAACATAAATTATTATTTATGCTAATAATATTTTCAAAATAAATTTGTAAAATTTTCATAGTTATGAAAATTTTCATAGTAAAATTTTATGAGTACCATATAAAGCTAATTTAATTTTTAAAAATATAATTGAAAATTAGTTTGACAAGTTATTTCTCTTAGATACTTGATACCCGTATTTCCCTTAGGATGCATACATGAATGCAAATGAAAAGCCGAATTTCCCCGGAAAATGAAAAATTTACTAAGTTTTCGCTATATGATTTTTTGCGCTGGAAAAGCCTACCTTAAAATAGTTCTTTCATTCTAAAAAAAAAGAATCATGCATCAAAGAACTAATAATTAGCTGTATCATTAATTTTCGGAAAAGAAAATTGCAAATTTTGTGAGCATAAATTAAATCATAAATCAACATAATTCAAATCAGATTTTATGAATATGTTTAAGCAGAGTTGTTGCGTGTAAAGTAAACAGCTTCTAACACGCCTCCAATCATATTCTCCAAATCTAATTTTGTAATGTACATTCAATATTACAAAAATATAAATAAAAAGAAAATGAGTTTCTGCTTTAAGAGCATTTTCTTGCCGAAGATTTCTTGACATGTAATATTGTAAGGAAATAACAAAAATTCGAGTTTTGCAATATACAAATGTAAATTTAAATTACCACCGACGTCAGATACATTTGCAGAGTATTTTTCAGTCCATCCTATTAATATATTGAATAGTGCATTATAAACGCATCGATCCATATAGATTGAGTCGCTCTTTAAAACAAAAATGCATATTACAATTTAATACTCGTAAACAAGTGAAAATAAACGAAAAAAAATGTTGTGCACTGTATATCTGGTATTGAATATACAATTACATTAAAATTTTGTATACATTAAAGTTTTCGCTTATGTACTTACGACTTTATGATTCACTAATTAATTATAGAATTTATTAATTAACTTTTATGATTTGGATGTTAAAAGGTAGATTATTTTTTGCATTGCTTATACAATATGTATATTATATACACATGTATATATACATATATTAATGTAAGTATTCTCATTATAATAAAAAAAAATTATGATTGAAAACGTCTTCACTAATGATGTAGCGAATAAAAATTGATTCAAGGTTAATTTATTTACTTATGTACGTAGTCATTTATTTCCATTGGTATTTATTTGCAAACATAATATAAAAACAATTTTGGGTTTTCTTATATATACTTACATACATACATATTTTAAATTTAACACCATATTTCGAGTTCATACTTATGAAGAGATGATAATTACAATAATTCTATTATTATATCTATATAATAAATCTACAGAAGAATTATTATTTATAAATTGGTAACTAAATGAGGCAGGTTTATAAGTAGTTCGGCTTAAAAATCATATTCGCGTGTCTTATGTTCATATTTATTTTATTTACGTGGATATAGGATTATTATTATCCAAAATTAATACAAGTTTTTTTTTATAGTTTGAAGCTATCTTACGAGAATTTGAATTGAAATTAAATTTCGAATCTATAATTTGCTCTTCTGAATAAATTGCAAATTGTGAGTTATTATAGTTCTACTCTAGACAGGTGAAATACATATATGTATATACAAACGTATATCTGAAACATAGTTAATTAAGTGGTGAGTACCATAGATAAAAATCGGTAAACGAGATTGTGATAATAAAAAAAATTCAAATTTAATAAATTTAATGACAATTTTTTTTTATCATAAATTATTATTTTATATCAGACAAACATTTTATAAACATATAAAATATTAAATGTCACAAATAGATGCACAAATATTTAATAATTGGTTATACATTTTTATACTATTAAGCGATGAAACACTGGACATTTCATAAATTTACGTATGTGTGTACATATTGTGTAATGGCATTTCAATTCCCAAATAATGTACTTACATATTTATGCACTAAGATCTTTAATTCGAAAAGCAAGCATGTGTAACCAAAAATTGTTTAAACGCTTTAATAATTTGTCCTTTAGGTTTTACTTTAATAAATAAAAAACTCTTTACTATTGATTCTAATTTGCAATTAAATTTTTTCTCTTTTTATATTTTAGTTAATGTAAACACAAAATAAAAGTGCTTACAATGATTAATAAAATTTTTAAAGTTTCAAGAACATCTCAATTACCAGCGTTGCTTGGCACCATTCAAAGAATAAATTCAAATCATATATTTAATTCAAAAATTAGTTATTTATCTTCTCAGTTGAAAAATAAGCAAAATTTGGATGAATCAGCTGAAAATAACGAAAATTCTGAAGATATTCATAAAGAAGATGACTTATTTGCTAAGGAATTTCTTAAGAGGCAAATAAAATTGTCATCAACTCAAAAATATATTTTAAGTTTTGGATCATCTTTAGCAGCCTTAATAGATCCGACGCGGTATTTTAATAAAACAAAATAACATTTTGTATCTTACATTATATAACATGTTTTATAATTTTAAAGACATGATATGATCGCTTGCCTTGGTGAAACAACTGGTGTATCAGCGTTGCAAACTATTTATGAAAATATGAATTCTTCTACTGAAGGAAAACTCATTTTAATAGATAAACCAAGAATTAATACAAAAACTGTTAATTTAAGTGAATTGAAAAACTTAGCCGAGAATACATTTGGTAGAAATTATATAAAATTTTTGGATGATAATGTAAGTTTATAATTAAAATAAAAACACTTGAATAACTTTTTGTTTTAGAAAGTAACGCCTGATTCACGCATGGATGTACGATTTATGGATGATCCAGAATTAGCTTATATTATGACAAGATACCGAGAATGTCATGATTTAATTCATACAATTTTGGGAATGCCAACGAATATGTTAGGAGAAGTAGCTGTTAAATGGGTTGAAGCCTTGAATACTGGTTTGCCAATGTGCTACGGTGGTGCTGTATTTGGTGCTATACGTCTAAGACCAAAGTAAAAAAAATTTACTGCACAAAAACATTTTAGTTTAGTTTTTACTTGTTATAAATTTCAGACAAAGGCAAAAATATTTAAGTGTATATTTACCATGGGCGATCTCTAATGGAAAACGATTAAAACCTTTACTAAATGTATATTGGGAGAAAAGATGGGAACAGGATATTGCTGAGTTAAGAAAAGAATTAGGAATACAAGTTTTATAAAGCTATGCAAAATTTTCAAATAAATATTGTTTTATAATTTACGAAATAAATTTATTTTTAAATTTAATTTTTACCAACTAAAATAAAAGTATTAAAAACAAAAAGCATTAAATGGAAAGTTTTTATATTTATACAAATCAACTTTTTGAGTTATTCAATAAAATTTGCTTATCTAAATACTTCAACGTTTATCTAATTAATATCTTTGAGATAGTGGAACTTTTATAGTACAATGCGTTAAAACGATTTATTATTATTATAATAAAGAAAATTAAATCAAAACTATTAAAATTATAATTGATATTAATTATATTCCTACATTATTTTTTTAATTTTGACAATTGATACACTAAATTTTTGTTAAATAAAGTGCAAACTTACAAAATTCCATATACTTACATAGTTAGTTGAGAGCTCGGTTACGTTTTTCTTAGTTATAAATGTACATACATAAATTTTTGCATCATAATATTATTTGTCAACGACTTCCTTTTCATTTTTTGAACTAATATGATCTGAATAATTCGTATGATCATTTTCATTTAACTGTAGATCATCAGATGAAGGTGATAACCCTACTTTTTCCATTAATTCTGTAAGTTTCTTCGCTTTACGATCTTCATTGTGTGTTATAACCGTACATAAATGCTCTGTTAATAATTCCTTTTTTTCTGATGCGTTATGCAAATCTAATTTGGCTTTAAGAAACATTTGTTCTACCTTATTATAATGTTTTCTTAAAAAATAAAATAAAAACATAAATAAAATTTTACAGCTTAATATGAGATACAAGTTTACAAGCTTACTCAATATTGGCATAATTAATGCATGCAGTTTCAATTTGTTTTCTTAAAATTGCTACGTCAGCCGCTAAATCTTGATCTAGTTTAGCTAATTCATTTTTTATTTCTTCAATTTTTTTGGCTTCTGCAGCAGTTTTTTGAGAACTAAAATGTAAAAATTATTGTGAAACATTAAAAAAGAAAAGTAAGTATGTATTACTGTTTTTCAATAGCTTTGTATAGTATATCTTTCTTGATTTTGTTTTGCTCTTCTCGAAATTTTCTATGGGCTTCAAAATCTTTTAAAGAAACTCCACGAAATGGAGACATTTGTGGTAATTTTGTTTCTTTTTGCGTAACAGAATGAATGTAATCTGAATCATTGATTGACAAATTTTTATTTTCATGTTGGCTCAGATGAATAATAGAGTCATTTTCAGTACTTTCAGCTTCACTTTGAAGATCGGTATTTTTTTTTGTTTCTACAATTTTTTCTGTTTTCATAGATAAAGGTCGAAAATGTGCTGCTTCTTGAAGTTTAGTTATACTTTCGTCCGATATTTTTTTATCATAATCAATTGCACTAGTTCCGGAGATTTGAACTGATGATAATTTCATCTTTACACCATTTTCATTATTTTTACTATTTTTTTGATTAACAATTTGATTTTGGTTCTGTGAGGAAGTTGATGTAATCATTTTATCTGGAACTCTTCTTATTCCTCGGCCAACACCTAAAGATTTTGCTGCAAATACTACGAAATAATATTGTAAAAATAGCATAGAACTTTTAGAGCTTTTATGTTTTTTTTTTTTGCTTACATCCTCCTTTTTTAGGTTTTCCATTAATTTTATTAATTTCCTCTTGGCTGAAACCATCAAATTTAGTGGACATAATTGCAAATTTAAAACAATATAGAATTTTTTGAAATTAAGTTTTTATTCCATTTATTTTTTATATAATGAAAAATGTAATAAATTTCTAGATTAAACGATTTGATGTTTTTTTGTTAATCTGTTTCTGTTCTGTTTATTTATGAGTACACATCGCCAAAAACGATCATATTATGCAGATTTTAAGCAAATGTCAAAGTCATGCAGAGTTAAGTGTCTGCTGATTATTGCAATAAAAACAAGTTTTAAGACAAATTAATTTTCGAAAAAATTCAAAATGTTAAATTTTAATTTTTCTTTTCAATTTTTTAATTATAATTTTTCTCAGCTTATCTTTTTGAACATTTTAAAAATTTTAATTTAAAATTCTTTTTGAATATTTTAAAAACTTTAATTTTAAGAAATTTTAAATACATATAAATGTAGTTCTAGAGGTGTTGGGCGTCCCAAAAATACATGGCGCAGAACCGTCGACAAAGAAACAAGTTACACATGGGCAGAAATCAAGAACATGGCCCACAACAGAGTGCGATGGCGAAGCTTTGTAGCGGCCCTATGCTCCCGCGAGGAGTGAAGAAGGAAAAAAAAAATAAATGTAGTTCTATTCTAATTCCATAAAAATTCCATAAGAATAACTATGTACGTACATAATTCGTTTTTGTTTAATTCAAATAGTTCATTATCTGACACAAGATGAAGCTGCTATCATTTAGACCAATTACAAGTTTGATCGTTTGACATTAGTGGTATAAATTTTTGCAGAAAATTTATGGGAACTGCACAACATACAAACGATTAATTTTAATGGTCTGCCATGTATTTTAGTGGGAATAATTGTTGGAATTAAGCGTCAATCGAGCGAACTATCAATTTCGAAAACTGAATTTTTTTTGGACTAAGTGATAGTGACATCTAGTGAGTTATGAAAGAGTTTTTATATTTTAATCTTTATTTAATTTTTAATTTTATAAACGTAAACAGGTGTCTCTGAACTTCAAAATCAAAATTTTGAATTAGGTACTCTGACATCTAGTTGATTGATTCATTCAGATTTGAAATTTTTGATTGGTAGTGAAATTTGAATAAATTTGAAAACTATTTTCAGGAAAAGATTTTAGTTAAAATTCTATAAAACAAAAACCGCAATAAAATTTGTAATTACAGTCTATGTACATACATACTTACTTAGGTAATTACATATAATTCTTCCCATTTAACACAGCACTTTTTAGGAATTTCCGATTTTTCTATATTCATATTAACTATTAACACAGGGAAAAAATTAATATGACCTTCCATATTCATAAAATTACATGTAATTGTATAAGATTTTGATTAATTCCGCTAAAAATTTTCATTTGAAATTTATTTATTTATTAAACTAAATTGAAAATATTTTAATGTAATCAATATGAAGTTCTGATTCTTCATCTGTATCACTTAACCAGTCATCCCGATTCTCCATTCTTTTCCAAAATTTCGAATTCGATTGAGGATTAAAATTTTTCCATGGTTTATTTAACATTTCATCATCAAAATCATGATGTCCGCCAATTCCATAACCTATTCTAATATGAAAATCTTTATCAAATGGAGCTATATTGCTACCTTTACTTAATTGATAAGCATTTGGTAAAACTTTATTTCCAATTTTTAAAGAATGAAATCCATTTTCACCTGGAATAATATTACAATATTCATCATTATCAATTAATAATCTAATAGAATAATTTTTCCATTCTAATGTATACAAATGAAAATCTTTTGTCCAATTATCAGTATAAGAACAAATTTTTGAACAAAATTTATATGTTCTTAATGGTTCTTTAGATCCTAATATAAGACCACCATTTACAATACATGGATTATTGCCTTGCATAAAAGCAATTCTCATTTGACCAGAACGATAATCATTTTGACCATAGCTATATGTTGTTGGTTGTAACCATAATTGAGGAAATACCCAATCACCTTTTGGTAATTTAGCACGTATTTCAATTTTACCATATTTAAAATTAAAATTATTAATTGTACTAATTTGTGCTGATACCATTGGTGGTAAAATATCATAATAATGTTGATTTCTAAAACAATCATCTGTATTATATTCACCTGTACAACTAAATCCAAAATTAAAATTAAATTTTAATGTTGATATATCTTTATTATTTAAATGATTTACTAATTTTATTGGTTTAATTTTCAATATACCATTTTGTAATTTTAATGCAGATGAATTTTGATGATACAATACAAATTCATAATCTGGTTCACTACTAAATCTATGTTCTAATTTCCATACAGATGAATTTAAAATGTTATTATTGAAATTTTCTTCAAATATTAATTGATTTTTACATTGAACTTGTAATCCATTTACAATTGTTATAGATTCATCACATTGCAGATTTTCACATTTATCAATTGGAAAATAAATTGGTCTATATTTTGTTTTTGTAGTTCTTTGTATTGGTATCGGTGTTGTTGTTGAAATTGTTGCTGATGATAATTCATTTTCAATATTTGAATATTTTTTTACAATATATACACCATTATCTTCACGATAACCTAAACCATTATGTAAGGCATAAGTCCAATAATATAAGATGTCACCAATTTTAATTGATGTTATTCTATCTCTAAATGTAAAACGTCCATTTTTAGCTTTTGTAATATCTTTTGACCAATATCCTGCTTCTAATCCTTCCATTTCTTCATTAAGTTTACCATGAAAAGCAAATAATGTAACACCATCATCAGCTGGAATTGATACTTCAAATCCTTTTGGATAAAAGATTTCAATTCTTGCTTTTGGTATCTCATACATTTTAATATTTTTAAAAAAATATATAAAAAATATTAAAATTAATTTATTATTAATAAACATTTTAATTAACGATTTCTTTACGTAAAATCCTAACTCAAACTAAATCAATATATAAAATTTTTAATCTCAACTTTCGAGATAAAAATCATCGTTTGCAAAACAAAAATGCTCAATGAAAAACAAAACAAAAAACATTTCTAAAATTTTACAAAAAGGAATTGGAAAAAAAAAAATTAGAAAATATTCCAAGGTAAGTTTATGACACATTCAAAATTTTAATAAAAATTCCAAGTTGTAAGAATTTAAGATTTCAGTTGTGCTTCCTAAAACTCAAATGTTTATTAACAGCGATTTACAATTTATTACCCTGGTAGCATGTTTCTCCTCCAACGAACGTTTTTAAAAGTTATTGCCATGAAATAGGGTCTACATAATAAATACGTTTTATTTACATGTGCAAACTATTCATGAGTAGTCAAAACTGACCACAAGTACACCACCTCGAACAAATGAATAGATGATCAGTGCAGACTGCAGTGCAAATTAATTATATAATAAGAACATTCTGTATGAAACTGACACCGTTATATGTTCATATTAAATTTCATTTAAAAAAAAATTATTGAAGGAAACTAAATGCAAATGTTTTGAAGTTTTATTTTTATACCGTTAATTAGGGATTCAAGAAACATAAAAAATATTATTCATTCAATATTGAAATAAAAAGAAAAATTTTCGTTATTAAATTTTGTTTTAAGACGTCGTAGTTTTAAAATTGTTTAGAATCCGGTTATGTTTCTCGCCTTTTTACTCGCCGGACGAGAAGAACATGAGTATTTATCATATCTATGTATATCAGAAGAATTTATGTATATGAAATTTAGTCACATTCACTTCGTTATTCGTATACCAAGTTCAGGTAATTATTTTGGGAAAAATTGGTAAAATCTAATTGAAACAAGTAAAAGAATTAATTTTGGGACTTGCCAAATTTTAACACCCTCTATTATAATATACAAATTGAATACCCGGCAAAAATTATAGTCGGCTATTAATAGCGTATGTATTAGTATATTTTAGTTTTATTGACTTATTTTTTGCCTAAAACCCTGTTAATCTTAGTTGCTGAATTCATTATGTTACCCATAGATTTTTTTTATCCTTATCTTGCATATTACGGGGGTGTATGCGTGTTTTTTTCTCATATCACAGTTTTGCCGAAATAGTAGGAATAAATTAAAAATTTCTGAAATCTGCATGCAAAATCTGCTTTACAAGGAAGAGTATCTGTATCTTTTATTAACAGGATAAAAATCGCGTTTTAGAAAAATGTTTGGTGTTTCACACTTACCTTATTTACAAACAATCAAAATACTTCAAAGACTTTTTAAGAGAATTTTTATTTAATTTCATTTTTATAAATTTCCATTTCTAATTTCAGAGAGGCATTTTATACATTCTAAAACAGTTTAGCTTGCAAAATTATTTCATCCCATTCGACGGCAAAATATCAATGATTATTTTGAATAGAAACGTCAGTTTGATGATAAGATATTTAACAGGGAAATCCGAGCTTTTGAATATGTATTTTACTATAATATATAGAATGGGTATATATAGTATCACATTACGATTTCGTATAGAAAGCTATTATATTTCAAGATAATATAAATTCTAAAATATAATAGCAAACAATATTGAATTTTGTTTTGTGAGATTATGAGATGCTTTCAATTTTCGTGAACGTAATTTGTTTTTAAAATTATAAATAATATGTTTTATAAATATTTCTTATTAGACTTATTTCTTCTTCTAAATTGAAAAAACTCTTATATAATCAATTTGAAATTCAGAAGCATCATCTTTTAACCATTCATGCCTTTTAATCATAGTTTTCCAAAAATTTAATATTGCTTTAACATCACCATTTCGCCATGGTTTATTTAAAATATTATCGGGAAAATCAGCAAATCCACCGACACCATAACCTAAAGTTATATAAAATTGTTTATCAAATGGTGCAATTTTTGTACCTTTCGAAAGATGTTCAATATTTGGTAATTCTTTATTTTGAATTTTTAATAAATGAAATCCTAATTGTGGTTCTATTAAACAATATTGATTACCATCAACTGATAATGTAATTTTATCTGATTGCCAATTTAATGAATATATATGAAATTCATTACTCCATAATGTTGTTTCACATTGTTTCTGACATAATTTTATTGATCTAAATGGTTCATTTGAATTTAATAGTAGACCACCTTTTAAATTACATGTATTATTGCCTTCTGTAAATGCAATTCTCATTTGACCAGATTGATAATCATTTTTTCCATAAAAATTATATGAAGCAGGCTCAAGAAATATTTGTGGAAATATCCAATCAGCATTTGGTAAACGTGCTCTAATTTCAATACGACCATATTTAAAATTAAATTTATTTTTTGTATTAAATTGTGCCGATACTAATGGTTGTAAAATTGTAAAATCATTTTCTGATTTAACACATTCATCAGTTTCAATAAGACCAGTACATTCCAAACCAAAATTATATGCTTTTGTATATAATGAAATTTCATCATTACCAAAATATCGATATGGTTTAATTTTAGCAAAACCATTTTCAATTTTTAATGCATCTGAATTTTTAAAATACATAACAAATAAAAAATCTGGTTCATTAATAAAACGATTCTCTATTGTCCATTTTGATGAACTTAATATTGGACTGTCAAAATTTTCTTCAAATATTAAATCACCTTCACATTCTACAAGGTTATTGTTTACAATTGTTATAGATGGTTGACATTTTCTTGTTAAGATTGATATTGGTTTTACATTATTTGTATTTTGATTATTAATAGAACTTGGTTTATTACTATCATCTAGATTAGAATAACTTTTAACAATAAATTCTCCATTATCTTGTCTATATCCAAGACCATTATTAAGTGCATATGTCCAAAAATAAATTGTATCACCGATTTTAATTTCTGTATTTCTATCGATAAAAGTGAAACGACCATTTTTAGCTTTTGTAATATCTTTTGACCAATTTCCTGCTTCTAATCCTTCCATTTCTTCATTAAGTTTACCATGAAAAGCAAATAATGTAACACCAGGTTCAGCTGGTATAGAAACCTGAAAGCCTTTTGGATGAAAAACTTCAATTTTTGCATTTGGTATTTCATATCCTAAAGTATAAACTAATTTATGGTAAAAAAATATCAAAATAATCGTTTTAAACATTTTTCTATTTTTATTTTTTTTTTTGCTTTTTTTTTCGAAAGCTTTTATATACGCTCTATATGTTCAAGCGTTCACACACAACTAATGAATCACAGAATTTTCAAAAATTCGAGAAAAAAAAAATGCGGTGTGAATTGTTTATTTAATTTTTTATTTACATACATATATAAATGACATGGTGAAAATAAAGTATTTTAAAAAAGGTGGGGGTGAAAAAGGTACATAAAACACGTCAACAGTTTCATTAATGCAAGGTAATTATAGGTTTTTTTTAATAGTTTTATTAAATTTAACACTTTTATATTTTTACCTATTAAATTATTATTTAATATGTCAAATCCGTTTTGTATAAAGGGACTTGACATATTAAATAATAATTTAGAAATAACAATTAATAAATAAAAAGGTGCCGGTAGGGGCATGTGATACTTACCACAAAAGAAATAACGAGAAATTTCTTATTAATTGTCAAATAATTTAATAGGTTTTACGATGGTCACACTGACTATTTATAATCTTTATTCATTATTTACTATAATGAACAAAAAGTAAACAAAATGTGAAAAAATACTGTTTGAATTAAAAAATACTGGACAGATAACCGCAAAATAACACAAAAAATTGAATTTAAATAAACTTTGTGATACAAAATTTGACATGACTGATAATTTGTTTTCTACTGGAAAGCTTTTATAAATTTTTATTTTTATTTAGTATAATCTTAGTTTTAAAAAATATCAACTAAAATTGTCTTGACCCCCGGAATAATTTTAGGTCAAAAGTAAGCTCATATACACAATAATATGTTAAAAAGTGTTTTGCACGCTCCGCAAATAAATCTTTTCATTGAAAGATTATAGAATTAGATTTATTTAAAATTATTATTGACAATACTAATATAAGCTTACGTTCAACTTGTTGTTCCGTATAATTTTTAAAGTAAATAGAGTTTATCTTATAATCATACTTTAAACATGTATGTACAAATTTTAAACTCAAAATATCTGTGAAATAAAAACAGATGAGTCAATATTTTTATAAAATTTCTAAAAGCAGAATTTAAGGGAATCTTTCAATAAAATAATACAGAGAGTGACAGAGAGCTGATAATATATAGGGATATAGCTGAAAAATTTTGTTTATCAAAAGTATAACTGAGTTATGAGATTATTCCAATAATTATTGATATACTTGAACCTTTCGTTTAAAAATGCTAAGATTTTGTAAAGGATGAAAGGACCTTTATACATTTAGCTCAATAATCAACAATATATATTTAGATCAATAATTATCAAGTAATTAAAAGTTTCTAATAAATTCCTAATAAGAGTACATTTTACACGGTCTCTAAAGAAAGAGAAAGCTGTAATGTAACTTCACTTCAAAAATTAATTTTTTTCAAAAGGAAAAAATAGGAAATTTTTTGGTTCCGAAATTTAAAAAAAAAATTATTATTAGAATCTAAAATCATAATCGTAAGATCCAATAGTTTATGACAGTGCACTTAGTAAAGTAACACGCTGTATATGTAAGTATACAATTTCCAATATCATAAACTGATTGGCAAATTTATAATGCCATTAGAAATGAAATTATTTGTCAATGAGTTTTACAAGAGTACATTAATGGTGTGAAAATTTTTTAATTTGAACAAGAGGGCATTATTCCTTTGTTTTTATCATTGTTTTTATTTTAGAAAAATCTCCAGTATATTGAAAAAATATAATTTTATTGTTCTAAATTTGTATTACAAGTTTAATTTAGATTTAGAAAGCTTTTTTGGAACTACTTAATTTAGTATACAAAATTTATTTTTTTTTCCCTGTTATGGATGTAAAATTAATCATTTGCTAGTATACGTATTCTTTATATAAATATTTTTTAGTGTCATAAAAAAACATTTTTTGTAATTACACAATAGAACTACATTTTTTAGAGTGGCACTGCTTTAACTTAAAAAATTTAACAGTCACTAGCACCCCTCAATTATTGCATTATGTGTTATCACAAAAACTGTGTTCTGTATAGCACCATATACCATATAACTATGAGTCACTCATAACTATATACACAATGGTTAAAGAATACTCTAAGAATTTTTTATTATTTTAAAACAAAAGACTTAAACGAGAAACTGTTCCTAAATAATGATAATATTTGCCAATTATTTTAAATTAAATTTTTAAATCCTCAAATTAAAAATAGAATTTAAGAATAGGAATAAATTAAAATAATACTGAAGTATTTTAAATTTAATTTATATTTATGACATTTGCTCTATATTTAAAGATTGACGTAAGTTACCGTTTGTGTTGACATCTTTTATTTGGTGACATTGAAATCTGTATTCTTCCATTTAAAAAAATGCATCAATGGAATTTTGAATGATTTGTGAGAAATTTTTTAAGAAATTTGACACAATTTCTCTTTGTCAAACTATAAATAAAATTTGGCAATTAATTTTTTCAAGGGAATTTTTTTTATACTGTACAAGCCTCTGTTCTGGAAAAAATTGTTATTAGTATTTTTCAATAATATTGTTATTTATCATAAGTTCTTACGGTTAAACTTAAAATTTTCGTTGAATCATATTATTTATTTTCATGCTCTTGTTTACGTCAATTTTCAAGAGCGGCGAATTCTCTTTTTATGTAAATTTATAAGAAAAAAATATTTTCGTTTACTTATTCGGATTGTCAAAATCTCAAATTTTTCAAATATGTGTTAAATATCTAATTTAAAAATTTTTAATTTCGAATATATTATTATATACATATAATTTAAGTAATTTAAATTTAATTTCTTTCTTCTACAATTGTAATTTATTTAGTATTTTTTTTAATTGATTCTAAAATTTGGCACAACATTTAGAAAAATATTGAAAACTTTTTACTTAAATGTACCCAAAAAGCTCATTTTTCCATTTCCATAAATTTTAATGATTAACATTTATAATCCTATAATATATATATATATATATATATATATATATAAAATAACCTTATTTTTGTACACATATATGTGTGTATGTACATAATTTTTTATATTGAGTACAATTAAATTAAATGCTACAAAATAAAAGATACCTAACCCAACTTTATTTTATCATTATATGCGAAATAGAGAATATTGAGAATTAAATAAAATAATAGATGTAAAAATTAAGAAATATGAGATGCTAAGAGATTTTGACTAAAAATATACACAAAAAAAAAAAATAAAAGCTTTACTTTAATAAGTTATACTTTTCGATTTTCTAAATATAATTTGTGTTTTTGCTTTTGTAGAGTATATTGCTATATTCAAAGAAATAAAAATTTTTGCATTTCTGTCTCTAAAATTCATTTAATGTTTATAACTACTTAAATTTTAATACCTATTGCTGACAATCTAAGTGTTGGCATCTATTTTCAACTAGCGTTATTACATTGTACTTTTAGGAAATTCAATAATATAACAATGTATTAAACTTTTATAGTTGCCAATAGAGTGAAATGCATGTAAAAAAAAAATTTAACAGCGTTCCCACACTTGAACAATTCCACGTGACAAATTTTTAAAATGAATTTACAAAATATAAAATTTATAGAAGTAAAGTTCAAAAATAGATGAGTTAAAATGATTAAATGAGAACGACAATATGGGAAATGAATTAATAATTTATTAAACCTTTACTATAACCTTATAATTATTGCAAAATTTTACTTACCTACATGGCAACATACAAGGAATATGAAGTTTGAATCTTAAATATTTTAAACAAAAAAATGTATAAGCGCATGAATAATTCATTTTGTTAATCTCACCATTATTTTTTATTAAATTTGATTCTTACACATCGTAGCACTACTGATGAATTACATGTTGATGACTCTAAGAAGTTTTTTAAATTAAGTTTTTAAATTCATTTTTTAATAGCTTTCATATATATAGATGATGAGCAAGGAGAAAATTAAAGCTTTTGCAATTTTAAATATTTCTAGCAATTTAACAGCTGTGCCATTACCATTCAATAAGAAATTTTCTCCGTAAAGTTGTAAAAAATCTTCGCTGTGCAGTTGTCAAACTTTCCTTTGCTGTCAATACGATTCCAATTGGGTTTTTGATATTTCTTTTGTTCGGAATGATCTTGGGAAGAGAGAGAAAAGGTATAAAGGACTAAGGAAGGGACAAAATCAGTAAGTCAACGCACTGCCCTGCTGGGGTAATTGAAAGCTTTTTAAGTATCGAAAAAATTAAGTTATTTAATTTTATTTTAATATTTTCATTCAACATTTTTTTTTTAAATTAAATATCACTTATAATAGCGAAGATCAACTTCAAATTTATTTATACATATATAAGTCATATATGTATATGTATGTATACATTTTATTATATTTATATGCATATATTTTCACCTTATTTGCTATATTCTTTTGCAACTAGCGACGACAATAATAAAAATAAGAAGAAAAATATAAAAGAAATGAAAATAAGAAAAAAAAATAAAGGTAAGAAAAACAACACTATTTGAGAGTACTATACTCACACAATTCAGTTATACTCACTAGATTATATACTATATAGAATAACGTAAGTATATATAATAAATTTATAAATACATATATATAAAAATATATAGAGAAAAGAGTCGAATGGTTTCGTATATAATTTTATTAATATGAGATTTTAGTTTAAAATGTACCATTGAAGCGATCAATTCGGAGATTGTCTTTTATATAATAAACTGTATATAATTACATATATATAAAAATATATATACGAAGCGGAAAGCGGGAAATCTATATATAAAAAAGAAAATAAGAAAAAAAAAAACAAAAATAAAAGGTTTTATTTTATTTTTTAATTTCATAAAAAAAAATATTTTATTTTGTAATAATTACGATTTTTACTTTTTCTTTTATCTTAATAAAATCATTTTCATGCAAATATTATTGTGTATTCGGTTACCCTAATTATATTTAGTTTTCGTATTATTGAATTTAGTGTTCGTGTTATTGAATTTAATATTTTTTATCCTTAATTAATTTTCCTAAATTAAATTTTAATTAAATGTATAGAAAATCTGAAAAAATAATCTAATTAAATTTGCAAATAATTAAAATTATATACAAGTGTGGCAACACTATTATCAAGTGTGCGGTGCTCTTAGTGTTTAATTTTCTCAGTGTAAATTTTTTTAACAATTTCTTACTTAATATCATAAAAAATTTAAATTGCGATTTAAATTTTATTTTTAAGCAGCAATAATAAATAAAAATATTAAAGAAAAGGGTACAAAAATTTAAGCTTATTAAGTGAATAAAATTTTATTTTTTAAATATTAAAAAAATTTTTAATTTATAACACTCATACAAACGTATACACATTGTTTATTTATTCAAAAAATAAAAAAATCATATGCATGGTAAAAAAAAAAAAAATAGTGTTATTTTTACTTGTATAGGTGTTGTTTAAGAAAAAAAAATATAAAAAAAAAATAAGAAAATAAAAATTAGGATACAAAAAAAAAACTATGAATTTATCTGCTTTTGCGATGGTATAATTAATGACCACCATATAATATATATATATACATGCATACATACATATATATAAATATATACATATAATTATAATAAACTTAAATATAGAAGTAAAAGGTGAAATTTTCAGATTTAAAGAAAAAAAAAATTAAATAAAATTAAAAACATAACTATTATACACGTTATATATGTGTACATACTTGTGTACATATGTACGAGTATATGACTACATTGTGTACAATATTTTGTGTTAACATACACACATACGAATGATATTTGTGTTTAATATTAAAAGTGTTGTGCTTTCGTTTTGTTTTTTTTTATTGTTCATTTTTTACTTTTTTAAGAAATAAACACAAAAAAATTAAATAAATTTTATTATGTTTTTTTTTTTCTGTATTTCTTTTCTTAATAAATTTAAATATAATTTTGTTATTATTCCATTTATAATATACTATTTATATTTTAATTAAATATGTGCATGAACATGGAAATTTGAAAATTTGTTCAAAATTTGTTGGGTATCGGTAACAGTGAAAATTTAATCTAAGCATCGGAGCATCGAAAAACTTATGTATTCATATTTGCGAAAGATGTGAATTGTTTTTATTTCATGTATAAACAATATTTTTTCCTCGACCAAAAATTTAAGGTCTTATCATAAATGCAACATATCACGATATATATATGTACATACATATATATATATAGCAAAAAACTGCGCTATATTTATATTTACGAACAAATGTTAAAAATCAATTCTTAATTAGAAAAATTTTTAAAGTATCAAAAAAATATTTCAATTGTCATGATTAGCGCAGTTAAATCAGTTGAATTGTTTTTGTTTTTTTTATATATTTTTTTTTAAATGTCTGGTCCAAAAATTAATTGAGAGTATAAATTGGAGAAATTATAATTTTCATGAAATTTCTTACTGTATTTACAAAAACTTATTGAGATTTGAAAATAATAAATGATATGCAAAAGAAAACAAAAATGTTTGGTCCAGAACATTTTTTTTTCATAAACACAATACTGCAAATTCAAAATAGCCACAGTTTCAATAAAACTATCAAAAGTATATTGCATATATTAAGGCAAATTATAAAAGAATAAAAGATTATTGTTTGCTTGATTTTAATTTGAAAAAAAAGGAACTAATTTTGAAGAGTCTAGCTTTTGACATTATTAAAACTATTTCTATTATATTGCTTCTATTTTATTTTAAATAATAAAGGAGAGCATAATTAAAGTATTTACTCCTAATGGCACTGAATTTTCTAATTCATATACGTGATATTATTAATTTAGTATTTTTATTAAAGAAAAACACTTAATATATATAAGAAGAAAACAGAATTTTAATGATCTTTAATTACATTTTTGGTATATCAATAAAATCTGAAGAATTATCAACATAATTTGGATTATATAATTGAATTTATATGGTTGAGCCAATTTTTATTATTTTTTTGGAAATTTGATTTAAAATTTTACTCTTTAGGCATGATATTCCTAAAATTTTTTTGTAAATGTTTGAAGTTGAAATGAAAGTGGTGCATAAACGCAAATAGAAACACATCCCTTCAAAAATTAATAATACCAATAAAACACCTTATTTTTGCCAATTCCTTGACACCATTAGTATACCGTTAGAAGGGGAATTTCATAAGCTTTAAAAGTAAGTACACTAAATTGGCTTTGCCTATCTCATTTGCCCGAGCTAAAAGTAAGTAAAAAAGTTGGACGGTTGAAATCTCACTTACTTAAAGAGAAGAATTAAAAATATTCTACTTGGTGTACTTTGTTTGCCTGAACTTATTCTATTGTGCTATTTCGGGAATAACATCGAGTCTTGGACACTCTATATAACTATAAACCCTAAACTGGCACAATAAAGTGAATTTAAGAGTGGATAAAGTGAATATAGTTGTATGTCTACTAGAATACTAGAATTTAATCCCACATTCCCACAACGTTTTTTACATAACATGTTCTAAAATATATTGTGATAAAGCAATTAATTATACACATTAAAATGCAAAAATTATAATTTGTGCAAGAAAATTTTATATTTACATTTGAAAATGTTATACCATATCAAATTGCTGCATATCTGCATAATACACGAATAAATGTAGGAATTAATGTAGGAGTTTGAAATTTGAATTTTTGCTCTTTCTCTCTAAAATATCTTACAACAGTACAGTTGAGTTTAGTTGAACAGTAAGAAAACAACCAAAAAAATTTTAATACCATGTTTAATATCTTTCAAAACTCTTTCTTTTTCATTTGTTTGTAATTATTAAACAGAAAATAATAAAAAAAAAAATAAAATTATGGTTAAAAACGGTGGAAAAGAGTAAAAAAATTTCAGAGAAAAGAAAAGCTTTTTTTTTCTTCTCTCTCAAAAAAAAAAATTAAATTTTTCTTTTCATAATTTTTCTAAAACCCAAAGTAAAAAAAACCCACATAAAATTTTATGCGAATTTGTCTATTTTTTTTTCTCTTTTCTTTTTTTATCTTTATCTTACTATAAAGTAATATTATTTTTTATTGTACGTACATAGATCTATATATACGTAGATAGATCTATATATACGTAGATCTATGTTATGTATGTGCAATGTATATATTTTTGAACCGGTCATTTTATTGGGAGTTAAAAAACACTCATAGATTGTCTATTAGGTATGGTTTTCGTGTATATTAAAACTTGTATTTTATTAATATTTTTCTGTTTATTAGCGTAATAAAAACAAATTACGAGATAAAACCAAATAAAAATTGGTTTCGAATAAAAAAATTATTTTAGTCTGTATATTGAAATTTTTGGAATATAAGCCTAACAGAAGAACATATATTGAAACTGGGCACCGCGCATCTTGTGCCATTCTTTTCATTTCCGTCTCGAAAATTTCATTTCCATAGTTCAAGTTAAGAATGATATACATAAATCATTGGAAACTGCAAGAATGAAGAAACTGGTATAATCGTTTGTTATCGATTGCCTCAAAACCGACTTTGAATTTTTATAACTTTCATTGCAATGGGTAGGTGATATTGAAAGAATAGTTTTGGGGGAAACAATTTGTATCACTCTTGCTATAGATATAATTTGTAATCTGGAATTTTTGGATAAATTAATATGGAAAGTTATTAAGAAATTAATTTTGAAAAGTTAACACAATTTTATTTGCGAAACTATTCCAATTTTTAAAAAAATTCCCCGTCTGTCAAAGCTTGTATTTGACTGAATGTCAAATCTAGTATGCCTGTAATAGATTATGGGAAAGACTATCGGTGAAAACTATATGCAGTAATTTATTTCAAGACTATAGTGGATTTTCTCACTTTTTTCTTTATATAAAATTTTCACTTAAAATACAGAGGAATTTTTGTTAAAGAGTATTCGAAAAATTTTGAGATCTGCTTGATTTTCGATGTTATGGATAATACATTATAAATTAGCCAGTCATAAGAATATTGAATATAACTTTAATTCTAATTGTTAGTATTTCAATTCTGAATATTAGTAAAGTTGCTCTTATAGGAATTTGGTTTTATTGAATTCTCATTGAAATTTTCTCTTAATAAACTTGCTGTTTTTGTATTGGTTTTGTTTTCAATATCATGCTGCAATAATAGTTCATTAGATAGGCAACAGAAATTTCATACTTCCGAGTCCTGTAATTTTGGGCTTCATACTTTTTTCATATTTTTCCTTTATTTCAAATTAAATAACGAGGGCGTTTCGTTGTATCACTTTGGTGTTACGTAAGGCAAAAATTTAACAACTATCCCTTGTTTCCTACAATAAAAAACCAGAAAATAAAAATAAAAAGTGTATAGAAAAATTAGACAAAACTGTTATACGCTCAAAATTAGTTTTATAAAAAAATTAAAAAAAAAAGTATCGATCGGCAACTATTTAGAAATTTCTAAGTAGAAAATACAAAGAAAAGCAAAATACTAGAGGCGGTTATCAAATGAACGCAAAATATAGAAGTGATTAGGTCGCGCAGCAATTATATTTTATGCATAAAATGTAAGTTTGTATAAAAATATGTCGGAATTAATTATAATTTCTTTTTTATTTTTGTTTTTAATTTTTCTAGTTTAATATTATTACTGAATACATATGTGTGTATGTATATAAATAAGTATGTTTAACGTTATTTCGCAGACATGTATGTAGTGGAATATATATGCACTTGTTCAGGGCTTAGCAGTTGGTATTAATTTGGTGCGTATATAGCAATAAATATTATTCAGTGTTCGGCTAGCTTGTTCATAACAATTAAGTTCGGAGTACCCCAATTCTACCGCTGTATACGAGTGATTAATAGAACATGATCCTAAATCTTGCGAATTCAAAAGATTTTTAAAGAAAAATATTTTGTAGCTATATTGTAGGAACACCTACAAACCTTAATATGAATTTCCCAAGTAATTCTTCTTAGAATAATTTTAATAATAGTAGTACTAACGTAGATTGAATTTTAACCACTGATTTACCATTATTTCTGATCATTTCTGCATAATTATATGGTTGGTGTATATTGTGGTTTCTACAGGAACTGATCTTGAATTTTCTTTTTTTTTTTCATTCATGTATGGTTTAATTTATTATGGCTAAAAAAATTGTATTTAAATATTCTCATATTTCTCATATATCTAGAGATCTATTTTTAGAATTTATAACAAATTAAATGATATTATAAAAATCATTGATATTTTAATTTAAAACTTTGTTATTCTATTGTTTATTCATTATGAACATAACGGGTAATATAGTCGATCATTAATTAATTATCCCAATAATCTTTGGTTTCCTTCTTTCACATTTCTTTTCAAGTAAATTTAGTAAAAAAATATGCTTACTAGTTTTATTCTGTCCGTCTTCCATTAGTGCGTCCGCTTACAGAACTTCTACTTGAAATAAATAATCTATTTTTCAAGAACAAAATTTCAATTAACCTTGCCTTCTTTGGAAGTTATGACGTCTTGAAGGTTCTAAAATGGACTTTTTTCACAAACAAAACAACTACATTTTAAAGTATAAAAGGATTGTTACAAAATAGCAAAACCATTTGTTAGAAGGAGCATTTAAATTAACCATTATTTTGAACCCTTTTTAATTTTATAATATTTTAAATTGTAGTTACACATTTAGTTTATAATCTGCAGGAGTCTGAAGTTTTAGTTATTTCTAGGCGATAACATATAAATATCTTTAAAATTTTCTGCTAAATTTTCCAATTCTAAATTAACCATTGAAAATTTCAATTTCCCTATTCACGAAAATTTTTCGTCTAATCCGCCTCTCATTGTTTCCTTCCTAGCGGAGTGCAAGTATTATATTATTTTTTCAATTTTAAGTAAATTCACTTGTTTAAATGAAATGTTCGCAATCTTTATAAACAATTGGTTCGATTCGAATTTATTTTCTCTTTACTTTAATTTCTGATTAAAAATTCTGTTTTTAAATCATATTTATAAACCAGAAACCTTAATAAAATTGTTCCCTTTTCAATTAGGCTTTAAAAAGTAATATGAAACCAATTAATAATTAATATTATTAACAATGTCATCATGTTAAATGCATATGTAATAAATTAATTTTTTATATTTTAATTAAATTAACAATTACAAATCTAAGTATATTCGCCAATATATTGTTTATAAAATGAATAATCGAAAGGTAACCACGAAGACATATAAAATAATAATTAAGTACATATATATATATATATATATTATATATATATAATATGAATTGAATTTAGTACATAGAGGCGCCTTTTATTAACATACTTTAAACATTGAGGCGCCTTAAGGTTAAAAGTTCGATTACCTCTTTATTATTATGTTTATCAATGTTATATGTATATATTGAAATTACAAATATTTATGAATGAAATATTGTGGTAATTATCAATTTATTTGCATCATCTATATATATTTTTATCATCACAGTAATTGTTATATGATAATGAATAAACCAGAAAATTTTTTCCCAATGATTCGGTTTCGGTTAAAAAATAATTTATATTTTTTTAAATTGTTTTTGGTTTGTATATGATCTTCCAACAATGTGCAGAAATAGATGAAGCTACCTGCAGGCATTTAGTTACATATATGTATATACAATTGTGCAGTTTGTGTGTTCATGTTAATTATTATCAATTTCAATATTGCTATTTACTTTGAATTCGATTTATCAAACTTAAAAATTTAAAGTTTTTTTAGAACATTTTAAATTTATTCTCAAATTTTATTGCCCTAATGAAACTCTTAAAATATTTTATTTGAAAATTATTTGGATTTTTTTTAAAGTTAATTCGATAGTTATATATATGATATTATAAAAATGAAAATGATCCAGCAGATGGATGTAGTTCGCTCAAAAAAAAACTTTATTTCTCAGATTTAAAATGAGTAAAAATATATGAAACGGTATATACTCGTAATTAGTAGTTCCAAAGACGACGAAATTCGCTAAGTCGAAAAAATGCAAATTGAAAGATATATAAAAGTCTTCTGACAATTTACATACATATATAAGCCCATATGTTGAAAACATTTATGCCGTAATTTTATTTCACACCAAATTATTTTGTTATAAAATGTGTTCAATAACTTAGCGAAATATCTTATATACAGCACACCTTTTAAAATTACTATGTAAGTATTTAATTACTATGTAAGATACAAAGCTTTAACCGCATTGAACAATTTAAAAGAGCGGAATAACGCACCATTTGAAACTCTGCAAATACTTCAAATGTTCCATAAAGTATTTGTATCACATAAGTTTTAAGGAAATAGGATCAAGAATGTAAAGTCAATAAAGTTATTTTAAAGTAAATAAAAGTCCATTAAATTTAAAAACATTTTTTTTTATTTAAATCAAATAAAATTCTTATTGTTTTAAAACGAAATTAACTGATATCAACCCTGGAGTACCACAATAACTTTTTTCGCTAAAAAAAAATTGCAATTTTCTACTTACAATTCTGCTATTTTCATGATTTTTGACAGTTCAAAAATTAAACTCAAATACCAATTGTCAAAAAAATTCGATTATTTTTTTTCTTTTTGAGTTTTGTGAATTTGAAATTAATTCTTTATTACTTGTTCAACTCAAAATAAAAAGTATGCATAGTTAATTCTTTATAGTTTCATGAAATTGAAGTTCAAGATTTCAACCGGTTCTTTTGACTATATTCTGGTCGTTTTTTAATAAAAAAAGCAAATTATATTTTTTTAAATAATTTTTACTTTGTTTTTTTGTTTAATAAAAAAAATAATCTTCTAGTTATCATTTATTATTTATGCATTTTTTTATCGATTTTTTTTTTCTTGGTTTCTTTTTAATAATTGCAATTTTTTTTTTCCTATAAATTATTTGTGTTAGTACATATTTTACAGTTTCTTTAAACAAGACGCAAAAAATATAAGAAAAGCGGAGATAAAATTGTATGCATTTTTTAATGCACTTATTTGCATTATATAAACTTGATTTTTTTTTCTAACCGCACAACTAAAATAATTTTTTCTTTCCATCCAGGGTCGGTTGCAAAAATCTTATTGAAATTTAATAAAATTGATTAAGAATTTTATTAATGTCGGTTAAATAGGATTGAACATTGACATTTGAAGTAAGTTACCTGGTAGGGGAAAAATTACTTCAAAAATTAATATTTTGCTCTATTTTGAAAGGTGTGGATTTTTCGAAACTGTGTAAATAGACGGACAGACGAAATACAATTAATTGATTAATGAAACTTGTCAAAAATATTTATCAGATATACTAAGGGTTATTATCAATTCAAGTCGATTTGATCCTACCAATTTAATTCAAATCGATTCAAAAATTTCAATCGAAATGCAAATAAATGTTAAATTAAATGTCAGACTGCGATTAGATTTACATTCATGAACGAAGTTTGTAATTTATCAAACAAAAAACTTATTTATCTATATATTCATCAAATTTCTAAGATTATTTGTCGATTTATAACTACAAGCATATAACAGTTTGATTTAGTTTTTGAATTTATTATAAAATCAGATAATTTTAGAATTTAATTTACTAGCTTGAGTTCACAGCCGTATTAACAGATTTCTTTATACATAAATGGGGTACAAAAATTTTTTTATTGCAAACACATGTTATAAAAACCAATTTACCCAATAGTAATTGTTAAATGTTACTGTTTAGTGCGGACGAACTTGTTTAACAACATTTTAATTTGGAGTGCCTCAATACCAATTCAATCCGACTCTGGTATATTATTTTTTTATTAATAAATTTGTGTTTCTAATATTCAATTTTTTTTTTTTTATTTTTTGTTTTTTAAATTTATCTTAGAATTAATTTTTTTTTCATTGCTGTTTTTTTTTTGTTGAATTCTAATTACAAACACCCAGGTAAGTTAGAGAAGTTTTCGTTGTATGATTATATTACATTTTAAATATAGATTCTTATACTTTTATTAGTGTTTGTTTAAATATTGATACTCAGCTCATATTGATTGTAATATACTTAGATAATATGTATATATTGAAAATATACAAGAAAATACAGCAGATCTGCCGAACATTTGTTTTTCTAAAAATTAAGTAATATTAACACCATTGTCTCGAAATCTACTAAAAAAGACAAGAAATTCTGATTACTTTCTTTAGAATTCTTCAAGAATATGCAATGTTAGTCTTCCTCATTTGATTTTAAAATTAATTAATGAAATATGTATGTGTGTAAGCCATTTTGATTAATGTCAAACTTATGAGAGTGACCTAACAAAATTTTTTCATATTATCAAAAAGAGAGGCTGCACATTAATAGAAATGAAACTTAGCGTCCAATAACACTTTGCTATTCTTATGATGACTAAATACCATAAATCCTTTTTGGAAAAATTCAGGATAAACATGCTTTTGTTACCTACTCCTATAAGAAGATTCAGAACTGAATATTTCTGCTTAAAATTTTTTGTTCAATTTGCAATCAAGAAAATATTTCTAACACAAGATCACCCG